CACCCCCAGGGTGGCGCGCTAGTAAGTTCAGATGAGCCCTGCACAGCTGAGGCTTCAGCTCGGTTCTCTACAGCTGAGATTTCAGCTGGGTTCTCTACAGCTGATGTTCGGAGAGTAGCTTTCTGGCATATGAGTTGTTGATCCTAGGTTGTAGTGCTGCAACCTGAGTGCTGGGGCGGTGGTGATGGTGGTTGTGGCTTAAGAGTGAAAAGAGTCTTATGGGGAGAGGCGTATAAGAGGGATGAAGATGATGGAAGGGGTGCTTGATATTTCAAGCTTCAGCTTGTAGATCAGGACTCGTGGAAAGTTATTGAATGAGCACAGCAGAGAATGAGTCCCACTGAACGATAAAACGTTTATTCATACGTGTAGAATACTGCACACGGGGTATAGTCCACTTCCCATTCCCGCTTCCTTGGCCTGGCGCGTGTCTCTGTTACAGTGACTCAGGGTTTCCGGCCTACGTGCCTAGCCAATTACAACTTCTACAGAGAGGGGTTGGGGTACGGTGGCCTACCCTGCCTACCGCTGCCTACTGCTGCCTCTAATTAGTACTTATGCCTACGCTCCCTATGTAGTATATAGTCTGCTCGTACGGCTTCACAAATCAAACAGAGTTCACGTCAATTTGCAACCTAAGTCAGTGCTTCAAACTATGTGAAGAGGATATAGGTCTATCATTTTGGCCAGCCTAAAGGCTTACCGGGCGACCTCGCGCGGTGGTAAACCGATATATATGGGCTGAACCTGTGACCCGTCACCTCAGACTCTTGTCAATACGCTATAGAACCGTAAGCGGTGTCAGAAAGGTGTATAAAACCTGTCCTGGTCCTGCACAACGTGAAACACCACCCAACGGCGTCAGCGTCCAGTCTCCTAATCACTCAGAGCTATCTCAAGCAATATCTCTCTCAGGACTTTAAAAAGTCGTTATTCTAAAATTCATCAGGTATCCAGGAGTCGGCCGTGACAGTCGTAAAAGGCACCCGCACTAATCTAAAACAGTCACTAGCGCCTTCGTCTCGTGATCCTTCCCTCGCGTCTCACAACTCCCACATGTCCGCGTCTCGTCTCCACAACCCCTCGACACTGAAACCTTCTCATCGCGCGGCCACGCGTTCCCATTCTCCACCTCTCGAAGCACAACCCTAGAACCACGCAGCCCAAGCATCGCTGCTAGCTCGGCGAGCCCGCACGCCGCGTACGCCAGCGTGATCAAAAGTCCGCCAGCCCACCACGCAAAGCTCACGATGAAGGCGTAGAACTCCGTAGTCGGGGACGGCGTCGCCCGGCACCATTCGCCGTGGCACGCGGTCCAGTCGATCCACGAGACGAGCCAGCCTAGGAACATGGTCGTCGACACGAAGAGGGCGTAGGGGCGGGAGTGCTCGGTACGCTGCGTGGTGAGGTATTCGAGGGAGGAGAGGACGAGGGTCGCGGCTGGGGCTACGGAGGTGTGGGTGAGGATGTCGCTGTCAGGGTGTTAGTAAAATGTAAGGTAAGGCATGTTTAGGAAGGGTGGAGAGGGACGTACAAGCCCGAAACCGTGATGTCGCTGCTTGACAGGCCGGGTAGGAAAGGTGCGTCGGTGAGGTAGAACGCGTGCGAGACAGAGAGGACGAGATGCAGCGCCGAGGTTATGATGATGGCGCGGAGGAATAGAGAGAAGAGGGACGGCGACGGTGAGGATGCTCCGCTCGCTGAGGGTGGAGAAGTGAAGCTTGCGAGGCCCATCATGGTGCCGATTGAATGCGAAGCCTAGGAAGAGCCGTAGATTGCAGCGCGATTAAGTGATGCTTTTGAATAAGAGCTCGACCGGCGAGCTGCGAAGAATTGGAACGGAATGGATATGGCAGGTAGTCTAGACGCACAAGATGAATGCAAGGAGTGATGAGGATGTAACGACGATATATTAACAGCCACGCAAATCGCCCGGTAAGTGCGACGACGCTTGCTCCCACAGAGGAAGCAGGCGCTGTCGCTCATATATACATGCAGGCCCGCCGTGACTGTTCATGGTCGAGGGTGTGCGTCACAAATGGGTGTCGACATCCCCATTGCGAAACCTACAAAGGCAGGTTGGAGTTTGCGGGTCGTTTCAGAAGGCAAGGGGAGTAGCCGAGCGCGTTAGAAGACTGTCATTGTGTACCAGGTCCCCTCAGCCAATCTGAGGATGCAGCCGCACCTCGCACACTGCCGATCAGGGATCCCATCGGTACCCGGCGATACGAGCTCAAGGGGAGTGCGATTTATGATGGGTTCGGCATTAGGCACCTCTGTATAATTTTTAATCTCCCCACAATCGCTATCCCTCCAGCTGATGCATATTACAAGTCGGATATATCCGTCCATTGGGTATCAAGCAAGCAGCAGCCCCTCAAAAAGTAATAAGACCCACGAACAAATCCTGGAGAAGTCATTTGTATCAACGCCAAACCCGCCAAGCCTCCTCCTCCCGAATGCTCCGCTTTTACTCGGTAATCAACAAGTCGCCAGCTCCCTTAAAGGTCGGTTGTGCAGCCGGCATCACCTTGCTGCACTCTGTTAGATTGTTGATATTGTTCACGCCTAACAGGCTCAAGCGAGTGTAGGCTGTGGCGTAGTCCTAGAGAGGAAGTTAGCAGCTATCAGTGCAGAATCAACGGAAGGTAATATAGATATCGCGACTCACCTCATCCCAGTGGGTTTGTCCACCTGGGCCTCCAACTTCAGCCACTCATCGTTCAATCGTGGATCTACGGAGAGCACGAGATCGCTGTTGAAACGTAGCACTTGCTTGGGGAGCGGGCCTGTGCCGACAGTCTGATTGTAGATGAGCGTATCCCATATACCGGGAATGCCGTCTTGCGGGGCTCCTTTCCTCGTTGTATCCACAAAGAATTGACGGCTCGTAGTATGTGCACCTACGAGGGCCGCGAGATCGTGCGGTGGGATAGTCTTATCTTGGAAGAGAGCGACTAGCTTGTCGGCACTGTCGTTGACACCGGGGAGGAGTCCATTCGGGGCTGGTGTAGAGCTATCTTTCCTGCCGACAAACACGCGTATCCGCGGACCAAGAGGGCAGGTAACTACGGCGTGAATGGCTGAAAATTGGATCAGGTCGGCGTAACTATTTTCATCTTGTCAACATCATTCAGCGCAAAAGGAAGAGGAGCTATTACCCAACACCAAAAGACTTCGTCGTTGCTTTTGCCAGTGCAGCAATGCCTTGCAGTCCACTGTTCTCCGGGCGACTGATCTCAGAGCACGATAGGAGGATGCTGCCGTCCGCACCACCGAAGTCCTGTCCTGCTGCTGCGTTCGACTGCGACCAAATTCCAGCATCATGGAATCCAAGTCTAATCGCTTGTCGGGCGATCTCGTTGCATCGACCTGTTGGGCCCTTGAAAGCAGCAGTCAGAGCAGCAGACACGTAGTACCAAACGCAGCAAGTGTCAGCCTTGCAAGCCTTGCTGGAGAGTACTCCAGGCGGCTTCTACCCCACGGAAACAGCCTGCGCATCTTCCTGTCTTGGCAGAATGTTGGCTATACTCTGGCCGACTGGAGAGGTAATGCCGTTCTTCAGGTCTGCAATCAGGACAGGTGTAGCATCTCCATCGTCGTTGGTATCCTGAGCTATTCTTCGAGCAAGATCGCTCATCGTCTTTCCCATTCCAGGCCAGCCGTATACCGGATCAAGGAGAGCTACCATGCCACATCCTAGCACGATGCAAGAGAGCTTCATGATTATGAGTACGCTAAGAAGTTGTATGTAAGGAAGAAATGATAGTATTACAATACCTTTCCACATTATCCACAGCCATAGCCTACTTTCATAGCTGTGGACTGTCCGGAAATATTGAATCCTGGGCAGCAGGAGACGTGCATCAAGAACGAGCCTGGCCTTTGCTCCCCGGAGTGCTCGCCTGGCACCGGATCCAGACATGGAAATTTACGTGCAGTCGTGGTGAGACACTTATCCAGATCGCGCTTGCAGGTGGGTAAGTACCTATACCTGATTGGAGCTGTCTTGACAGCTCGCGTACCAAGATCTCGGGCTTCGAGCGCCACGTGGGCGGCGCAGAAGCTGGGCACGAGGCTGAGCTAAAACTGGAATGAGCTTGAGATCGGTCCTGTCGGCGTGCAGACGTGGTCGACAGAGAAGCGAAGTCTGGAACCTTTGGAGTCTCTTAGGGCCTGATTTGGAAATCAGACGCCTCCTATTCGCTGTGGCTTACCAAAAGATACGTAGTGCATGGGCAATGCATGAAGACTACAGCGCAACTCCGACGCTGCTGCAGGAGTCAGGTCCGCCCGAATGCACCTGCGGAGATAGCCGTGCGCGCCGTGCGGAGAGTTTTAGGGTCTGTCAAGTTCCCAGATCCAAATAGGGACGCTGGAGACGAAAAGGCTGACGTGTACATGAAGCTGCTCGTAAGCCTCGTATCACAAAACAGAATACCAGCTGACTGGATAGACAACGACATAAAGTGCGAGATTGAACAAGGACTGAACATATGGAAAACGCATGGCGGGAGAAGAGTGCATGGTTCTCCAGGCCGAGAACCAAAAGTGGAGCCATCGGGCTATTCGGAGAGCCCGGATGGTGTAGCGAAGGCCCCTTCGCGCGGATTAACCACGTGATTCATTCGCAGATCATGAATGATCTCGACGTTGCGCAACTACGATGAAGAAAGGCGAGGGAGCGTGCAGGGAGACAGAGACTCTCATTCTATACAGCTATTTGAGTATACGAGCAGAGCTTTTAGGGCTAGGACACTGTATAACCTCGGAATAAGCTTGAGCTTAGCTTTGGAGACTTTGTGAAAGTAGTAAAAGTAGAGATATGCACTTGCAAATGCGACTGTCATGTGAAAGACAAGAGTTTAATCGACTTTTAATCCAATACTTCTCATTCGGAAAGGTGTTTTGATTGCCAGTCCTCCACATTTTCCGGCTTTTCAAGTTTAGACGATGTTCAAACGAACAATTCACCCAGGTAGTAGAGGGAGCCGTGCCTTTACTACCGGCCTATAAATTGGAAGGGGGGAGTGATATATATGTGAAAGTGGGTGAAGTGGGAGCGGGAAGACGGATTTCGGTTAGCGAATGAAAGAGGGTCGGTGGGACTCGAAGCCCTGTCATGCTTTCTCTCCACCAGAATTTGTTCTCCGTGCAACACGTTCGGCAACGGTGAGGGTGTGCCTCACTCGAGATTTGGGATAATGGGTTTAAGTGAGTGCAGTCATGGCTGGATGGGAAATAGATGACCAGGCGCTATGGCTAGCTGGGACACGTGAGTCTTCAGCGGCTGATTACTGGCTCCAGATTCTATTTTGATGATCAAAGCGCTGATAGGATGAATGCGCTGACAAGCAGATAGGCCACATGAGAGCATTGAGAATGTGATGGACGCGCTGGTAGCAATTCGAGCGTGCCGCATAGAAGCAAAGAAATAACACTTCGGGAAGTTCGTAAGGCGCTCTGCGTGATACCCGTTGAAACCACAATTTGTCCTGCGGCAACATCAAGAACATGAGACGGGCAGGTAACAAATCCTGCCGGCGGGTGAGACAAATCACATCTTAGCCCCAACACAACGCCCTCCAGGCCTCTCCATACTGCCTAGCTCGATCAGCTGTGCTGCGCAATACCGTTGACGAAGCACAAGGGTGAGAGCTTTGACACGTATTCATTCTGCATCTCAAACTTCCAACCACCATGCTCAACGTCATTGGCTCATTTGGGACTACTGTTGATAAGTTCATCCCACGTCAATATCCAAGAAAGGCAAAAGCAAACAAAGACATTCGATTTTGGAAGATTTCAATACCCTACCCCTATCGTTAGCTCTTTGCAAAATAGTGAGAAGTACGCGGTACTATTCTGCAGCCGCTAGCTTCTGATGTGTTGGTATTTTGCCCCTGTTAGAGAGCTTCAGAACAGCGTGAGGCACAGTAAGAAGCAAGGCTACTTTGTCATATCTTGGGAAAATAGCACGGCACAATATAGCCGGTTGAATATATTACAGCGTGACCGATATTGCATATATTACCTAGGTAAGTTGGAGGCTCGATTTAGCGCTAACGCTAGCCCGACGTGATGTTGTCAACGTCTCGGCTTGTCGCGCTTCTCATCTTCTACCTCACTCTCCTACCAAGTCTTCGTCTCTTTCCTCACTTTGACCTTCTTCCAGCTCGATTAAGCCAACTCAATACCAATAATTTCCTACAAAGTAAATACCTCTCGCAATGGCTCCCACTGCAGGTCGTCCCAAAGCTGTTGCTCCCAAGGTCAAAGCTGCCGGAGGCGTCAAGAAAGGCCCCACAGGCCGGAAGAGCAAGAAGGCGTCGGGCGCTATGGCTGCTATGCAGAAGTACTGTGAGTGACTCCTCTTCATCTTGCGTCGGAAGATCAGCTGTCAGCTTGGCCCGGACATCTGAAACACGCGTTTTTCACTTTATGACATGACTGGATGAATGCTAACCAAGGAAACCACAGTCAAAGAGCACCGCGAGGAGTTTCCGGGAATGACGTTCAAGGAACAGCAGAAGGAGCTGGGCAAGATGGTGCGTTACGTCATCGAATTTCTCTAATCATTCGAAAAGGACGCGCCTCCGTCATGTCCTACCACTGACTTCTCCTTCAGTGGAAGGAGTCCTCCGAGAACCCAAAGAACGCGGCGGCTTAGTCCATCTTTCGGCACGGCGAACTGATACATGCCAAAATGGCATCAAGTCTCCCGCTTACTTCGCCGTTACAAACTTCTACGACTTCGACTTGATGGCTTATCACTTCATTCATCACCTTCAACAGCTTTACTCAGCATTCATCTAGCTCCGGAAGAAGCTAGCGAATGTATCTCGATCTACGCCACTAATCCTCTTAGAGCGGAGGCATGTGTCGGAAACCATCGCCTGAGCTTCGATCTGCGTATTGCTTTCCCCGGGACTCCAATTTTCTTCCTCTTTCATACCCCTATGTAACTACTATTTCTTTTCAGTCATCTTCGAACGGGTATGGCGGTCAAAGGTACGGTGGCATACGGCGGATCTCGAGAGGGAATGATTCCGCTTCAGCACGAGGGCTACAGAGAGGGCCTTTTCTATGCACATGGTTAAACACCTTCTTCTCACGGCTGAACGTGCCTGGTGAATCTATGAGATTGTCCCAACTCGACGGTTTGGAAAGGCTTGAGTTCACGGCAAGTATAACGCATTTGCGAAAGAGGAACATCAATAGCTGTGTCGTCTTTACAAGATTGATAGCCTTGTAGAGGAAATAGTAAGGGCTTTCAAGATCACACCGAGGGTACACATTGCCGAAACCTCGTTGAAGTCTTCTTTGCAGGCGCCAGAAGGACAGAAAAGCCGCTTCCCCGGATGACTCTGCTGCTTCATTTCCATTCGTCACTGGGACTGGTAAAACGGGATGTGTACCTAGCTCTCGAGGTGTGTTCGAAGTTGTGATTTGCTTGACCAAATCTTCGTCTTTTCAGCGTCGTCCATGGTTCGTCAGCTATACAAAGCTCACAAGGCCGGCCATCTCCATGGAGTATCCTTTCCTCAAGCATCAGCTGGGACAAATGCCTTTCCAGTCTGTTGTGGGTTAGCTTGACACCGAGTTCTCAGAGCTGATCATGGTCTTCTCGATTTCCCTCAACGCGCTGTTTTGCTCATCAAATGGGCTTTGTGTTTGAAACCTTGAGAATATTTTTAGGCCTCTATTTCATCTCCATGACTTTATCCTGTCAAAATGACCCGAACTCTTACACGGACACAATCCAAGTTGGGTATAATCTTACGTAGCTTATGTTCCATCTCGTTATTGAACGCGAGTTGCAAGATTAGGAGTCAAGCGCAACACCATATGGGGTAGTCTAGGGAGGTACCAAGCTCTGTTGAACCTAAAGTGGCAGTCCAACACCATCTGAGGCGGCTTAGCGACCTATCAGACTAGTCAAAAATGTCCTTTCACAGCTTTTGATCGTACCAGGGGACCTCAAACCGTGCTAGGGAAGTATACACAACCCCAGAGGGAGTGTGTATCTAAAGGACATAAAGTTGTGGAATAGATTCGCAGATGCGTGACTACCACTTTTCGTTCATGGCAGCGACAGTCCGGTATGGTACCGGGGTCCGGTACCCTACCAGCCTGTCGCTCCACAACTGATTCGGCATTCTAAAAAGGTATCAAAGGAGCTCCAACGATTGCGGACAAATGTACACTGGGCACAGGCCACTGAACGGAGTATAATTAAGCTAGCGTCTGCTTGATTCAATGGAGTGTGGACGTAAGATTTTTGGTCATGTCGATGATTTGGAAGCCTTCAAGTACGTATCCAGAAGATGCGAAGCGAACTATTGTTGGTTAGATGAGGAACCTGGATAAGGTTTTCATGGTGAACTTACAATCATACCCCTAGACCAAGCGCTCTCTCTACGCGCAAATGGCCCACTCGATTGCTGGCGGAAGCGCCAAGAGTTGGTCAGATAGATTGAATTGAATATGAGGCTATATTGAGATAAATGAGTGAGCTTATATACGTGATAGAAAGGAGAGTAACATGACGTGGAGTAGCTATAAAGGACGAAAGCTGATGTCGCAGCTACGTACATATACGTACGAAGTATGAAGCTGTATAGATCTACAGGATAGACACTGTCACGGCTTGAACGGTGAAGCTTGCTGCACAGCGTAACACGTGATGTTAGGACCCGGCGAGAGGCCTTGTTGCAAGGGCCTATGCGAGCCTTGGCAGGAGTATACCTGCCGACCGCCGCCCTGCCTCCTTGTAGCTCCTTGAGCTACGTCTTGTTATTCAACCCGCCTGCCTGCCGTGCATTATAGAACACGTAGTGAATTCAGTTATTACTTCTACCTACCTGCCCGAGCTAGCTAGGGCAATCCTGCCGCCCGAGACCGTGACAGACACGGAGCTTCATGCCGAGCCTATTGACCGTATATATTTACATGAGGATCTATAGGTCCGAGCTTAAGAGTGATTCCAGCAGTCACCATGCAGAAAATATCTTCTCAGAGTTAGAAGCGCAAGAATAAGGCACGAAGCTATTAGAATACACTTACTCATGAACCGTGAAGTGAACAAATACGATTGTATTATCTGGCTTGTCTTCAACAAGGGGTCTGCAAAGATGAAGACCTGTTTCTGGCAATTTCATATCCTCGCTTAGAATAATATTATTTGCGGTGAGTGCTACACTGTAAATGGCCCGAGCCCACCAAAGTCATCAATTTCAACGACTGATATTGCAACCACAAACAATCAGATATTTTTAAATCTCGACGTTCGGATAGAAAAGTAGTCTTAAAGCTTATTTCTTAGCGTTTGAGGAAATCTCTTAATTGTATGCTAAGTTGCTCAATTCCAAACAAAGCTCATGATTTAGCGTGGGCACAACTTTTTCGCCTAGCCCTTGGACTATTGTGGTCCGAAGGCAACGGGTTAACTTAATCCGAAATTCCGATGAATATGTACAAAATCTGGAAAAATTATCCTAGAAGTTAGATGAGTAGAATCAACAGTGGTTGATGGGCTTAGGCGCAAAAACCCCAGACCGGCTTCCTTGAACATAAAGTGGCGCTGCCACTTTATATTCAAGGTAGCCCTAGCGCACCGATCCTCTTTCATTCTAATCCACCCCCGTTCCCCCCACTCCCACATCCACCCCCTCCCATTCAAAATATCGCTCTACCCCTCCCATTTTCACAGTCTTGACATGCAGCATAATTGTCACCGCCCTCAACATCACCGGGCGCTTGATCTAGGCGAACCATTGTCCCCTTCGATTTAATTTCAGGTTACAGGGTGCCGTCTTGTGAATTAGTGTCCTGGATGTAGATTACCAGATTCAAGACTTGGGGATATAACACTAAAGCCGAGTACTGCATCCTGTAGTGCTAAGCCCGCTAGAAGGGCAGGGTACCCATGCTAGCAACGCTCACCTTCTCAGCCGGTACTCGGCGCTTTCCAGGCTCCAATGTGTCCACAGCCGTCTTGTGGCACTGGTGGACTGGATTCGCTCATGGGCCGGCGAGGTTGCCTGACTGGCTGCAGCACTCCTCCCTGCCTCTGGGCTGTCTCCTTACATTCAGTCTTCTCGCTACGGGCGTCGCAGCCTGTCAAAGTGTCGACGATGATTAGCCTTGCTTGGAGGTTCGTTGGAAAGGCAAGCCGAAATCTGGATTCTATTCTATACAACACTCCAAAGTCTCTTCTACCACGGCAAAAATATAAAACACCTCTCCATAAGCGTGAGAGGCATTTCCTTTGTTAAGCATGGGGTTAGATAACGGATGAGCAGCTCTCATTGTTGGTCATGTATGGTGCAACAATCACGTGACTCGACGTCTTGCCCAGCTCCAGCGGCCGATTGGTTTCACCACAACACCAAGGTCTTAATTCAGCTTTGATGGACGTAGAGCGCGGTGCTGGCGAGGTCTCCAACCTATATTCGGCATCTTTGACTTTTCTTTAATACACATGTCGAAGCACTTGCAATATTGTGGGTTTATATAGACATTAAGCAGACATTCGCTCACGTTCCATAGCTCTTTCTTAGATAACAGGTTTCTTGTTAATGCTTTTCTAATGCTTCAGAATAAAGTACAGGATTTAGTGTTTGTGTAGATCTACCATTTCCTCACATTACTACTACTTGGCCTCGGCTATCTCTCCTGGCGAATAATTTGGAATAGTATTGCTACGTGGCACCAAGTAAGTTGAAACGACTTGCAGTGGCTGTACGTATCCCGGAAGCTCTGTGCAATGCTAACACTCCATCACGAAATCAAATCATTTTGCAGTAAGGTTCCCTATCTGCGCGCTGACAGCAATTTCTTCATTGCGGAGCAGGTGCCTGAGAGGTGGTGGCCACTCATATTTGTGAGCAGTCGCAGCAGTAGCCAAAAATCCCAATTTTCATTCGTTCCCACCCCTCCATATCCAGAAGTCGAGACAAGCTTCAAGGAAATCGTGAGCACGGTCCACAATGCTTCGGCAAACGTTTGTGATCTCGTTCCTAGTTCCCACGGCGCCTGGGCTGTGCATAGTCAAGTGTACATACATGTAGGACCCGTTTTGTTCCCGTAGTGGATCGTGCCCAGAGTGCCAGGTTCCGGATCCCTCCTCTCTCTCGATCCGGTCTGGCCGTGGCTGTGCTTAGAGCCTCTTGGCGCCCACCACATCCCATATTGCCAGTATATGCTACCTAGTGGCAATAGCGCCCACCCCAAACTTTTCCTTCATGCAATGCAAAAATAAATAACGCCTCTTGCGCAAGAGTGTGACTTGAGCGGGTCGGCCGATATCCCTACTAGCGGTGGCGAGGCGCAACCTACACGCGTATAGCGACACTAGACTAAACATGGGCTTCTATCCTTAATATACGAAACGAAGGTTGTAGTCTAAGGTAAGTGGTATTTTTGCATCGCCTTTGGCTATCCTAGTGTTCTCGACAAGTACATATTATATGATTGCAAGAGTTTAGGCTGCTAGACAAGTTTAGATCCTACAATATTACAATTACTGCAATTAAGTCGTCTCAGCTAGAAACAGGGCTACATAGAGCTGAAGGCTTTGCGCAGCTAACGGAAAGTCATTATTATTGTGATTAAAGGTCTAACCTTCTAGACTGCAAAAGAAGATATATATATATTATACCTTCTCAAAATCCGCTCTCCGTCTTCAAGTACACTTTCTGTAATCTTTACCCCGTCCCCTTGCTGCTGAAGAAGAAGCTCTATTACTTCTTTTCCGCTCGACCTATTCTGCGCTGCAACTTTGAGTACACTTTCTGTAATCTTTACCCCGTCCCCTCGCTGCTGAAGAAGAAGCTCCATTACTTCTTTTCCGCTCTGCCACGCTGCGGCTTCGAGTACACTTTCTGTAATCTTTACCCTATCCCCTCGCTGCTGAAGAAGAAGCTCCATTACTTCTTTTCCGCCCGACTCATTCTCTGCTGCGGCTTTGAGTACACTTTCTGTAATCTTTACCCCGTCCCCTTGCTGCTGAAGAAGAAGCTCCATTACTTCTTTTCCGCTCGACCTATTCCACGTTGCGGCTTCGAGTACACTTTCTGTAATATTTACCTCGTTTCCTCGTCTCTTCAAGAATTCAGCCACACGTTTCGCATCACTCAAACGCGCAGCTTCGTAGATTGACTTCTTGTTTAAATCCGTAAGATTTTGTAGAAAATCTTCCATTGTACGGTAGCGAGAGTAGGATAGGTCGAATACGAATGAAGTAGTGTCTTGGATAACTTGCTCAATGTTCTTCGTATAGTCTGCATACAGAATATCGGAATTCCTTGCGTCTTTAGATATACCAAGTAGGGCATATATCATATCTCGTGGGTCACTCGCTTTGCTTCCGTTGAATTGCAGCAAGAGAGTATAAAGACTTGGTTCCTTGCCCCACCAAGAGTCGTCTTGATTTAGTCCTGGCATCATGTTCAAGACAGCTTGGCAATGAGGCTCTGGTTGCACCTCTATGAGCGACGGCGCAAGGGCGAAGATGCGTGCTGAGACAGACTTGGTGCCGCAACAGACTAAGGCAGCTCGGGCATTGGCGACTTCTTGCAAAATCCAAACCCTCTTGAACCAAGGTCTCTCGAAAAGGAACTTCATACCCACACGTTGCAGAGTTTCCAGACCTGGATGTTGCCTTCTTAGGTCAGACTGCACTGCTAGCCAAGGGTCCATCCAACGCTTGTCCGCAATTTTCCAGTCTTTAGACGTCTCTTTGTTATCCTTGTTCTGCAGAGACTTCAGAGAATCCATAACCACATTTGTCTCGTACGTCGCTGGGCCTAGCCAGAAGATGACTCTATTAGCCTGTTTGTAGATGCCCCCCATCTGTCGGACTTGGTGGCCTCGCTCTTTCTCGTCGCTTTGGTCAATGCAAATAGCATCAATCCAAAGTGTTCTGTCTGATTTTTCAGAACGGAGGTACTGAAGTGCAAGGTAGAGGTTTTCGGTAACACCAAACTCTTTCCCATTTACTTTTATGGATTCAGACATTTCATTGGGGCCCCATGTATATGACAAAGCCTCGTAGGTTGGGGCGTCATCGTGGAGCGGGGCGTCATCGTGGAGCGGGGCTTCATCGTGAAGCTGGGCTGGAAAGAGCTTGCACTCGATGCCCTCTTTGCCCTGACAAAGTCGCAGTAACCGAAAATTACGCCCCTTGACATCGATCGGTTCGTATTGAAAATCATTCATAGTAGCTTGCGTGTAAGCAACGTACCAACACTAAAGGAGGGCTTTAGGCGGATTGTAGCGAAAGCGTCAACGGCGTAAAACGCATCGGAGCAAAGAACAAAGTTCCACGTGCAAATGCAAAGATTTCTCGGTGAGAATAGATCGTAGTTGATTGTATGCGAAATCTGATGACTTTACGTAGAATCTTGCAGTGAGAAGCTGGGTTTATAGTTGGTCGAAAGCAGGAGGCTAAAGGTAAGAAAAAGGAAAATCCAGAGATCAGCCTTGGAGCATGGCGCAGTGAAGGCGGATTGAGCCTTACTGTGTCTCTAAGGCTCGCGAAGAGTTGTAGAGAAATTAGCCTAAGTGCAACGCAACCCCGCTCCACGACCCATCCGGTCAGCTTCAGCCTGGACTTTCCCCGCGATAAACCAACATATACTATTTCTCCAGCACTGTTGCTCTGCTCCTCATTTACACATTTATCTGTCCTGATCCTCTTGACAGCGTTGCTTCACCTTGTCAACACCGCACCCGAAATCTAGCTCAAATTCCGTTTCAAAGCACACAACTTTCACTGTACGCCTCTTTGTACGTACGAAAGCACTCTCGAAACCTGCGCTACAACACGTAACCGCCCAACCCCTGCAATGGATGATGTCGAAGCAAGGTAAGCTCGTCCTCCCTTTTTTTCTTGTTTTCGCCGTGCTCAGAATCCTCTGGGATTGTAAAGGCAACATGTGGCCCACATCAGCCGCATGAAACATGCATAAGCACACTATATATTCAAATACTTATTTCTTTTTGATTTCTGCAGGTGGAACCATATCGAGACTGGCGTGAAGAAAATTATGACCGACGTGCGGGGCGGCATCGACTTTAAAGAACACATGAAGAACAACTTAAAGGCATACTTTGCCCTTTACACTTCTATCCACAAATTCTGCGTAGTGCCGGGCCCCGCCTCGTTCGCGCGTGCTGAATACCTTTACGAACACCTCACCGAGTACCTAAGCTCCCACCTGAAGGGCGTGCAGGCGCGATCAAAGGAGTATATCGATGATGCTCTCCTCTCATTCTATATTACGGAATGGCATCAATACAGGACGGCTGCAGAATGTAACAACTGGTTGTTTCAATATTTAAACCGTCATTGGATAAAAGACAAGATCAAGCAGGGTAGAAAGGATATTTACACTGTTATAACTCTCCACCTAGTGCGGTGGAAGGAGGACGTGTTTATCAACACCCAAGAGAGCCTCGTGCAGGCGATCCTCAAGCTCATTGAGAGGCAAAGGAACGGTGAGATGATTGAGAAGTCTCGCATCAAGCCCGTTATCGAATCGTTCGGCAATCTGACCGAGCCCCTCGATCTGGATGAGTCGGATGAATCAAAGTCCACTGTCGATTTCTGCAAAGAATACTTCCAGGAGCCCTTCCTGAAGGCCACCACGGAATATTATGACACCAAATCGAAACTGTTCTTAGCCGAGAACAACGTCGCGGAGTACATGAAAATGGCAGAGGCTTGTCTAGAAGAAGAGGAGGAACGCGTTTCACCGTACCTCCATGACGATACTAAACCGCTTCTGATGCAGAAATGTGAGGAATCTCTTATTATCAATCATTTCATGGAAAAAAAGAAGGGAAAGGAAAAGGAAACAAGGAAAAAATCTACACGAAGAGTTCCAGGACTTTCTTGATCACAACAAACATGAAGATCTTAGACGCGTGTACAAGCTTTGTGTCCGTGTTTCCGCAGATCTAGGTCGTCTCCAGGGCCGCTTCTCGACCCATGTCCGCAAGGCTGGTCTGGCAGCCGTCGAAGAGGTGGCTCGGGAAGATGATAACCTTGAGCCAGAGGTCTACGCCGAGGCTCTCCATAAGACTCACGCACAATACCAGAGTCTAGTCAACCATTCATTTAATGGAGATTCGGGGTTCATGCAATCGGTGGACAACGCCTGCCGTGAGTTTGTTAACCGCAACAAGATCTGCCTGTCGGGGTCAAACAAGTCAGCCGAGCTTCTCGCCAAGTACACCGACACCGTGCTAAAGAGATCAATCCTCACGATGGCCACAGACGACAGAGAAACGCGTCTTACCCAGATCATAACTCTTTTCAAGTACATTGAGGACAAGGACGTCTTCCAGAAGCACTACTCGGAAATGTTAGCCGAGCGTCTAAAGCAAAATATACTCGTCTCTAATAGGGCCGAGAAGAGGATGATTAGCAAGCTGGGAGAAGTTTGTACCCTTGAGTATATACGTAGCCTACCTAGAATATCAAGCTAGTATGAATATAGAATAGGTTTGCTACGTAAGTATGCTTACAAACTATACTAAATAGTAACGATGTTGAATTTGCAATTAACGTTGCCACCACAAAGCAGGGAGGACGGCTGGCCCGCTCTAGTCATGACCTTGTGAGATGGCGAATTCTGTAATATGAATTTAGCTGACTAGTTGCATGTCGAGGTGGTGGGCTTGGGCTCTAGAGGTTCTACAGTACCAACCATCGGAAATTTCATGGCTACTTAGGAAAGACCGCGCATGGCCGGAGAGCACTCACCACCAACACCTGATTACTATACTTTTACTTTTGTAGTTATATCTTCTGCTAGGAAACTAAACTACATCCGCTACCTGTGGCTAGTCCTTCAAAAGTCCTCAAAGCTAAGACCAAAGCGTGATCTCCATTCTAGTGACGTCGCTTGGCGCTTCTAGGTTAATGCAACATCGTTCATGCTGTTCAACATGCATGGATGCTCCTGCCCTAACAATATTGCGCTGGTATTCATCACTTGCACCTACCGATGCCGATACTTCACGCTATAACGTCAATATTGAATTCCTATAATTGAAGTGCTCAGTGGCTCTGGCGTCATATTCATACATTCCCTCTCAAACCATGACGCGAAGACATCGCGAGTCCAGCGAGCGAGAAGCTGGATAGTCGCGACGATCTGGTAGACTCCGAGAGCGGAGTTGGTACTGCCGAAAGTAACTTCTTCGTACAGACACTGCGATAGGAACCGTAAGCGGTGCTCATATGGCCGAATGTCATGCAACTGACCGTTCGTTTACCTGGATACCGTACAGCTGCCAGAAATTTCCACTGATGCCCTTGCACGATTATCACAGGCAAGAATGGCAAACCACTCGCGTCTGTGCCGCCCGTCTCTTGTTCGCCTCTCATCTCCCTCACCTCCTCCATCAGCTCCTCAAGCTTGTTGAACTGCGCAGCGGTCCAGATCTCCAGCTGATACACCGCCTCCTTCCACTTCTCTCCTGTGCGCTTCGTCTCAATGCTGACTCCGATCGGGCAATGTGTCAGTGGTTCGTGGAGGGTGTGATTGACAGACTTGGCCGTCTTGCCGCGGAATCGTGTGTTAAATGCTTCCTTGAAGCGGTCGGAAGGTTCAACTGTAATTGCGAAATCGGTCATTTTTCCTTGCGAGGCTGTTGCGGGGTCGCTGGGTGGGATTAGGGAGGAGGGGGCGATTTGCGCAGATGTACTGTAAGATGTCAGGGGATCCAACATGGACCTAGAAGACCCGAAAACGCACCAGTTAACAAAGTATACTTGATCCATGAAAGGCTTAGTGTATAGCGCCAGGTCAAGTATGTAATTGTGCACGCTGCTGTTCCAAGCGGCTTCGCTACAACCCTTTGTTTCGCACCGGGCGGCTAGCCACACAGCCTTTGCGCATTGTCGAGGAGTCGGAGATGGGCCAGGAAGGTCGTCCAAATCGGCGTAGACGAAATCGTAGGCGTTGATGGCTCCGAGGGCGCCTGTTTTGATGCCAGCAATCTCATTCTTGGGTAAATGGTCAGCATGGACTATCCAACAGGTAGGAAGACGAGTTAACCTCGTATTCGTTGGATATGACGCGGATGCCGCGCGAAAGACGACCGTCGATGATCCTAAGCATAGTCTTGAGCTCGTCTGGGATCTCTTCCCTCCGTTCGTGGAATTGTTGCAGTTCGACGGGCTGCGGCGCAGATCTCATGGCCTTGATTTTCTTCTCCGGACTCTGCGACCGTCGGGAAATGAAGCTTTGCTCCGAGCTGGCGAGCGACGGGGCAGGCCGTATGGACATAGCTCGCGGCGTATCCTCAACGCTGCCATCGATGCGTCGTCTCTTGGAAGGTGATGGCGTGCGTGTGGCAGGAGCGTCCATTTCGAAAGAGTCATGGCGGCCGCGCTTGCTCCGCCGCGGCCCGTTACTGGGACAGTCGGCTGAGGTGGACTTAGGCGGAGATGGAAGCTTTTCCAGCCAAGACAGAACCGAGGAGTGATCACAGTGTTGCGACATGGAAATCCATGAGGTTTCGAGTGTTGTTAGTGGAAGTCTGGAAGGGCGACTGTTTGTTTGTGCTGGATCCTTCACCGCTCGGCAGAATATGAGGAACCCTAGCACTTTGTTAAATAGGGCGATATATAGGTCTATATCTCTGTAGAGTATACCTTTATTTAACCCTTACTAGTTACTAGATTTAATAACTTTCTCTATATAAAATTCTATATAGCATATAATACTAATAATCTAAGCTATCTAAAGTCTTATTTAAGATTTATAGTTTTGGAGCGTGGGTATGCATGTTACGGCGCACCACATGTGTGGCAGGCACGTGGCGAGATTGCACGTGATGCGGCCTCGGCGCGGCGCCGGGCGTGGCCTCGGGCGCGCGCGGCCTTAGGCGCGGTTGCGGGGCAAGTCAAGTCGCATATATATGTTGAACACCGGCCCGTCGAGTAGTTTGCTCGACACTGTACCTTTTTGATTGGTGTGCACTGCTGCTGGGCCGGTGGCGGAGTGTAACAATGCATTCATTTACCGGAGTCTAGCTTCTATACGAGAACAATAGTAATATACTCTCTAGTATGCGAATAGGGTTTTCCTATATATAGCTAGATGGGTTCCTAGTAAAATGCAGTTGTTCATATACGTTTAGCCCGTATTCATATCTCATTTTTTCAGAAAAAAAAGTTCATTGGCCATTTTTTCAATCCAACCTGCTACGCTGGAAGATGTAGAGCTGTACAAGGCCACTAATAAGGGCAATAGGCGCGGCGTGAAGTTAAATGTCACAGGTTGGGTTAAGGAAATGGGTGGTGATGGAAATTTTCACTATAAAGTGGGTTGGAAAAGAACAATTACCAACCATACTGGCCGTTGACCAGGTGCAGGAGTTTGCCGAAATTTGGCGCTCCATATCCAGTCACGGGATCCCAACCCGGGGTCGCGTTCCAGTGAGCGCCGGGAATGACACCCGCACCTGGGATCGGTTCCTCGGTCTGCGTGTCGTTGCCATTGCAGCCATCGGATTGCCCCAAGGTGATGTCCGTGAACGCTTTGTAGCCGTAGGCGTAGATGAATGGGTTCAAGAAGCCAAGAGCGGGCTTGCCGGCACGGAGGCGTGCATCGTTGAGCAGCGCGATGATGCTGGCCGTCACAGGCGCAGCGGCCGAGGTGCCTCCAGACAGATTTTCCTCGCCGCCTTGATATACAATGTAGTCGGGGTGTAGGGAGTGTGCAGACACGTCGGGGAAGCCTCTGCCGGAGAAGTTGGTGTATGCGGAATAGTATGACTTGGTCTCGGCGCTGATGTACTTGTCAAGGTATGCCTTCACTGCTTTGTTCTGGTACCAGGGGCGCTTGAAATACTGTGTAGATGGCTGGTCAGTATTTCGATCTGAAGCGTGGACAAGGGCTTTGTGCACTTACATTGCTGAAGCCGCCAGAACTCCCAACCCAAGCTTCTTCTGGGGTGAAAGAGACTAGTCCACCAACGCTGGTGACGTAGGGGCATGTGGCCTAGAAAGGAAATTAGTGAATGCTCAACGGATTTTCTAAGCTTTACTTACAGGGAAGATTGGATTAAATTGGGCAACGGAGCCATCGGTAGAGAGGCAGGAAGCACCAACTCCCTCGTCGCCAGAAGAGTGGAGGACAGAGATTCCACGAAGTCCTAGCAGTCCAATCAGGTTGCACACCTGCACAGCGTATGTCTCCGGGACCGTCTGCTCCTCGTCACCATAAGAGTTGGTGATAACCTGTGGAAGTGTTGGTTGAGTGAGGAGGTACTCGTAGTAGGGCAGATAAGGCTCGTTCTCGTTTGGTGTGCCGGCTGGCTCTACTGGGTCGGGAAAGTATGGGGGGCTGCCAGCGGTGATGTACTCGCTGAAGGGCAATGGGTGTGAGATGCCTGAGATGTATTGGCTGTCCAAGTTGGCTTCGCCATCATTCGCATCAAGAGGCGGTTGAGGATAGGCAGTTGCACCATCTTCAGGGTTGACAAGAATGACGGAGAAGTTTTGCTCAGGAATGCTGAAGTTCCCCTGGAACAGAAATAGATCGGAGTAGCTGGCACTCTGGTTCAGGAATGAGCCGAAAGCAATCTCGCTGCCGGAACTGGGGTCTGCAGTATAGTTGTTGATGTTGTAAATGGTCTTGAGGCAAGCCGGCCCGAAGGCTACGTATGTCTCGTTGTCTAGGGTGACGCTCAGCTCGCACTCGGCTGGTGGTGTAGCTCGTTTGGCCAATTGCTTGCGGTCCTCCGCTCGTGCTGGCATCATAGCTTTCGTGTTTCCGAAGTAGGTCGTCGGAGAGACAAGGGCGACATGGCCGACCAAGTCCTCGGGAATGGAGTACTTGGTCGTTCTGAGCTTGGTTTTTCCAGTGCTGTCCTTGTAGGTTTTGAAAGTAGTCCCAAGCATGGAGTTGGCAGTGCCGACATCGGCCTGGAACCAGTAGCTTCCAGCTTGTGCGACGTATTGGGTGACGCCAGAAGCCTTTAGCCACGATTCGACGGCAGCGGAGCTCTCATTACTGGCGCCGAACAATGCATTGACCTCATCGGCGTCGAGATATTGTCCATATTCGGGGGAACCTGGTGTGGATACTGCTGCGAGCTTCGTCTCTAGCTGGTCAATGTTTTGCTGCGACAGAGAGACTTGCAACACCATCTGCGACGAGTCGCTAGGAACGTCGGAGACGCTCCATCCTGCCGGAACGCCTGGGAGAGACTCATGGAGCACTAGGCCAGATACCTGCACGCCCAAGATTGACACGAAGCCAAGCAGAAGAAGAGATGAAAGAATGGTCATTTTGAGCAGAGGAAAGAAATGTGCAGTGCAGGACCATAGAGGAACGGAGTTGAAGAGCTGCGTACCTACCTTTTGTCCATGACTATCAACTTGGAACACTCCCTGACCTTGTCTGCAGTTACATTAGTCTAGGAAGCTCATGTACCAGTCCTGCCATGGGTAACAAGAGCTCCTCCGCTTTCTGTCGTCTTTCCTTGTCCACCTGCTCGAAGCAGCCAAGAGCGACATGCAGAGGTTCGCTTGGGGATGGGTATCGCGGGGATCTGCGTCGCCCCGGTCCAATCTCCGTCATCGAACTCAGCAGCTGAATTGTAGCACCCCTAACACAGCCCGAAACTACTCAATTGTCCTCCAAATTTGAACCAATTATCTTCCAAAAGAATATCGGAGGAACTTTGAGTCAGTATATGAGCATTGCCAGCAAAAATCAGTCAATTTCGAAAATGCGTCTTGATGTTGTTATGCACGGTGCCTCGGAATAAATTCGCCGCTGATTCGACGAGGAATGGTGTAGTTGGGCAGGCGCTTGTTCTAGCCGAAAGTCTCTCGCTCTGCGGCCACAGGCCCCCACCATCATCTTGATAGCACCCTCTGTTCATCTAAGCTGTATATACACTACCGTATTACATTCCATATGGAATTACCCAGTGTGCCGGTTACGAGAAGAGCGCGTCGATTGAGTATACGGCCATCCACGCACGCCAGAAAATCGCCGCAACCCCGTACGGGACTATAGATAGGGCAGCGGGATCCCAAAAATTTTGGTAACCTGTGTTCCCGTACGGAACTATAGAGCGTAGGGTTCACGCAGAATCCTGAAATATTTCGGGCAATCTGTTGAATATCACGGCAGCTGGTGGATGAAACAACGTGACAGGGGATGGGAATGGGTACATATATAAGGCACCCCGCCCATCCATAGACATACAGATCAATCAATACTATCACTTGTTCAACACAATCTGTGTCCCCGTACGGGAGTACGAAGTTGTTCACGCACGGGGAAGCTGAAACCTGAAAAGTGTTAGTAATTGCGTTCCCGTACGGGAGCATGGAATGTAGGGCTTCTGTTCACGCAGGGGGAAGCTGTATCCTGAAAATGGTTAGTGGCTGCGTTCCCGTACGAGAGCATGGAGTGTATGGCTCCTGTTCACGCACGGGGGAGCTTAATCCTGAAAACATCGGTAGTCTGTACCCGTACGGGACTATAGAGTATAGGGCTCATTTTTGGGCAGGGGGCATTCTGGGAAAAATCTCGGAAGTCTGTATTTCCGTACGGGCCTGTGTTGTGTAGGGGTCTCGGCAAAAACAGGAAGCGGAATCCAGGAACAACCATCTCATAATTGTATGTGGGACTAGAAGCTGGATCCTATTAATGGTACGAGCGGGATGATGCAGCCTTTCGTCCTCATAAAGGATCCCCATGAAGATCTCAGAGGTGGATACAGTATTTCGTGAGCTTAAACAAGGTTTGTGAAACCGGAGACCTATTTCAGATTTGCGATCGCAGAACATTTACCCAGTGGTAATCGCTGAAAGAGCAACCTCAAGTATTACGACGAGCGAATTAAATGACGAAAAGAAAGCAAGCGAGATCTTTGGATCTACAGCCTTTCACTGCGTCCGGTGGTCTAGCGCGCAATTGAAGCCACAAACGAAGCCGCTGGACAGGGGTATCTTTCTGAAAGTAACGCCCGGAAGTACTGTGCTTTTAGCAAGTTAAGCTCCGACCGGTAAGACTTAGTCCAGAAATGGTTGTTCCCCGCGATCACGAGACTTATTTCCACCTACTGGGCCTATGGCTTCAATTGCGCGCTAGACCACCGGACGCAGTGAGAGGCTGTATCAGAAAGCTCTGATCCATCATTCGAATGGTCTCTTGCGAAACGCCACCTCGATATGACAGCAAAGCCGTCTACAGTATATGCTATCGAGGTACATACCTAGATCACTGATCCCAGGAGTCCGTTTTGGGACAAGAGACACTTAGGCACTGGGAGCGTTTTAAGCGACGGGTTAGTAGTCGCCAAGCTGAAAGCAGGGCACAGGATCTTGAATGTGACAGTATGGAATTGAGACGCGACTACGTGAATTAAGCGTTACGAAAGCAAATGCCATGAGATTCCCTGAAGTGTGTACGATACTCTTCTGGCGAAGATATGCTGTGCGAGCAAAGCGGATGTGGACAGGATTGCGGTTCGTAAAATTCTAACACCACGCCTAGCTCTGGTTTCTTTCCAAAAAGGTTATCTTTATCATGACGCAGCATATGATACCGATATTCCGAGCGGATTACGGACTGCTTATATCGTACCGATGGCGGCTTGTTGCTGCCAAGGCAGAAAGGGCAAAGGGCTGGAGCTATTGTCAGCCCGAGGCGTCTTCCGAACCCGCAGAAATTCCCTCTCTCTTCTTTAAGCAGCTCTAGGTGCTTCTTGCAATGGTCTTCCCAGCTTGTACTTGATACCCAACAACGGCATGGGACGCAAAACTTGTTGTTCGAATGAGTCATGGCGCACAACAAGCAATATTCGGCGGTCTCATGAGAACTGGCAGCAATGTCAGACACATCACACTAAATGATCGATATACGTCAAGACACCACTAACCTGGCGACGGGGCATTCTCCGCAATGGATCTCCGCTCCTGGATAGTAGTGAGGCTTCGGAATGGGATTTGCGATTATTTGTAAAGAGCGTACAACTTCATTCAGTGATTTTGGTGTTTGAGCCCAAAAGCTTTCAATGACAGCCTTTCTGTTATGATCATACTTCAGCAAAGTCTCGCAGTAGTACGATGGCGCTGGCTAAATTTGGTTCGCGTCCTGTGAGCTTGCATTGCTTTCACCAGTGCGGTGGTGTTCAACGTCAGCAAAGAATGCTTCTCTCCTCCTTTTGATATCTTCCTTCTTTGCAACTCTTACGAGGTCACGTTTCTCACGTCCAGGATATCTTAATTCCAATCTAGCCAGCTCTTCCTTTGAAGGGACGAATTGATCCGGGCTGTTGATAAACGATCCCGGTGGAGCCGGCGCATTGGTATGCCTGCCGAAGGTGATACACCGGGCGAAATTTATGTAGTCTTGATTTTGAGATCTTCTTCGGACAAGAGAGGGAAGATCTATCCCGACAGTATTGCAGGCGTAGTACTTCTGAAAGACTTGATCAGTGGTGCCATGGTGTCCCATGATCTGTTGTCTTGCTGCAACTGTTGTTTTACTTTTAGAGAGGTTAGCATGAGTAGAACAGTAAGACAGTAAGCAGCCAGATTTGTCGTACCTTCAAGACCGTTTCCGAGACCTCTGCGAAGGGCATGGCCAGAAAGCCTATCATTATAACCGACACGATACCCAAGTTCTGTTGAGTATTTCCAGAACATGTATCCCGTCATTATCTTATGAGATGAAATCTTGCCCTTCTTCTCAAGACTACGGCACACGGGCAGACCCATCTTGTCAGGGTTTTTCCGCAATTTGTAAGAGTTCGCTGAAGGTGCGAGAGACAGAGCAGATGAAGCGAGGCAGGTCTTCAAAGGCGTCATCCGCTAAGGCGAATCCCACGAAATTAACAACAGGGCAGGACTACTAGTTGGAAGGATCAGTTTCTATAGCGAACGGAGTTTCCATCCTGTGAATAGTTAGAACATATCAAGAAGCCCTGGGACTGTGGAATTACGTTGCTTCTTCCCCTCGATGACCTTTCTGATTCCGTATTCTTATGCTCATATGGAACCCAAGCACTCCAATGAATCGGGCGATGTATAGGTCCACGTCTCTGTAGAGTATGCCTTCATTCGACCCTCGCCAGTCGCTGGATTCAACAACCTCCCCTGTACGAAATCCTGCGTGGGACATGACACTGATGATCCAAGCCATCTGAAGTCTCATTCGAGGTTCGTAGTCATATTCGTCGCAGCACCAGAGTTATTGCAGAATGTCCTCGGTGGCGCCGAACAGAGCTACAGGCTTCACTTTTGCTGTTGTCACTGCCTCTCCTTTTTCAATAAGGTCCTTGATGCTCTATAGAAGCTATGTTAGCTCGTGAATTAGAGGACGAGGGACTCCTTCTGGCGGCCACCGTAGCGGCTTCGCTATTCCGCGAGGCCGGCCTCTTGCTTCTCTTCCTCGGGCAAGGACGGTTGTTGCTGTGGTTGGTGAAACTACTTACACATTGCACCTCTCTGATGTCTTGCTTTGAATAGAAATAGCCTGTGTGGCAAGATATAATCTCTCTAATAAGGATCCACAGCTTTGACAGATACTAGAAGGTAACTATGTGATTATCATCCAGTCTTCCCTTTGAGGTTCGTGCGATATATCTGATGAAAACCATCAGTTCCCGGAGTGATGGAGCTTTTTGAAACCCCTCGAGGTCATTTGGCAGACCCATCTCCCTAAGAAATCTAGATCAATAAGCGGGATGAATGTAGGCGACTCTGTGCTGCACTTACTCGTCCCATTGCCTCTAGAGCCTCTTGACAGCCGAAGCCTTGGGCACAGTTTTGGTAAGACGGGTTATATCCAGTTTGGGAGCATCGTCCTTTTCGTGTAGTTGGCTCCTTAGGTCTGCAAATGACATGGTTAAGGTCAAGATGTAAGGAGGGGTGCGGCAGGAGGTCAAAAGCGTAGGTTTTGATAAGTGGGCAGCGGAGGGAAATTAAAACGGCCAGCGCCCCAGCAGCGGGGGGGCGGCCTCTATTTCGAATGGCCATTGCGGCGCAGGTACATTGATTTATTGATCCGGCTCAACGTGGTGAAAGAGTGTATTCGGGATCGTGTTTTGGGAACAGGCGCGTATTATTTCAGGAGGTGGGGCGGCGCCAAGTTTAATACCGTGCTTACACAAAAAACTCTTCACCCACTGAAAATCAGGCTAGCAGCGCTTGCTGATTGACGGCGAAAGACGGGGGGGGATAGAAATCCTAGGATTCAGTAATGGCACGCCTTGAAGAAACATGTAAAAGCCTATATAAAACTAAATCTTTTCTTCGTTCTCCAATTATCTGGAAACAAGATCCAGTATCTTGTCCACAAGGGCGCTTGGTCTAGGGGTATGATTGTAAGTTCACCATGAAAACCTTACCTAGGTTACTCATCTAACCAACAATAGTTCGCTTCGCATCTTCTCGATACGTATTTGTGAAAGGTCGTGGGTTCAATTCCCACAGCGTCCATTCTTTTGTGGTGTGCAATTCCCAAAGTGTCCAGATTTTTTTGATTTTTTTTGCCTTTGCAGCCTTCAAGGAGGGGGAGCTGGGGCCTCTAGGCGGTTTTTTTGGACGCTGTTCGGTGTGTGTTGATTACGTGTTGCTTCACTGATGGATTGGCAAGTGGGTAAATCCAAGCTCTGCCTTTTATGGGCCATCACGCGATTGAGCAGGGCTATGTATCGTTCGTAGCAATTCATGAAGATTAATTACTAAATCATCTACCTAATGAACTGCTAGGTAATTGCGTCGAAACAGTGTTTCGGTACTTGATTTCGTTGTGTTCGAGTTAGCCGCGAGCAGGAAGGAGTAGACTCCGCCCTTGGTCATCCAGGAGTTCTCCTGGAGCATGAAGACATTCGTTCGTATTGTCCCTTGGAGCGGGTGTAATAGGATCATATGTGATTGCTTTAGGACATATGATGATTCCATAAGTTTAAGGTCAAGTTGGCAGCAGGTTTGCAGTTCTCAACTCGCGTCAAGTCAGCTGTCTTCTAGCACACAATTGCGAGAGCTGATGCAACACATTCCTTAAAACGAGTCTCTTACACAATTACAACATGTCTTGAGTTCAGAGAAGTTCATTTCATTTCTCATATCGCCTCATGAGTCTCATGAAGCCAGCTCAAGTCAAGCTGACTCCAAACCCTCCATCATCATCGATAGAACACACCGCCTTCAGGAGCATGAATACTTCATACCCATGGTCCCCCCTGCTGCACTATTTCCTTTCGTCCTCATTTCTTACTCGTCTTCTCCTCGGCAGACTTCGCTAGGATATGCGTTGGGTTGCTCTCCAAACCCGCTAACTCCTTCTTCCCGTCGCCCTGGTCAGTCGCGCCCTGGTCGTTCGGGTTGGCCTGTGCATCTTGCTGCTGGGCACCGGTCTGGTTCTCAGGCTCGGGGGACTGGCGGCCGGCGTTGGGTGCGGACATCTTGGTGTAGTGGGTTGGTTGGATTTGGTTTGTAGGTCTACGAACGGGTGTTAGATTTGAGCGTCTGTTATGCTGGTTCGGATAGGATATGAGGTCTAAATAGCGGACTGGAGGAAGGAATGGTCCCGAAGTCGTAGTGAATGGTGGTGTGAACGTACTGTAGTGTAGAGGTGTAGGATTCTAAGATGAATACGAGTCAGCTTCTGCTCAATTGAACACTTTCAACACTTTTCATCGACTCACCAGGTGCTTCTCAAGTCGTGGATAGTGTAGATGTAAAATCTACGAGTCTCCAGCGCGCCCCGCGCTTTATTGCCCCTCCTACTTCTTTTGACGTCATCCCCAACCAAGTCTTGGCAGCTACGTTTCGGGCATCTTTGCAGAGCACCCTGCACATCACGTCAAGCTCTCAATCATCGGAAGAACTAGGTAGCGCTGACAGAGCAAAGTGTGGGTTCGCATGTGAGTGTCGGTCATTTTCTCGCATGAAGTTGGAAGACACGCCAAAATGTCCTATGCACGTTCTCGATACGCGTGACATGGCATTTCAATCATGGGATTTTGAAGTTCTGATATATGCATGTACCATTCCGATAGCGCCTAGTTTTCCCATACTCCCATATTCTAGTACGCTGATTCAATTCAGCTCATCTTCCCCATCTCAACATCCCCTTCTCCAAGGTCATCGTCGTCGTCCCAACCTGATGATCGTATTCTTCTTCCGACCCAAATCCCTAATACGGTCAATGCACTGACAGCGAGAAACCACCCTTCAAACCACCGTTCGGTAAAGCTAGGCTCAAGAGGTGCTCCCAAAGCATCCGAAATCACGCTGCGCACTTCGCTAGGAAGATTGCTCCGCAGAAGTAATGCGGAGCTAATGACGTAAGTCGCGCTGATTTGGGAAACGAATAATGCCATATTAGCCTGAGCATGTTGGAGTATACCAGGCACAATCCTAGCGAAGAGGAGGAAAGTCTGGAGGACGCTGTTGAAGGAGGCTAGGAGCATGACGCCGGAGAGGAGGAAGGAGATCTGGCGGCTCCATGCGACACGATCGAGGGTCGGGTCCCAGTGCTTAGCTAGGATTGCGAGCACATTGTTGATCGGATCGCTGTTCGAGAAACTAGTATTCGGTGATGAGAACCGGCGGAGAGTGGTAAAGGTGGTGGCAAACAGGCGGTAGAGGCAATACAGAGAGAAGACGTATGAGAACAGATTTACGACTCGTCCGTAAGGTGTATGGGCCCGTAACTGGGCTTGTCTCCTCGTTTGTAGGGTGAACAACGAGTTTGAAAGAGCAGTCCGCATGGTCTCAAGCCCAGCTATCTCCAATTCGAGTGTCTTTCGCTCCTGTACATCCGAATTACCACGGATGCTACCAACCATGCGTGTCACAAACCCTTCTTGGGGTTGATCGGATAGCTTGCGTTGGATAGCTCGAAGACGGCTCTCCTTCGTAAGGAGCATTTCGTTGGTCGCATCCAATCCAGCCTGCTTTCGAGCAAGGGTAGCTTCAGTAACCTAATATCCTATCAACAATCTATACCAGATTCCAAGGTTAAATCGTAGAGCACTCACCGGCCGAAACTTAACCCCAAAAGTCTGCCACAACGAACTCACCGCCGCAAATCCAGCCAACGACGCCATGAGACTAACCCCAATGATCCCAATCCGCTCCAAACACCCCTCACTGATACTGTGATCCCGAATATACGACTCCTCATGCAGATACGACCCCAGCAGCGCCCGCCCAAGATACCAGAACCCGATCAGCCATGTCGCAAACCCCACTCCTTCCAATGCCCAAGCTGTCCTGAGGTGTCCCTTACGCCCCTCGCCAAAGCTCCATCCTGCCGCTGATATAACCGAGTGTATCTCCAACGCCGGCGTCGCGATGATGAGGAGGAACAGGAGCGAGGGAAGCGTGATCTTCAAGGCGAGGCTGCGCGCAGCGGGATTGACGGTATTCGAGATCTCGCACAGGATCAGCTCGACCAGCACAGCTGAAAGCGCAATGTTGGTCGAGAAGACTATGCCCGCGAGACTACGAGCTGTGAATCGCTTCAGCCGTGTCTGGACAGACGGCCGTTCCGAAAAGTTGTATGTCGACGCTGGTAACTGCGCATCATGCTGTTTGCGAGCCGCTTGCCCAGACAGCAGCGGGAAAAGCTTGTGGGAAACGGCGGTCGCTACGATGAGGAATGTGAGGATAAAGGGCAGCGAGGAGAAGGCTAGGGCGGACAGCTTTCGCTGTTTGACATAGTCCGGCACGCAGTCATCGCAGTCGTCGGAGGGGAGCATATGGCGGGAGTTGCGGGAGCGAACAACGGGAGGTGGTTAGAAATCCAGGTTGGAGGTGTGGATTCGAGTGGTTCCCATTGATTCAAGCAGTCCGTAGGTGCATGTATTGATCATGAAGGTAATACGGGTAACCTTGCATGACGCCTCGCGGAAGGGACGCGGCATTGTCTAATCCCATGTGGTAGGGGAGGGGTCCCCGCAATTCGTCACCACCAAAAATAAAAGTCACGTCAGGAACAAGCCCTATGAGCGTCGTATACCTCTTTTGTTTCATAATTGAGATCGGGTATTCATTACGGCCGTCAACGTCGTGTCAACGTGCGAGTGGACTAAAAATTCAATCTGAGCCGACCCTGCCATAGCCATGTGTAGCTATGACTTTAGTAATGACACCATGAATCCGCCCCATTAATCCGTTTGTGCTCGTTGACCCATCTCTAGGTATCAGAATTCGTCAAGTCTGACCTGGCGTTCAGTTCAGCTCCTCGTTGGTAGATCGTCTGGCTCCACGAACGCTACTGAATGTCTCTCCGCCGCCCTTGAAGCAGCTGGCTTTGCAGACTCATCAGGAGAATCCTCAGGGTCCATTGGAACGCCTCCTTCGGGGCCGTTCTCATCATCGCTGCTGCTGTCATCGCTCAATGGTGGACTGTCCAAATTCTGTAGGTGGGGGCTTTTCATGACAACTCCTGGACTTCGGAAATCGTCTGGTGAAACGTCACCGTTGTGTTCACCTCTAAGCTCTGGCGAATCCAGATTTCCAGGGGCAGACTGGACATGTGCTAGCGGATGAATGGTCTCTCCTCGGGATGGCTTATATCCTATAGCTGCAGCAACCGCGCCAGCCTCATCATCCGATGCCGGCAGGTTCTCCTCCTCAATGAAACTATTCCTGTGGCTCATGTTGAGGATATGGCCTGTCATGGGAGCGGCTTTGTCCAGAATGTCCTTGTACGCATGGCGTCCATCAGCCTTTCGCTTCTGTTTCGCCTTATCTCGTTTAGTGCTCGGTCGAACGACTATAACCGGAACTGGAGAGTGCTGTAGACAGTATTTCGACACTGAACCCGGGAGCAAGCCTTGAAAGCCGCCCAGACTTCGACCACGAGTGCCAACGACAAGAATTGCTGGCTCGTAGAGATTGATCTACGTCGTTAGCTACAAACTCAAGGGTACGAGACCAGACATACCATCTCGTCAATGACCTTGTTCACTTTTCCTAGCGAGAACTCCAGTATCAGATTGATAGCCTTATTGTCGTCATTCTTAGTTTGAATGTGCTTCATCAACTGCTCAGCCTCCTTGCGGTATTTGCCATTCTCGATGCTGGAGTCTGCTGCGACCTTCGAGTCCATCTCCACCACCCTCAGACACACAATCTCGTCTCCATCATCGACTAGTTCGTCGATTAGCCATTGTAGCGCGTACTCGGAGTAGTCGTTGGAGTCTAATCCGCACAGAAACGTTCGCGAGCGCTTCGTGTATTCGTAGTCTTTGTGTTTCGTAATCAGAGTGAATGAGTTCTCTTCTATGAAGTCTGCAGGCCGGTCGAAGGTGTCAAAGGAGACACGGGGTCGGAAAAGACTGGTCATGCCGTTAGTATGGTCCAATTGAGCGGCAGCGTGAGATGAACGGCAGGCAAGACGCCAGTATATGTCTCTCTTAGCAGCCACACCAAGGCTAGTGAGCCATACTCGGCCATCCCGCTATTTAGAAATGCTTGTGTATGAGTCTATAGAGGGTAGGTACTAGTGACATCACACGACTGGAGGAGGGGCAGTCCTGTGAATATATACTTACGGAGGAGGTGGCGGCGACGACATCCGCCGTTGCAAGCGTCCAGACTTCGGGAGGCCCTGGGGCAAGCCGACCTGGATATGCGGGATGAACTGGATCGAGGGCCGTCGTGCATCGTGTGTCTCATCGCCGGCAGCGGCCAGCAGCAGAGGGCTCACAGGCAGCCGCGTGGAGGCAGACACAGCAGCGGCCTGTGGTGAGGCTTTGAGGACGCCAGCGGGTGCAGAAGTTGGGGAGGGCGTGGGGGACTCGCCCATCCTGATTTCCGATTGGTATTTCCAGGCAGTTGATGGAGGCACGCGGTCGTAACGAGTATCCCGTCACCGTCAAAAGGCAATCTGGGGTCTTGCCCGCTTGCGGACAACCCTGGCGCGCGTGGAGCCTTCTCACAGGCGAAGAGCTGCAGAAGAATGTCGTGGACGGCGAGGCACAGTGCGGAGAGCTTCCACGCCGGAGTGGGGGTTTACGATCGGTGAGGCCACGAAGTTGCAGTGACGATGCAGAGACGTCGGAGGTGTGATCCAGGGCGGCGGCTTCTGCTCAGTTAAGGGCAGCGCACGCAGTCGCAGCTATGTCTGGGCGGACCAAGAGCTCTTGGTCCATCCTGGCTGGCTACGGCGGGCAGGGGAGCGGGCTTAGAGCTTCTCGGCGGGCGGTGGGAAATGCTTAGTAGACGCACTTCGCGATGGCGGTGCAGTCGGAGGGCCCGTCACACTGGAGAGCACACGACATGGTCAGACGGTGGAGAGATTCTTTCTCCGCATTATGGCCTACACGAAGCAATCAATCTCAGCCAAGACATAGCCTAGCACACTCGATGGTTGAGCGTTGTGGAGGCATATGCAAACTGATATGCACACTAATCCCATCACGAGCCGATAAGAGAGCTGCATGAATGAGGTCACGATGGCTGGACGGAAGGGGCAACTCGTAGCCTTGGGAATGGCCAAGTAGTGTGAATTCAACGCGGGTCATTGCTGGCTTCTAAATAGGACTCCGGTGTCGCATTGGCGTGAGGCCCGTTAGCTCATACCAAGTTTATTGGACCGTTTGGAGATGTCACTTGCTGTGCACCCTATAGTAGACCACGGGATTAAAACTGGTTTGTATGTGGCAGATGTAGAAATGGGAGCCAGTCCGTATGATCACACTTGATTTTGGCATATTCGTTGACATAGCTCGTAAATCGGGCCTAAGGAAATGGTTGATTTAGGTAACTAGGTGGTAAAATCTACGAACGGGAGCCAGTCCGTGCGATCTAAACTCGGTTTTAGCATGTTATTACCTGGCATACCAAATCAGGCTGTGAAAAGTAGGTTGATATCGTTGGCTGTAATTTGCTCACGAGGTATCACGGTCATCAACAAAGACAACAGGCAAACGAACACTGACAAAGTAGCAAGCGGGTTGACGAGAAAGTGTTCATTCCAATCTCCAAAATCAGTTTCCCAGCGCAATCCATGTACTAAATCTCAATCGAATGCTACCCGTGATCATGCTAGTGACTTGGCCTCGCCCTCCTTCAACTTTCCAGCACTAACAAGCGTTTTGATCTCGTCCAGGAATATCTGTTTGATCTCTGCGAGATCCTTCTTCCCATTGAGCTTCGCTGTCAACGCAGCGAGCTCTTCGCTGTCGATCTTTGTGATAATCAGGTCGGTGTCGTTCAATGCAGAGTCGATCTGAGCCGCAGAAGCAGCTCCTCCGCTGTGGAAGTAATTCGCCTCTTTCGTGGCGCCACGAACCACTCTCTTATTCTTCTTTGCGGCGTTCTTGGCAGCTTCCTTAGCCTTCTTGCCATCAGCCTTCGCGGCCTTTTCAGCGATCTCCTGCTCAGCCTTCAGCTTGGCCTCCTCCTCCTTAGCCTTTGCCGCTTCTTCGGCCTCGCGTTTGGCCGCAGCCTCCTTTTCTAGTCGCTTCTTGTTCTTCTGTGCGTGCTCGGCTTGGCGGAACTTCTTGATTCGCTCGTCCAGTGCTAGAGCATCATCCACCAGCTTCCGTAGGCGTGCGGTATCCTCCGTCTTCTTCTTCCTACGAGCGTTCTGGTTCTTCCTCTCCACATGACGCTTCTGGTCGCGGTTCTCGTTGTCATCCGGGACATCCTCGTCCTGGTATTCGAAAGACCTCCAGCTGTCAAAGTTGTACCAGAAGTTGTAGAAATGCTCCACATCCTCCTTGGTGCTCTTGTCGTTGCCAAGCTTAGGCACAGGCTGGTTTTTTGAGAAGCGACCTTCGGCCTCAAACACCTTGCCCCACAGCTTGTAGAAGTTGCCCTTTTGCGTTTCCTTCTTAGAGGGTGGCTCCACGTCGGCGTTCTCATCACAGGAGTCGAATTGGCGACGCTTGACGGGATCGGAGAGAATTTCAGTGGCCTTTTGGATACACTTGAAGAAGGAGTCGTCCTCGGTGCCACCGGCTGCGGCCTTCTTATCGGGATGATGCTTTAGGACCTTCTTGCGATGGGCGCGCTTGATCTGGTCCTCGGTGGCTTTGTATCGGTATTTGGACAATCCAAGGACAGCATAGTGATCTTGTCCCTAGGATGATGTTAGATCGTTTGTCTAGAAATCACCAAAGTAACACGCAACGTACCTTCCAGTCTTTCGCATCTCTGGAGAGCATCAAAGGATCTTCGGGTTCGCTGATCTCCCCAGCATCTTCATCCTCAACCTTCTTGACGTTGGTTTGAGCCTGGATGCGGTCATCCTCGGAGAAGGTGCGCTTATGTCGCTTCTATAACAGGAAGCGCATCAGTACTGTTTTCCCCCGTTCAACAAGTCTGTCTTACCCTCCGGGCATGCGCGAGGAAATGCGGGCCAACAGGCTCGATGTTGCGATCGGTCGCAGCGGTGAGAGTATTGTTGGACTCAGTCGGCGCAGACCAGTCCTTTGAAAGGACTGGTAGAGGCAGCCCAATCTGAACTGTCGTCATGGCTTGGGTCTGGTCTTCTATGCGACGTGAAGAAGGAAAGGCTGACTTTGGTGGAGCTGGATTTTTTGTCTCGCGAAAAGTCCAGACTAAAGTGACAGGGGTACGGAGATCCGCATCACGTGAGCTGTTAGCGCCGTCAGAGCATCACTGGTCTCGGCGGTGTTTGAGTAAGAAACCACCTACAGCCTCTCCACGCTATGGGATTGACTTGTTGATAGACACTGGAGATCGTGTGCTGGCAGTCCCCCCCCTCATAATGTTCCAAGGCTTCCAGGTACCTCTAATGCTCATACATTCCCGAGAGCCGCAATTGACAAACTTCCAGCGCATCAAAGGAGCCATAGATGCTCGAATAGCAGAGGAACAAGCAAAGCAGAAATCACCCTCCTCACAGTCGCCCTCCCGATCCAGTTCCTCCGCCCGACGCTCCGCTGGCACCCGAAACCTCTCGCCCTCCAAACGAGCCGCGCGGTCCAAAGATCAAGACAATGGAAGCAAAGCGCCCCAGGGAAAGGGCCCCGATCCCTCGGAATTTGACCCTGAATTTGTTATAGGAGAGGATGAGGTGCCAAGTCGTGTTGGGACGCCGAAGCCCAAGGAGAAGACAGAACCTGTGGAGTCGACCGAGGAGGCTGGAAAGGAGAAGGAACCCAATGGCAAGGAGCCAGAGGAGAGTCCCAAGGAATCTCCTAAGGAGAAGGTACATGATGATGTACCTCCAGAAGTACAGGCTAGGCTTCGAAAGCTTGACAAACTTGAACCCAAGTATTCTGGTACGATGATTCTAGGCCCTGTTCCTAACACGTTTCTAATGATGCCCTGGTAGAACTCCTACGATCCTACCGCATAGCCCATGCTAGAGTTGGCGCAATCGAGTCCTTCGAAGCTTCCCTCCGCGAAAACACACCTCTGACCTCGATCACGGAGCCTAGCGCATTCGTCGAATACCTCAACCAAATAAACCAGAAGGGTGATATGATTATGGATGAACTCAAGCGCGTGTCAAGAGAGCGGGACGAGCTTAACAAGAAGTATGAGGAGGCAGAAAAGAGGGCCAAGGATGCGTCGGACGAGGTTATAAAGTTGAAGGCGGAAATCACTGAAAGCCAAGCCACCAAGCCAACCACAGGGGAGGATGACAACACCACACAAGCTACAGATGACGATAATCCTACATCTCCTCGAAAGGTCTCGGACACGGTTGAAGAGAGCGAGGAATTCTTCTCCTACGACAGTGAGCTGCCGCGTCTACAATCACAGTTACAAGAGCGGGAAGAAAAGATCGAGGAACTCCAACATGAGAACGGTACATTGAAGACTGATTTAGCTGTTGCGAAGGAGTCAGCAGAACATCTAGTTCAGAATCTAGAAACTGCCACAATGGATCTACAGACGTTCAAAGACACCGCAGAGCGCTCAAGCCGAGAGTTAAGCGACCAATGCAAGTCTCTCGAGACTACCACCGAGGACCTGAAGACCAAACTGCAAAAGGCTGAGGAGGAGCTTCGAAATCGAGAAACCACGCAAACTAAGCACGAAGCTGCTGTCAAGGATCTCCAGACCAAGCTCAACAAGGCTAACTTAGAGCTAGAGGAGCTGCACTCTGCCGAGGGAGAGAAGCTGATCGGAAACGACGAGCAAGACCAGCTTCGAACTCAAGTGGAGAGATTTGAGGCCGAACTCGCAGGCTTGCGCGAGACTCATACTAAAGCTGAAAAGCGCGGTAACACATTGAACAACTTAGTGAATACGCTGCGAGGCCAATTGAAGGACATGGAATCGCAGAAGGACAGCGCTGTATCCAAACTCGAACAAGCCCAGAAGGATGCTGAAGCTCTCCAAAGTCAAGCGGAGCGAACTCAGGAGGTCGCCGAGACCACTTCAAAGGCAGATGAGATCGCCCCGTCCAAGAAGAAAAATAAGAAGAAGAAGAAGGGAGGCAAGGCACCTAGCCCCAACCCGCCAACCGAAGGAATCATGACACCAGAGAGCGTCGACGTCAAAGCTCAATCTACACCAGAATCTTCCAACATCACTACAGCACAATGGGAGGACGCGCAAAAGCTGCTCACACAACTCAAAGAGGAAGTGTCCGCAAAGACTGTCGCCATCGAACGCCTACAGACCGAGGTTGCTGAGAAGGAGAACTCGATGGGCCTAATCCAAAAGAAAATCAAAGACCAGGAGGCCCTTGAAGAGGAGATCGAAACACTCAAGGAGGGGATGCTCGATATCGGACAAGGGCATGTTGAAGCAAAGGACAAGATCAAAGAGCTAGAGGCCGAGAAGAAGGCTCTGGAAGAGGGGATGCATAAGCTAGAGAGGGAGATCGCGGAACTACGCACCAGTCATGCTTCGAATGCAAGCTCTGCAAAAGCGCATCAAAGCTTGACCTCCGAGTTTGAGGAACTGAAGCAGAAGGCAGACTCGCTTCAGACTGATCTATCAGTGGTTCAACAGCTCGCTACATCGAGATACAAAGACCTTACCGACATGCGGGAAATTCTCCAGAAAGCGCAGCCAGAGCTGATGTCGCTACGCAGCGAAGTTGCTGAACTTCGAGGCACCAAGGAGGAATTGACAGCTAGGTCAGCTGACGTCCGCCGACTAGAAATCCGGGAGAAGGATCTCAGGTCTGAGATTGCGACATATAAATCCGAGATGAACGACAAAGACGGTGATATTAGATCTCTGAACGAAAAGATCAAGCAAGAGACGAGCCAGCGCCTGGCACTCGAGGAAACAAACAGGAAAGCCCAACGTGATCTACAGAGAACCGAGATCGACCGCCAAGAAGCCGTTGAAACAAGAGATAGACTCATGAAGGATCTAGCCAAATCTCAGGAAGAGTTGAGGGCGTCGCGCACAAAACTACGAGACTTGGAGCAGGATGCTGCTAAGTTGACCAGGGACATCGAGAGCCTACGGGACGAGATCCAGCTAAAGTCTGCTCAGTACGTCAGTGCCCAGGATCTCATGAACAGCATGCAAGATCAGACGCAGGAAATGGGCACACAGATGAAGGAGGTCCGGGCCAGAAGCGAAAGTCTCGAAGAGGAATTAGCAGATGCCCACCGGTTGTTGAGCGAGCGAAGCAGAGAAGGAGAAACTATGCGGAGACTACTCGCAGATGCGCAAGGCCGCGCAGACTCCAGGATACGAGAGATGCAAGAAAGCCTAGACTTGGCTATTGAGGAACGAGAGCGAGCAGAGGAGCAAGCTAGCACGTTTGGTCGGCGGCGAGCTAGAGAGCTTGAGGAGCTCAAGCACAAGGCTCGGGATGCGGAGAGGGCGCTTGCTCGCGCTGTCGAGGATAAAGAAGATCTTGCAGCGTCCGAAAAGGAGTTACGTAGGCAAAAGGATGACCTGGATCGCAAGACTGCACAAGCGAACGAGGAGGTCGCGGAGGTCAGACAAGCAATGAGCCAGCTTCGTGACGCGTTAGACGACAGTGAGAAGCAAGCCCGAGACCTGGAAAAAGAGAAAACAGATCTCCGGCGCACGTTCGATGAGCTACAAAGTCGATTGGAGAAGGTGCAAAAAGCGAACAAGGTAAATTTTCTCTCCTCATCTCCATCAGTTCGTATATACTAACTCCTCACAGACAATGGCCGACGAGCTCAAAACGCTCCAGGGCGCGAAGAACAGAGTCCTGGACACCAACGTCCAGTCCTCCCGGTCCTCCATCGACTCCTCTCCACGCAGTCGGATCGGCTCTCCACTGCCCAAATCTCGCACTCCATCTAGCCAGCCCGAACCAGCGGCGTCGAGCTCGCTGGACTACGTCTACCTCAAGAACGTGCTCCTGCAGTTCTTGGAGCAGAAGGATAAGAAGTATCAGCAGCAGTTGATACCGGTACTAGGCATGCTGCTGCATTTCGACAAGAAGGACGAGCAGAAGTGGATGGCGGCTGTTACTGCGAAGTAGTGGCTTACCTAGCATTTTTAGAAGCTTAAGTGATTAGCGTGGTTTGAGGCACTTGCTGGCGTTTGTGTTTGTGCGTGGTGTTGGGCGCGATGTTCGGTCGGCCTAGCTGGATAGAATGGTGGATTCGGAGCGTTCTTGTGGATGGTCCACTTCGGGAAAATAGCTGAGATGTGGGGCTATTTGTGTATCCATATAAGCTTCTTCTCATTTTCGTTGTATTATACGACGGCATAGCGTACTAGTGGATAATTGAAGGCACAGTGGACCATGTCGTTCAGGTGTTTGATGATAGGTATAAAATGAAGTAATGGCCCGCAAGTTCGCCGTGATTATAAACATGATTATAAACATGATTTTAGGACCTGAGTTTGTGTACCCTTTCCTGCCACCGCTTTGTAGTTTCTTTCCAACTTCTGATGGTATGTCAAACCCCTGAACGGCGGCGAGATGAGTTGAGAATAATTGGTGAAGTCTGTGTTAATAGTCTGTGTGAATTCACGTTGTCTAGATTATACATCTCGTCCGGATTTCTCATAGTGTGCCGGAGCACCTCACGCAGTGGTAAAGAAGTGTGCGCAGACCATTTTTCCACAGTTCATACGTGAATCATAAACGACAGCGGTTGGGGTAGCCCAGAGGGCATACAGATCGTTCAAAACGGTTGATCCACGTTTCTCTCCAATCTTTCAAAGTATATTGGAGGCCCTTAAACGATGGTAAAGAACTATGTGTTAGCTCTCGAATTCTCAGTGAATCTCAAAAACTTCCTCCGCCAGTTCACCCCTGTCTAGCATATCCATGGCCTTGCCTTCCATGAAACCGTCCAGGTATGCCTCTCCGATGAGTTGGTAATAATGTTGCTGCGGCCGAAGGATGTATGGAACCCGACCTCCGAAAAGAACACAGATTTTGTCGCTAGATTGTAAAAGGTCGCGCCTAGATCCTACGTAGCCCTTTCTCGTCGTGAAAATGCAACGATTCCACATTTTCGTGCTGGCATAGAACGCGTAGGTCTGCCACACCCCCTCCATATCTAATTCAAAATCAGAGTACGAATCCGGGCTTTCGCCTGCTCCTTTCATCAACTCGACCACATACTGGCAGAAGCCGACAATACCAGGGCTATCGTCACCAGCTTGGTTGTCACCGAAGAAATCTCCATCCACCCCGCCAGCTAGGGTTCTTCCATAGGCGAGAACGGCTGAACTGCGAAGATATTTGTTCCCGTTCTTGGCGTTTGTACGGATGAATGTCAGAAGGGGATGGTCGTCAACGTCGGCGAGAGACGACTCATCAAACCAATAGGAGGAGTCGATCTTTAGTCGACTCTCAATAGAATCCAAGCAAACTCCAGTTGATAGCATATAGTCTCCAGAGAATTTAGTCTGTACAGCAGAGCTGCGATCGGCGTTCGACCGACGACGAGTGAAGATTGAAAAACCGAAGAGCAAATTCAAACAGATTTTCTCGTCCCATTGCGCAACCCATGTTGGACGATGAAATGGGACGCCGCCGGAATGTTGCGCAAAAGAGAGGGCATCTAGGTTACCCTGCTGCTTTACTGAAATCCTTACGACTTGTTGAAACAGCGTTTGAGAGTCTTTTGTATAATCTAGCACTACAGCTTGGCTGAGGGATTCGAGAGCGGGAAGGCCAAGCATACCGTATATATGATCAGCTGGTAAACACGCATCGAAGTTTCTACCCCTGTGAAGAGTGAAGAACATAGATGCCTGCACGTAGATAGGGTCAAATAGATATGTGACATGTTACACATCGATGGTCTGAGGCAGCCAGCGTTCTATGAAAGCTACTGCCAGACCTACATGATCCCAGGGAATCTGAAAGGCGCCGAATAGAATCAGCACGCTGTTGCCAGCGCTAACCTCCTGGATCACCCAAAGCCGCGAACACCAGGGTAACCTGAAGAAATTGCTTAGATATTCCTGTGTGACGTCGCTACTACAACCGCTGAATCTCAAAGCGTCGGAGGAAGACATGTCGATGTGGGAAGGCATTGAAGCATACGGGTCTTCTCTCGGAAAAGCTTCAATCGATTGCCCGGACCATTCGCAGCAGAATTTGACAATGTTGTCAATTGCCCGAATGGCTCTTCCTGCCAGGCCATCTTTATCCCGCCCGAGCCAGACAAGAACACGAGTTGCGCGTGTGTATATGCGTCTCATGTTGGAAATCTGGACAGCCTTCTCCTTTTCACTGTTTTGATCAATGCAAATGGAGTCGGCCCATATAAGTCTTGACTGATCGGGGAAGCACATCTGACAAAGACCATCGAGGAGATTCTGTGGCACCAGTATATATCTCCCGTTATGAGGCGTCCAGACTCTTTCTGCGGGGCTTCCCCATGCGTAGGATATTGCTTCATAGATTGGCCGATTGTTCCAGTCAGCGACGACTAAGCGGAATGCAAGCTCATCATCCTTTCTACCGGGCAGCAGTTCGAGTATGCGAAGGGATGATCCAGTTGGGAGACGATCATAGTGGAACCGACGTGCTCGTTGGACAGCTTCCCGGAGGCGCTTCATGTCTTGTTACAGTGACCGATTATGAGTCCCCAGGGCTGTATACAGTCGTTCACTAATGCTAGGGGTGCTCTCATAGAGTCTAAAACCTGGGCGCAATTCAAGTTTTTAGGGAGCGCAATCTGCACTAGCTCTGGACCGGCTGGCTTACTGCCTAGGTAGCAACGGGGCTGCTCCTAACTATGCTGTCTACCTGCTAAATTAGCACTCATGCGATACTATCCGTGTGCTTAGACGTATAGCCCAGTACTGCACACTTCGAGGCCAAGTGAAAGTAAGAGCAATGTATGTGATGTAACGTGAAGGTAGGAAAGTCTTGTGTGAAGGTTTTCAGCTCCCATGAGGAAGGCTCAGGATCAAGGCTGAGCAGTGCTGCCTGCAGCCTGCATCGCTACGCAGGTGGCATTGGACATTCACGTTGTAGTTGGAAAGTGACGAAAGAAAGGCGCAGACGAGCAAGACTGCCTTAGACACACAAATACCAGACTCTAAAGCGATGATATCGTTCCCCAATTATTAGCAATGGGTGATGGAGTGAATGTCTGAGTACAGCGAGTGTATATGTACCTAGAATAAAAGGGAAAGATACCGCGGAGCGCCAAGGCCTCACAAACGAAACGACACCTTTTCCGTCAATGTCATTGTATATAATCGGAGCCCCAACACCAACTTCAACACCCCACGCCCTTCTCTCGAAACCTGTAACTAAAAGTACTCTCACATCCACCAAACGCCCCATTCGATTGCTACACCAGCACCTAGCCTCGCTCGCAACCTAACGAGCCTATCCACGATCTTACCTACCTCACCAAAAGTCTAACCAGACCACTACCCTAACACCCGGCCACCATGGCCTCCTACGGTTACAGCCAATCCCCACCTTATGGCGCGCCTGCTCCCGGCGCCCAGAATCTGCAATTCTACCCTTCATCGTTCAGCAACCAGCCCGTGTCGGGCCACTCTACACCCTTCCAAGCAGGCTACGGCGCGTCGTCAACACAGGCGTACCCCGCGAACTATGGCGCTGGCTTTGGGGGTGTCGCAGGCAGAATGGGAGACAACAGCGGTGGACTAAGAACAGGGTGGTTGGCGGCCTTTGGGACCGAGGGGTACGAGGGGGAGCCGCCTTTATTGTACGTTTTTCCTCCGAGCTTCTACCCTCGAAATGTTGGATACTAGAGCTACCATGGGATTCATGGGAAGAGTTGCACAAAAAATGGGCGCCGTTAGAAATAGTGGCTAACGTATTGGTGTTGTAGGGAAGAACTAGGCGTCAACTTCGCACATATCCAGGAGAAGACACTGACGGTGTTGAACCCGTTTGGGCGGATAAACCAGCACATCATGGATGATTCGGACCTGGCAGGACCGGTGCTATTCTTTCTGTTATTTGGGACGTTTCTGCTACTATCGGGGAAGGTGCATTTTGGATACATATACGGTAAGCTAAGCTCTCCTAGATGCGCAGACTAGAGGACCTTAATTTGGTCACTACCTGCAAAACATTTCCTACCAGCCTGTTCCTCCATCCATACCACTTTACACCAACCTCGTCCCAATTTCCCTAGTCAAACGCTAATAGAAAACCCCAGGCCTCGCCCTCCTAGGTAGCATATCCCTCCACACAATCCTCTCCCTCATGTCACCACCCCTCGACCCCTCGACCGTGCCCCCAACACCCCACGACCACGCTCAGCGCCCCTCGCACTTCTCCTCCACCCTCACCTTCCCCCGCTCCGCCTCCGTCCTAGGCTACTGCCTCCTCCCGCTCGTCCTGACCTCCCTCATCGGCATCATCGCGCCCATGGACACCCTCTTCGGCTACGCCCTCACGGCCCTAGCCATCGCATGGTGCACGTACAGCTCGTCGGCGATGTTCTGCGTGGTGGGGCGGATGAGCAGTATGCGGGGGCTGGTTGCGTACCCAATGGTGCTTTTCTATGGGAGTTTTGGGATCATGGCGATTTTCAGTAGTAGGGGGACGGGGGCTGTGGTTACGGCGAAGGTGGCGGGGGGTTAAGGGGGTGTGGAGACTGAGGGGGTTGTAGAACAGATGGCGGATGAGTGAGGGCATTGTTGCGGTTTTGAGCGGATAGAAGGTAGTGTAATGAATAGATGGCTGAACGTATATGTGCATAGGAGAGCGATGCTAGTGATATTGTTATTGCCGTAATCGTACCCTCGGATCGACGAAACTCTCTGACCAAAAATGACTATTTCAATGTCGCAGAACGTATATGATCATATCTACAATACAACGCCGGCCAGAAAACCACCAAAAATCGACAGCCACTGTACCCCTATCTCGCCCCAGCTTTGCACCTATATGCCGAGAACAGCATGCTCGTGAAAGTACCGAAACAGCAAATTGGAAGGAAAGAATGATGCCCGTAGCCCTCTCATCCAAACCAACCTGACCAAAAGCGCCATCCCACTCCGTCCCATCTCGTCCCTTCTCATCCATTTCCCAGCATTCCAAAAAGCCATAACCACACCCCGCCACCACACCACCACTTATCAAAACAACACGCTTCAAGAACCATCATATCGTCATTCCAATGGGATGCCATATCAATCATCATTCTCAAAAAAAACACACACACACACACAAGGTTCGCCTCAAGCCCCAAGCCAAGCCAGTTGCAAAAGCTAGAATAAACCGCCCGCCACGAACAAAGCTCCCATGCATGTCATCATCATCAAACCCCATACACCGCTCTAGCCGCCGCCGCCGGCCACTACCGCGGTTTCTTCACCTCCGTCGCCCACCCCTCGATCCCATCCCCCTTGCTGCCGACCGGAATATCCAGCTTCACATCATCCATGCCCCGCGTCTGATCCAAAAACGCATGGCTGCTCATCCCGCCCGCATTCGCCCGCTCCACCGGCGTCAGCTCCAGCATCGGCAGCAAAAAGTCGGCAATCTTGCGCGCGTCGTCGGGCTGGAAGTGGTATTTTTCCTTGAGCACGTCGGGCAGCGCCCAGTGCCGCAGGCGGTGGATGTTGCGCAGCTCGCCCTTGCGGTTGAAGATTTCCTGCGCCCATTTGCCGTTGGTGGAGAGCGATTTGGGGAAGGTGCCGAGCAGCTCGATGATCTGCGCGATGTGGTCGTCGTCTTTGCCGTATTTGGTGCCGGATTGCGGGTCGAAGAGGTAGTCGCCGGTTATGAGTTCGAAGACCTGGGGGTTGGTTAATTTTGTGGAAAGAGAAAGGGGGCTTTGGGGATTCGGGGCTCACCATTGCGGCCATGCTCCACACGTCGGTGCTAGCTCCCCATTTGGCTCCGAGGATTACTTCCGGTGATCTATATTGTCTAGTTTGAATGTCATTTGTGAAATGGTGGCCCACCCAGCAAGCGTTGCCAAGATCAGCAATCTTCACCGATATGGTTTCGAATGATACATCTTCGGCCAACTTGTCTATCGACGTTTGTTGACTCGAGTTGGTACTCGATTTGTCTAGGCTGATTCCAGAGACTTCTTTTGTCAAAAGGTCGCTACTCGAAATTAGTTTGACGTTAAGACGTGAGTAGGAAGCTAGCTTACGCAGTCTTTTCTCTTTGCTTCTGGATGTCGTCTCCCTCGGGGGCTTTGAGACCTAATCGTTCAGCCATGGACAGGCCGCCGGGTGAGGAAGTGCCTAACGCACCACTCATTACATGACCGCCTTGTGGGGGTGGGCTGACGCCAGTTATAGGGCTATTGTTACCTGTGCTTTCGTTCATGACCCTGTTCAGACTCTGCGTGCTCCCCGGAAAGTTTAACAGGTCGGAGTGATTGAAACTAGCGTTCAGCGGACTCGGCAGCGGCTGGCTTCCCGTGATCAGGGTCCTCCTCCTCCGCCGACCATTGCGGTTGTCGTCTTTGTCGTCCTTCTTCTTTGGCTCATCGTTTACGTATGTCTTGACAATCTGTTCTACATCGCCAATCTCGATGAGAACGTTTTCGGGCTTCAGATCTGTATGAATAATACCGCACTCCCGGTGTAAATAGTCTAATCCGAGCAGAACTTGCTTGGTGATCTGTTTAACCAGCGGCATTGGGATTCCGCGGTGGTTCCATCTTTTTATTAGTCCCAGCAAATTTTCTCCGAGCACCTCAAACACCATGCATACGTGGACGCCGTTTGGTCCCTTGTGGTTGAACGAGTCGAGCAGACTGACGACATGTTTCCGGCCCGGGTGGTCCTTGTTGGCGTCCACGACCCTCTTGAGGAGCTTGATTTCGTCGAGGGCGGTTTCTGTGTAATGCGCGGCGGATCGCACTACCTTTAGCGCGACATGCTTGCCGGTCGTGTTGTCCTTGGACAGCCACACAGTCGAGAAGTGACCCCAACCAAGCTTCCGCACAATTGTGTATTTGCCGTCCTTGTACTGCTCGCCGACCTGGACGGGGTGGTAGCCGCCCTTGCAGTAGTCCTCGGAGTCTTCTTCGTCGGCGGTGTTTTCGGCCTCGTCCGCGGAGGACGAGTCGGAGGAGGGGGAGTGGCTCAACTGGTTCGCGTACGCGACCTTGTGGTGGGAGAGCGGAGAGGCGGTGTTTGTGACGCTGCACACAGCGCCGTCAGCAGGGGCAGCAACGCGTCTCGCCGCCGAGCCACGGCGGACGAGGGGAGGTGACATACTTGTAGTGGAAGTTGGTGTTGGCGGCGGGAGACGCTTCCTGGCTCTTCTGCTGCTCCGTCGTGATGATGGGCTTCAGGTCCTGGCCCTTCCTCCGCTTCTTGCCGCCGTTGCCATTGGCGGCCTGGGCCACCTGCTTCGCCTTGTTGATGGCGGCTTTTTTGATATCGGCGCCATTCATCGTGGTGGTTTCCCCGCCACGGGTTGGGTTCGCGATAGGGTGTAGGAGAGCGGTCGGGGCGATCAAGCGATCGAGGGGCGTCGATCGAGCCTCATGGACTCGCGGGCGAGGATGCGGTATGGGGGTGAGCTTGGGGGTGAGCTTGGGGGGGTGGCCGTGTGGTGGTGAGGTGGGGAGCACCAATTCTCAATTGCTGGAGGGTCGGGCTGGTCCTACTAGCCGCTCGTCTGGTTGGGCCTATCCCAGCACTGGGTCCCCTGATTGGCGTAGGCGGGGTGTTTGGGCACAGCGGGAAGCGCGCTCTTCCTTCGCACGCGGTTGACGGGGCGGCGAGGGCGTCGATGGTGAGGGTGAATAGCGGGTGGTGCAGGCCGCTGTCAGGGCAGTAGCAGACGTCAGAATCGCGAGACTGGAGCGGTCAAGAAAGGCGCAGGTGTGGCCGCGAGCAGGTCCGGAGAGCTGGGGAACGATGATGCAACCGCCGCCGTGAATGGAGCACCGGGACGCAGGTTTCTTCAAGTCAACGCACGCCGCCAGAGCTGCCCCGTCGTGAGCCCCAAGGGAGAGTACGACGGCGAGAGATGGATGGCTACGGTTGCTGTGATAGAGCTGTGCGGCAAACATTTTGGCGTGTCTTCGAGCATTTCATCACCGTGACTGGTCACGCAATGCCTCTCCTTTCATCGGACTCCAGCCCGACGTCGGCTTTATGGCTTCACCAGCCTTGCGCAGTTGCTATTCCCGAAGAACATACAGGTACAAATTAATACTGAGTCGGCAATCGTGTAGGATAGCAAGGAAATAGTCTGATACAAAGCTTCTCGCTTCAGCATCTTCGGGCATACTGGCCCGTTCCGAGACCACTACAGCTACCGAGACTTGCTCAAAGAGTTGATTCTGTACGTGTCTTCATTGGGTATCTATTCGGGACGTGATTCCATCCCCTAACCGTTGCAGTGATCCAGAACACAGTATGCAAAACTACTCCGAATCGCTGTCAATCACAAAGCCAGCCCGCATCCTCCTCGCCACAGGCCGCCGGGCTGGAGCGATGTCGTCGTCGTCCTCATCGTCATCCACCATCATCGCATCCTCTTTTGCAGTTGCAGCAGCTCTTGATATTAGCCCTGAACCGTCCTCGTCGCTGGCCTGTCCTGCTTCGTGGTGTTGAGATGAGATGGGCGTGTCAGTAGTTTCCTCATCATCGCTCGCCAGTATATCACCAATGGCAACCGACGAGGCCCTGCTGCTCACGCCAATTATATCCTCTTCGCTCTCGTTCTCTTCTGAGTCTGAAGACATCTCCTTTCGCTTCTTCCGTCCTGTCTTCGGTCCAGCAGCTGACTTCCGCTTCTTCGACACTGGCTTCTTGGTCTTTTCAGTACTGATGACCTTCGCATGCTCTCTCCCCGTAGCCTTCCTCAACTCTTCCTCCCGCTCAAAGAATATTCTGTCTCTTTCCTCATCTGACTCGTCGTCCGAGTCGTGAACAAACATCGTACTCTTGTGCTTCGCTTGCTTTTCAAGGTCCTTCAGTCGTCTGGCCTCTTTCCGTCGCTCCTTTTCCGCATCATCAAGCTCTTGCGGCGTTCCACTCCGTCGTCTCCGCCTACGACGTTTCTTCAACTCCTCCAGCGCATCTGACTTCGTGGCGGTAGGGCCTAGAGCGCCATACTCCCCATGGTCCTCGCTCTGAGACCCGCCAGCACCTTCGGAATCGTCGTCGAACGAAGCGCGTCTCCTACGGCCAGCTGCCTTGCTTCGTAGGAAGTCTTCGGCTGCCTTGCCATCTTCATAGGTGGGAGGATCGAACTCGAACTTCTGTATTAGGTTCACTGCCTCCTTCAAGTCGGAGGCAGTCAATGTGTGGGGAATGATCCAATTGGCCTCCATATCGGTGTCGAGACCAAGCCTTAGAAAGCCGAGCAACGTCATAAGGAGCCGGAGTTTGTTGTCTTTATACAGGGCGATCCGCCGTTCTTCATTGTCAGGTTTCACGACTGTGATGCTATTAGTCACGAGTCAGCGAGAGCTGGATGAGTGTTCTTACTGATTGGAGGTGTTTTAGGTCCCTCCTCGTCTTCCGGCAGGGCCGGTGCATCTTCGCCTTCAACTGATGGCTGTGCCTCAGACTCGGCCATTGCTTTCCTCCCTTCTTCCATGTCCTCCCAGCTCTTACGTTCATCAGCAGCCGAGGACATGATGTCCTTTAACCACTTCAGAGCATCTGACTTTGCCTGATTGAGTAGCACACCCACAGCCACACCAATCTGATCAGCCTTCTCCATCCCACCCTTAACTTCCAGCTCTGCCGGAGCACGAGGCGTTCGAGTGACTATTTCTTTATCGTAACCATGTTGCAAGTAGTAGGTCGTAGCGTTGATCTTGCTGAAAAGCATCTCTACCACGAGCTCCGGTCGCTCCTGGATCTTCTTCACAGCTGTTCTAAAGAAGTGCTTCACAAACTCTTCCCACTCTTTGAATGCAGGAAGCTCGGGATCTAGCCCTTCAGGTCCTTTGATCATCTTGTTGAATAGCTGAAGTATGTCGGCCCGGTAGAGAAGAACGCTCATGTCCACCTTGAATGCAACCTTATAGAAGAACCGGTGGGCCCGCTTCAACTGCTCCGCATTCAAGTCGTTGTAGAACCGCGTAAACGAGACAAAGGTATTAACACAGCTCTGGTTCATGAATCTCGCTGAAAATCGAGCAAAATCAAATTTACGTTCGCTAGTGGTCCGCTGGGCTTCCTGGAGCTCTTCATTTTCGGAGCCATTTGCATCATCGCGGTTTTCTTCACCCTCCTCTGTTCGTACCGGAGTCTTGCGCTTCTTTCGCGCTCGTCGTCGAGATCGCACCTGTAGGTCGAGGTTTTGTTTCGAATAGCGCTCGAGCATGCGTAGGAAGACATGGGAAAGCTCCGTGCAAGCATCCAGGTAGCCAAATCCTTGATCTTTGTAGCCCCGTAGAATGGCAATGATACGTTCATGTGTTGACTCTTCGTAAAAAATGCGGTTTTGAATGTTTTCTGCAATCTCTTGGTCCTCCTCCAAGGCCGCTTCGGACATCTCCTGTACTGTGTGGAGAATCTGCGTGAAGCATTTCATGCCCGCATTCAGGTCCTGCCAGGTCTTCTCATCGATACTTCTTTGCATAAATCGGTTGAGGAGAATGAAAGTTTCCTGGTTCATGACCCCGGCAATAAGACCGAAACTTTCATCCTCTGCTGTGATTGCCGTCAGATCGTTCGACTTTGCGAAACTCTCTTTAATTTGGCGGCGACGAGCGCATTCAGCTCGCAGAAACCACGATATAAGATAGAAGTATTGCCGAGAGTGGCGCGATTCAACCCGCTCCTCCTCGCGTTCAATAGCTCTCCGCAAGTGGATAAAAAGGGGGTTGAAAGACGAATCCAGGAAGTCCTCGACAAAAGCTTTCAGGTGTTTCCGTCCGGAAGGCGTTAGTGGGACTGGCAGGTCGAACTCTTCTCGACTGGCCTCATCGTCCTTTCTAGGACCCCGGTTGCGTGGCTTATTCCACTTCTTGGTCTTATCCATCTTTCGCAAGCTGACCTGAGCCTTTCCGAGAACGTCCTGTCCAGAAATGGTAGAGACTCGCTCGTCATCCCTCTTCACCCAGATCATTGTCCCGAATCGATTGTGTCTAGTTGGAGCATGGCGGGCGTATCCAGCGAGCATAGCCTTCTCTTTTTGGATCAAATCTTTGAGCTCCTCGGTATTCTTGGTCGACAGCTTCTTCTCTTCCATGAACAACTTCTCAGCATCCACACCTTTCACCAGGTGGAACAGTATCTCTAGAACTACTACATCCTGTAAGACGAACTCATCCCCCATGCTCGAGGAGATAGTGAGAAGCATCTGGAAAATGTCCTGAGAATGGCAAGCGTCGATGGCCGCCGAACGTGATATCTCGGCTTCGTCTCCGTCGGCCGGGAGTCCTTTGGGTTGCGAGAGCATGACAATGTTTCGAATAAAGTACAACACAATACGGATTATAGCTTCATCCCGAACAGTTCTCTCTTTCCTAGGTTCCAACATAGAAGGTAATGCGATACGAACGGTCGTCTGGAGGATTTTTGCGGCGTCATACTGGAGTATCCCTCGCTTGTATCCGATTTGTGCCAATTGTAAGTAAGGAGCATGTCGGTGATGGTTGACGGTCGCGGAGCTGGGATCGATTTCGGTGGGCCAGGTAAGAGGTACGAGAAGCTCCACTGAAGAAGTTAGTAATGCCAATTCTCTCTATGAAAAGGCACTTACAGCAAGCTATTGCGATCCTGTGCTTCAGTTTGTCGGTCGTCACCTTGTCCGATATCTTTGCTAGTATTGGCAGCAGGTCTCCCTTGACCAAATTGGCCTCTGCCATACACTGAGCCACATCGCGCCGATTGAGCTTGTTTTCGAAGAATTGGAGCCATCTTTTCAGATCTTTCAAACACGCCAGAGCATCGTCTCCAAGGGCGTATCCACCATCATCTCCAGCACCACCGACCTGGGGAAGTGTGAGCAGTGCCTTCTGAATAGACAACGGGATTACTTACAGCTGATACAAGATTGTAAACATGCGCGCGGGCTTCTGGATCCACAAGAGGGACCACCTCCCTGTCAACCCAGTCGTCGAGCGTCCCTGTCGCCATGTTGTGGTGGATACAGCGGAGTAGTTGTAGTCGCGAACTTTGGGCAGCACGACGCGTATCGGAACCCTGGGAACGCGTCTAAAGTGCCAAGACCTCAATCGATTCAGCCGAGCCGTAATATTCGGGGAGACTTCGGCGATGATTCTTAACGCTCTGGCGGGATGCCGAGGTTGGGTGTTTCGGTGAAGGCCCGGTTTCCATCGGGTCTTTCCGTTATTCACTGTTGCAACCGATTTTCACCTCCAATACTCTCCATTCGAACTGTCCAGATTTGAACAGCTAGATCACAATGTCGTTCTCTGTAGTTTCGCGGCAGATTCTGCGCTCATCCGCAAGGGCGCAACGCCGGAGCTTCAGCTCGACACCATCTATCAACGCAGCTGCGGAGGTCAAGAGGCTCGGGGTTATTGGAGCTGGTCAAATGGTAAGTCATGAGACGCTTAACACACAGAATAGTCAATTGACACAATCAAGGGTCTAGGAATAGCACTTGTAGCAGCACAGAAAGCGAACATCCCTGTGCGGATAATAGACACCTCCCAAGCCTCTCTCGACAAAGGCCTAAAATTCGCGGGTAGGGAAAGCACACAATCTAAAACGCTAGTCGACTGATAATCCGGCAGATAAGCTACTAGAAAAAGACGTTGCGAAGCAGAGGATATCAAAGGACGATGCTGCGGCAGCGCGAGAACGGCTGATCTCAGGCACAACTCTGGATGATCTCTCGGACGTAGACTTCGTAATTGAAGCAGTTCCCGTACGCACAAAATACGCTCCATACTATAACGGAAGCTAACAACAAATGAAGGAAATTCCAGATCTGAAAGCCAAAATCTTCGCCCAGCTCGCCCAAATCTGCCCCTCCCACGCCATCCTCGCAACCAACACATCCTCAATCTCAATCACTCGAATCGCCGCCTCGACTACAAAAGACCCCACCGACCTCTCCGCCTCTTCCCGTGTCATCAGTACGCACTTCATGAACCCCGTGCCTGTCCAGAAGGGCGTCGAAATCATTACGGGCCTTCAGACATCCCAGGACACCCTCGAAACCGCCATAGAGTTGTGCAAGAAGATGGGCAAGATCCCTTCGACAAGTGCCGACTCTCCCGGCTTCCTAGCCAATCGCATCCTCATGCCATACATCAACGAAGCTATCATATGTCTAGAAACCGGCGTAGGGAGGAAAGAAGATATCGACAGCATAATGAAGAACGGGACCAACGTGCCCATGGGTCCCTTGCAGCTTGCAGATTTCATTGGCATCGACACATGTCTCGCAATCATGAAAGTGTTGTACGAAGACACTGGTGACTCGAAATACAGACCAGCGGTTCTGCTGAAGAAGATGGTGGATGCGGGCTGGTTAGGCAAGAAGAGTGGAAAGGGCTTTTACGACTACTAGAGCATCAAATTTCAATCTCATTTGCTTCGAGAGCTTCCAATGCCTTTGATTCGGAGATAACGCTAGGAAATTAATGTAACCCTTGTTGACCACTGCCTGAGGCGCTCCAGTGCGCTGCCAAGATCATCACTATCATTTCAAAATCCTTCTGGATTTCGGTATTGAGTTACTTACATCTCATCTAAATTTCTAGTAATGGACCGAGGTACTCTGAGGAGTAATGAGCAGTTGTGCACGTCGCACTGTTCCAGTCTGGAATATCAAGCGGGTGGCATCTAGTCCAGTGTACTGAAAGTCAGCAGACGTATCCTAAGCAGTGTCAAACAAGTATGCGTAGACGCATGTCCTGACACCGTTTGCAATTGAAACATTAAAAATTATCCTAGGTCCGCTCATCTATTCTTTGTTTTATAGTTCTAGCCGAGGAAGTCTTTCCGCAAGACTCTATCATTCTCCCCGTGCTTTCAAATGTAAGATTGATGTTTGGCCCATAGGTTACTGATTGAGAGGGTTGTACTGAAAGAGTTACATTTTAGTAAAGTCACGTGAGTGATTGAATAAAGAGGCAACTTACCTCAGGCAGGTGTGGTTACAGCAGCAGCACTTGTGTAAACAGTCGATGTCTCCGTTACCGTGGTACTGCCCGTTGTAGGCTCAAGTCCCAAGCACTCGCAAGCACTCCTTATGTCGTCGGACGTATGCGGGGCCACCGATATAGTGCGTGTGGGAGAAGTTGTCGTAATCGCCATTGTAGAAGTCGTGAAAGAAGAGGAGATGGTTGTCGAGACCACGGAAGAGAAAGAGCTCGACTGTCCGGGGCAAGATGTGACCTTCTTTGCTCCAATCTGGCCGACTCCGGTTTCCGGAACCGTGTTCGTAACGCTGTCTTTAAGATAACAGAAACTGGCTCCTCCGTTGGTTGATGGTAGGTAAGAAACGGCAACACAGTTAGGGAGGCTGTTACACGTGGCAATACACCCATCAAAGGTGGTGACCTGTTGTGGGCTACTCGTGTCGTCTGTTCCCCAATAGTCCGTGTCCGGAGTGATCATCCAATTGCCTCCAGTGGTTGAGATGCACCCAGTGGTTGGTAATGGAGTAGCAGAGCTCGTAGAAGTGACGGTTGGGACTAGGGACGACGATGAAGAGCTGATAGCTGATACAGGGCAAGAAGTCACCACCTTCTTAGCTCCGATCTGGCCAGCTGAAGTATCAGCAACCTCATTCGTAACGCTGTCTTTGAGATAGCAGAAGCTGGGGCCTCCATTCGTCGATGGGAGCCAAGAAACGGCAACACAGATTTTTAAGGCTTCACATGCTGCCTTACATTCAGCCAGGGTACTGATGACCTGTGGGCTGCTTGGGTCGTCGGTTCCCCAGTAGTCGGTATTGGGATAGTCCACCCAATTCGTCTGGATAGCGCACGCTGATGTCGTTGTAGAAGAGGACACGGAAGTGGAGGACAAGCTGATTGATAGCGTGCTGCTTGCGCTGGTTGGCGAAACCACGCTAGAAGAATGAGACGTGGACGACGAGGAGGTCACAGCGGCGGAACTGCTTGTGCTGCTTGACGATACCGCGTTAGATGAATGAGACGTGGACGACGAGGAAGTTACAGCAGTGGAACTGCTTGTGCTGCTTGACGAACTCGAGCTGGAAGAGTGAGACGTGGACGATGAGGAAGTCACAACGGCGAAGCTGCTTATGCTGCTTGACGAGGTGGCGCTGGAAGAATGAAACGTAGATGATGAGGAGCTCACAACAGCGGAGCTGCTTGTGCTACTTGAGGAGCTCGCGCTGGAAGAATGGGACGTAGACGATGGAGTCACAACGACGGAGCTAGTCTTGGAGGAGCTTGATGATGGCGATGTAGATGACGATGTTTTGCTTGAACTGGAGCTCGAAACCGAAGACGACAACGCTTTCGTGGATGTTGAAGTTTTGACCTGGGGAGGCATATTAGCAGGCGGTTGAAAAGGGGGTAGACTGGTACAAGTCCTAGGCCCTCCTAGCGTTTGATAAATCTAAAAAACCACTTGGCCACACTTGTAACCCAGCTGAGACGAAGCTTCAAGATTGCAGTAAGTGATTTTAAAATATCCGGCGCAGAAGAACCTGGCATGTATCCTAATGTGGCTTACAGAAGAGCTTGATGAGGAGGTCACGGAGGTACTGCGGGCCGTGGATGTAGTTGCAGTCTTGATCGAAGAGGCAGATGTTCGCACGGAGGAAGTTGACGCCCGAGTTGATGATACACTAGAACTCTTGCTGTTGCTCGTGGAGCTGGATTTCTTTGTTGACGAAAATGACGACGTTTTGGTCGATGAGGCGGTTGAAGAGGGACAGGTTGGTGTAAGCTTCAGGCTAGTACAAGAGGCCGATCCGGTCACAGTCCTGGTATATGTCTTTCCAAGCGAGGTAGCAAGGCTCTTACATGTACACGGTGCAGTAGGACAGGTCGGCGTCAGTTTCAGGCTCGTGCAGGAGGCCGATCCAGTCACGGTTCTGGTGCTTATCTTGCCAAGCGAGGTAGCAAGACTTTTACATGTACACGGTGCAGTAGTGGTCGACGCCTTGGAGGAGGTTGTGGTCTGAGCAGACACAGCTCGTCCGGCCACAGGGAGAGCAGCCGTTGGGCTAGGGGAATATACCGTCACAGTGCTGTCAGAGGTTAGTATATGAGACGAGAGATTCAAGGAAAGTGTATATACGTCGTCGCTGTGCCTATGATTTCATCCGAGATGTGAAGAAAGGTTGAACAATAGTGGATAGGATCTCCGATTTGTGTGTACGCTGAGAAGTTGCAGAATTCTCGCTTCTTGAGCTTCTTATTCTTCTTAACTGGTGATGCGGTGATGAGAGACCCGAAAAGGATGATTGCTGTAATGAACGTGGAGGGGACCATAACGAGTGTGAGCGCAACCCTGGAGGTTGCTAAACGAATGACAGACGGACGAGCGACGAAGGGGACGAAGTGACCAGAACGAGGAAAAGATCAGACGTCGGAGGGAAACAGAGCAAGGGCATGACTACTATATTAAGGAGGGAGCTGAAGGCGATACGCTACTACCGCCATGGTGCAAGCACTGGCAGGTGTTTCTCAGGCCGTGGCGTTTGAAGAGGAATCTCGACCACGCCGCTCGATTAAACGTTGGCATAGCGCGTCCAGATCAATCCCTAGTGGATGTGGCTTGATCGATAATGGATAGTTTATAGAGATTGGGAAGGCTCAACGCGACGCCAGAGGGCTCTGTGGCAAGCCGATGGTCGACTTACACGTGCAGACAGCGAAACCCTTGAGACGTCGCGTCGAGGAGAGCGTGAATCTCGAATACCAGGAACTATTTACAAAGGCATTCAGTTAAGGTTTGTATGAGGCGCCGGCGCCTTTATATTGACGCTTTGCCAGTTTTGTACTGGGGTTATACTAGTTTTTTGATATGTTAATCCTGTTTGGAATAGGTTAACCTTCCTTAGTCAGGGGTTCCTCAACTCATGAACACCTTACAACGCCTTACAATTTACTGAGCCTCAGCGTCGGCGAGACCGATCTTTACGCGAGAGTGCTAACGAGGCTCCGGGGTGGGGGGAGCGCCGGGGGCATTCTATACAGTAGTGGGGCATACCTGTAGACTGTCCCTTTTATCGACAAAAATGTTGATGTCTAGGTATTCACGCGAAGTGCCTCCTCTTACCGTTCACGCTTCAAATGATTTGAAAGCGCGGGATTCTCAAGCAGCGGTAAAAATTCGCACAAGTGCGCAGTATTCATCATCGCCAAACCAGTGGCATTATTTCGTTTGTATGTTCTACAGCATTTATAACAACGCCAGGATATCATCATGCTGCTTTATAGAGCAACACCTTTACAAATCGAAGAATGCTCGGCTGTCCATTCCGTGAACACCAAGCCAAAAGACCGTTCAAGGACCGACCGCGTCCCTCATGGCCTCTGCCTCCCACAGATTCACACTCCGTCGGACTTCGCGTTTCCGACCAAGTAGGCCGCCTAGAAGACCGCTGAGACCGCCGGCCTCTGCACCTGCACCTGCTTTCCCCTTGCCTTTTCCATTGCCGGCGGCGGCTGTAATATTGCCGACAGCAGCTGCAGTCGTGTTGGCAGCCGCTGCGGTGGCATTTCCAGCAGCACCTTTGGTATCTTTAGCCTTTTTGGCACCTTTCCCTTTCTTGGCACCTTTGCCCTTCTTCTTGTGTCGAGCCTCAAGTGAGACTGATGCCGCATCCTGGGCATCGACTGCTCTCTTGGTCACGAGATCGGCATCTTCTAGAGCCACGACCTCACCCCGAGCAAAGTTGGTGTTGGGAATCGTCAGTCCCTGGATGCCATCCTTCGTGATGACCGCTAAGAATGATGTCAGCAAGCCTTCTGGAAATCGCCGTGTAGAAGCTACACTTACGTCCATGCTTCGCAGGTATTGGACCAGCGGCTACAAAAGCCACTGAAAGGAAGGTGAGAAGGGAGTATGCGACCTTCATATTGAAAAGGAGTGCCGGGAAAAATGCAGATATCGTGTAAGGATTGGATACAGCGGAGACGTGCTTGACCAAGGAACGTTAACGAGTGAGCTCAGCTCTGGAGAAAAGAAAGCAACAATAAAGAGAGTGTGTCCAGCACGAATGTGAGTGTTGGAAACGGAGGGCGAAGGTGGAGTTGTAGAACTCTTAGCTAGACAGGCCCAGATATATGTATATGATGGCAAAGTCTACAGGGGAGTGCACTCAACCCAATGAAGTTTGGCCCCTGAGAGACACTTTTCAGATATCCACTCGTGTCTAACATAAGATGTCTGGAGGTAGGTCCATCGATGAGGCTTGTTGAAGATGGCAGACCCACACGTCGGAGTAACACAGATGATCCTCTCGTTAAGGCGGCTTGGCTGGCGGTTGCTCGGATTGCTCACGCAAATGGAACAAAAGGTACTCCAGAAGTCAACGCACAGTGGCCGGACCGAGCAAATCAGAGACATTTCGCAAGGAATATGACGCGGCTCAAAAATCACAAGCCTCGTAGCCCGGACGTATGTCGTCGGAGACCAGCGGAAGACCAGGATGGCAACGTAGCTTAAGTAAACGCATAAAGTTTGGAGTTGGTTGTGGAACGAAGCTGTTCTGAGCCGATGTTGCGGATATGAAGCTCGCCTGGTTTCAGGCCCTCGATACCGCTCACGTAACAGCCCCCTGGAGGAGAAACCGCCACAACTCGATGTCATAACAACAAAGAGAATAGTTGAACCTCGGAAAAGTTATTGATTTTTCTCGTTTATTGTTTCAGTTAAGTGCCTGTTATGTGGTATTTGGGAGCTGGGCGTGAATAAGGAAACGAAAATCAGAACCGCGACTAGATGGCGAGCTTCAAGATTAGAGGCATTCGTCTTCCACGACCATACATGAATGGAACGGAATCTCGGAGACCGACTGCGGCGGTAAGTGCCGTGCCAAAGTAATCATCGTGACAGAGAGATGGGTGGCTTTCTTTCTACGTCCTACGAAATTTGCCGGGAACATTGGGACTCCCTTAGCCCGAACATGTGATCTGCTTGACCTCTCACACAACCACGCAGAACTGTTCACTGATAACCATTCTGATATGATCACAATGCAGGTCAACAACAAGTTGGACTTCGAGACCTGCTACGAAGGTTACAGGGTCACATGCGTTCAAGAAAAGTGGTCTTGATGAGGCATAGTTTAGCCGGCAAATACAATTCGCCTGATTGGACCTCGGAAGCGGATATCGAACTTCGTCATTCCAAGCTCTGAGTCGTTGGCGTCTTTATTGCCCACGGCTCTCTTCGATGCTCCACCACGCATCCAGCACCTCACAATGGCTTCCAAAGCGCTCTCGTCATCCCTGAGTCGGCGGTGCTTCAACCCGACAGCTCGACTCCTCCGCAATGGCCCCCGACCTTTCGCGGCCGCCGCTCGACGAACCCTTCTGGAGGCTTACCGGCCCGCTATCTATGTTGCCGGCCAAAGACGAGCCATTACAAGCACGGCAAGATCAAGGCTTGCAGAAGCGCAGGAATCCTTTGATCCCCGGCAACAGGAGCGAGAGAGCGATGAGGTCGATGTTTGCATCGTGGGTGGCGGTCCCGCCGGCCTGAGTGCTGCAATACGACTGAAGCAGCTGGCCAACGAAGCCGGCAACGAGGACTTCAGGGTACTTCTTTTGGAAAAGGCTGGCGAGCTGGGAGACCACATTGTGTCGGGGAATGTTATAGAGCCATCTGCTCTCAATGAGCTCCTCCCAAACTGGAATGCCGAAGACAATCCGAACCGATTCGAGCACGTTACTGCTGCCAAAGCCGACAAGATGCGTTTCCTCACCAAGACGATGGCTATTCCTATCCCCAAACCTCCTCAGATGAACAATCACGGGAATTTTATAATAAGTTTGAATCAATTCACAAAATGGCTAGGCGAACGGGCCGAGGAAATTGGCGTCGAAATATACCCTGGATTCGCTGCGTCAGAGGTCCTATACAATAGTGATGGCTCAGTCAGAGGGGTAGCGACGAATGACTTGGGCATTTCGCGAGCGGGCAAACCGAAGGACTCTTTCGAACGCGGCATGGAGTTCCGCGCTCGAGTCACGCTCCTTGCGGAGGGCTGTCACGGCAGCTTGACGAAGCAGATTGTGAAAAAGTTTGATCTCAGACGTGACAGCCAGCATCAAACGTATGGTCTAGGCATCAAGGAGGTATGGGAGATTGATCCGGAGAAATTTCAGTCTGGTCTAGTAGTCCATTCAATGGGTTATCCTTTGCCCTCGAATACGTATGGTGGTGGTTGGATGTACCACTTCGGGGAGAATATGGTCAGCATCGGGCTGGTTGTAGGGCTCGATTACCCCAACCCATGGCTATCACCATACGGCGAATTCCAGAAGATGAAGCACCACCCGCTCTACAAGTCTACTCTTGAGGGAGGCAAGTGTATCTCGTATGCCGCAAGAACCTTGAATGAAGGTGGTTTCCAGTCAATCCCCAAATGCGCATTTCCAGGAGGAGCGCTAATTGGAGATACTGCTGGCTTTCTCAACGTACCCAAGATCAAAGGCACACACACTGCCATGCGATCAGGAATGCTAGCTGCCGAGGCAACATACACCGCTCTCACTTCAACGGACGAGGGCAGCGTATTTCTTTATGATTACGAGGATAAACTCCGTTCCTCCACCATCTGGTCAGAGCTAAAGACTGTCCGGAACATGAGACCATCTTTTCACACTCCATTGGGACTGTATGGTGGAGTAATGTACTCGGGGTTGGAGGCTTATGTCTTCCGCGGCAAGACACCTTGGACGCTGAAGCATGGGAAGCCAGACCACGCGGCCACAAAGCTTGCTGACAAGTGCAAGAAGATTGAATATCCGAAGCCAGATGGCAAGATCAGCTTCGACATTCTGACCAGTGTCAGTCGCAGTGGAACAAACCACGAAGAAGACCAGCCGGTGCATTTACAAGTCAAAGACTGGGACAAGCACGCTCAGCTGGAATGGCCGAAATACAAGGGCGTGGAGAATCGCTTCTGCCCTGCGGGCGTGTACGAGTATGTTGAGGACGAGAGTAAGGATATTGGCGTGCGGTTCCAGATCAACGCACAGAAGTAAGTTCAATGGTGCTATAGTGCAGACTTGTACTGATGGAATGCTAGCTGTGTACATTGCAAGACTTGCGATATCAAAGTACCGGACCAAGACATCAACTGGACCACGCCTCAAGGCGGCGAAGGCCCGAAATACGTGCTGACATAGGTTCCTAGGACGACGTAATGGATTACGCTGCGAGGCTTATTTGATACAACCAGGCAGGGTTGGTTTCCGCTGTTTACCACCATTACTGTTCAGCATCCGCTTCTGAGCAGCTCTGTACATAGGATGGAGCGATGCCGGATTACTGTAAATAGACATTCTTCACAGGGCCCCGCCGGTTGGGCAGCAGGACCAGGAAGCGCAAGCTTTTACCTTGCTCGAACTGCATTCTTCGCTGTAACACGCCGGTGACGTATTGGTGACAAGGCGGGTGATGATTTGTCCACGATGTCCTCTCTCCTGCTCTGGCAGGCATCTCCCGTTACATACCGCAGAAAGAAAGGCCTTGGAGGGGAGTTGTGATGTAGCAGCCATATTAATGGTCACGTGACTTTCCTCAAACGGCTAGCGTCGCTTGGCTCGCCCAAGTTTTCCACTTCATGAAGCCTCATTCACCACCTTTCCTCCTCCTCTGCCACCGCCGTTGCTGTCGCCTTGCCACAGCATCACCGTCGACTTGCATATCGCTAGGGCGTACTGACCGCACTAGAAAGCCCCAGCACCGCTCTCTGCGACCGCTGCTCAGATATACATTTCCCGCCTGGCGCCCTGCCCGCTTCTGCCTCACCGGTTCTCCCGCGCCTCACTTTTTCTTGGGTTCGACTTCAAGGTCCCGGCCTCTCCTCACGCCGTCCGCAACACTACCCGTCTGTCTACCACTTGGTTGAAGAAGGTCCAACTGTCCAAGATGACTGAGGTTTCGTCCACTCGACTCTACCTGGGGAATTTGCCTCGCAATGGTATGCTTGTCCCTGCCCCGGAAGGAATTGCCAGCCCCGAGAACGCGTGTTCTGGATGAGGACCGTCAAGGATCCAGGATCGCGCTGGCTCAACTCCATGGAATTTGGCGTCGCTGACTAGCAAACCTGCGCAGCCACCAAGGCCGAAGTTGAGGCTCACTTCCAGACCCACGGAACCGGCGAAATCACCGAGATCAAGCTGATGAATGGCTTCGGATTCATCGAGTACAAAGATGCCATGGATGCGCGCGATGTTGTTCCAGGTAAGCTTCCATACCGAACCTCTATACTTGATCTTAAGACATCGAAAGCTGACCTAGTTTTACTGTAGCCTTCCGTAAGCAAAAACAGTGACTCCTCGATCCCTCCTCTGAATGCATGACCTAATTTTCGACACATACAGATGGCTCCGACTTCATGGGCGAACGCCTGATCGTACAGTTCGCACGTGGCTCCCGTCGCACTGAGAACTTTGCCCACCAGGAGCGTGCGGCCCCTCGTCCTCGACGCACTCCGTACCGGATGCGAATCTCTCAGCTTCCGGTTGAGACCAGCTGGCAGGTCAGCACATCTTCCATATCCCTTGGTTGTTGGACGAACACATGCCCCTTTCCTTTGGATGTTTGAATTGCGTTTCACCACTCCTTCCTGGCTGCTGGCCGCTCCACCTCTGTGTCTGTTTTAATGTTTACTGGCCATCCCCGTGCTTCGTTTACACCAGGATTTGAGACTGTATTACCCTTCTATGGATGCCGCTTGTCGGGAGGCCTTTGGACCCTCGTTTGCTTTCTATACGTTCCACACCTATATGGTTATAGGCGCCCGGACTCACACTGGACCTTATAGGATCTCAAAGATTTCGCCCGTCAGTCTGGCCTCGATGTTGTCTACTCCGAAGTAGGCCGTGATCGCGATGGCACTGGGTAAGCTCTCAGCTCTTGACTACTCAAGTCGCATGAAGATACTGAAACATCTCAGGTTCGTCGAGTATGAGACCGCAGCAGATCTCAAGAATGCAGTGGAGAAGTTGGACAATCGTGAGTTCAAGGGTCAACAGGTCCGATGCATTCAGGATGTCAGCTCGCCCCCACCACAGCCACCGTTCAAGATGCGACAGCCATACCCCCCGCAGGGAATGGACGACCGTGGTCCTCGAGACCGATTCCGCTCCCGTTCACCTCCCCCGGGTGGTCGACGCGGATACCCGCCAGCTGGTGACGACTACTACCATGATCGTCGTGGCCCCCCTCGTGGCTATAGTCCCCGTCGCGACGACTATCGTCGCCGTTCGCCACCACCGCGCGATTACTACGATTCTCGCGATCGTTATGCCCGTGCTTCGCCCCGTCCTCGTGGCCCAGTCGATGAGTATGGAGCTCCTCCCCGCCGTTATCCTGATGATGGTTATGATGCGCGAGGACCCCCTCCTCGTCGCGGATATGAGGCTGATCCGTACGTGAATGGTCATGCTAGACCGTACGATGGCCGTCCTCCCTCCCCGCGAGGCCGCCCTAGGAGCCCAGCCCGCGCTGGCTACGACGACAACTACGTTCCTCGTCCTCGTTACTGGTAAACATTCCTCTCTCCCCCTTGGCACTAAGCAGTTCGTTCTGCGTGTGCACTGAACATGGCTCACCCTTCAAGATCTACTCCGCTCGACCCTCGTCCTCTCCGCCAATACTCAGCTTAGCTGCTCGATCCACAGAACTCAGCGAGACTCGAGAGACGACGGACAGTGAGATGGAAGTTAGTTTAATTTGGCGAGGTGGTATCGGTTGTTGGTCTCCAACTCTCTTTCTTTCCTTTTCTTTCCTCCTCTGTATGATATGGGCTTGGGATTGTTACGACTGCTCGTCACAACTCTACGGGGTTGGATCTGCTTTTTCCTTGTCATCCAATGCTCTGGCTCGACAGCTAACGATGGTTTCAATGTCTCATCTGGAGGGGAGAAACTTTGCTGCATGTTTGCATGAGAGCCGTAACTTGGCACTTGCATGTGCAACGACGGATCCCATTGGCGGAATTGTTTTCCTTCACTTGGTATGCGTGGTCGGCTCTCTGGAATCTCAGAAAATGGCGGTTATATGAAAATACAGAAAGTCCTACTTTCGAAGTTTGGACATTTCTTGCGATACGTCTACCGTTCGATATTTGGTATGACTCGTTTTTCAACTTTGTCTCGATAATATAGCATCTCTAGTGACGGTTCTTCGGCAACAGTTGTAGGACTGTCGTTGCAAAGCCCTTCAGCTACTTCCCCAGTAACGAAGGTTCTGTCTTCTTCTCAATTGTTTTCTTCAGCCTGTTTCTTGCCTGTTTCAATCTCCAATCTCCAATCTCTATGGCCTTGTGCGAATCGGACCAGACCCAGTCGTGCTTGCTCCACTCCAATCTTGTGTGGATCTGTTCATTACACGGCGTTAAATCTTTAGCCCCGAGGCGTGTCCAAAAAGGGTCAAGGAGAGGAAGCGTCAATGCCTACCTCAAAAACTACATCTCGCAAACCTCGCTCTAACGATCAGTCGTTATGCCGTTCTAAACTGGTATATCCGTTAACAATTTGAGGCCATTTAGCTTTCGCCTGCAAACTAACTCAATCATAGCGTTCTCTATTGCTGCTCCATCGTTCAGGGCCCTTGCAACCGAGCAGGATGCCGCAATTACAATGTAGCATCTTCTACTACGGCGGAAATACCCACAAAGTCCGTACATAATCTCCGTATCATAGCTAATTTGGACTACTGTACTCAAATGGAACCGGCCTCTTTGTTTTTGTGCTCAACTCATTGACCTACTAGCAGTCATCGAAGAACATCACTCCATCGCCGTCCGCCCAATCATTCCAGCTTCCTTCAACCTAAAACTCCAACAATGCCTACCAACCACTCCCTGTGGCAGGACAAGATTGGCGTGCCTGGCGTCATCCGCGACGCCCCGTTCCCGTCCAACATCGCAGACAGCGAGCTCGTCGTGAAGGTCCACGCGTGGGCCATGAACCCCTGCGACTCGATGCTGCAGGACATATCTCTGCCGTTCGTCACCTACCCCGTCATCCTGGGCGAAGACGTCGCGGGCACCGTCGAGGCCGTCGGGCGCACCGCTGCCGCCAAATTCGAAGTCGGCGACCGCATCATCGGCATGGCCCTCGGCACCATCAGCAGGCGACCCGCGCACGCCGGCTTCCAGGAGCGCCTCATCCTGCACCACACCATGGCGTGCAAGATCCCCGCCGCCCTCTCCTTCGCCGAGGGCGCCGTCTTCCCACTGTGCATCACCACGGCCGCGTTCGCGCTCTTCGGGAAAGACTACCTGGGCCTGCCGTTCCCGACCACGACTTCTACTAGCTCGGGCAAGTCGGTCCTGATCTGGGGCGGCGCCTCCGCGGTTGGCAGCAACGCCATCCAGCTCGCGAAAGCCGCGGGCTTCGTCGTCGTGGCGACGTGCTCGCCCCGCAACTTCGACTACGTGAAGAGCCTGGGTGCGGGCGCGGTCTTCGACTACAACAGCCCGCCCGCGGTCGACGACATCGTCGCCGAGCTGGATAAGGGCGTGTGCGCGGGCATCTACCACGCGGCGGGCGCGTCGGTGGCCGCGACGTGCCTGGTCTCGCACCGGTCGAGGCAAAAACTGTTTGTGGCGTCGTCGAATCCGGTCGGCGAAGGCGATGCGCCGGAGGGCGTGGAGGCGAAGATGACGTTTGGGACGGGAGGCGTGGAGATGTTTGGGGAGGTGAGCCCGGCGACGTTTGGGGGGTTCTTGCCCGAGGCGTTGGAGATGGGGGTGTATCAGGTGGCGCCGCGGCCGCAGGTGGTGGAGACGAGGGGGCTGGAGGGGGTGCAGGTCGCGTTGGATGTGTTGAAGAAGGGGGTCAGTGCGAGGAAGGTTGTTGTTGTGGCGGAGTAGGTGGTTTTGGGAGAAGGAAAGCTAGGGGGTTGTCGGGTTGGACGCCTTATGGTTGGGTGCGTAGGGTCGATTTGTATCTTCTAGCGGCATGGTATTATAATCGAAGAGAAGGTCTGATCTCTAAAACGGGATCTTTATAATGTGGCTTGTGGTGGCTAAGGAGAGGTTCAGGTGTTCTAGTCTGTTTGGAATTTCCTAAACAAGATAATAAGATTTAATATGCTTCATGATAAGTGGTGCACTCCGTCAATACTGTCAAGGATGCTTCGAGACATCTTCGGCATCTTCAATTTTATTGACAGTCCTACAGTGCTGAAGTTTTTTGTGTCGTCTTGTCTTTGGCGAGCGTTGTGGAGGACCTCTGGACGTCGCATTAAGTTGTAAACGAGGAGGAGAGTTAGTACCTTGATTCACAGCTTACAAAAGTTGGCATCTACAGTGTGATTTTGACGGATTATCGCAAGACGTTTAAATATTGCAGTGAGGTAGAAATTAGTGTGTCATGATCTGTAGCATTCAACAATTTACATCTGACTAGGTTTGTTGATGGACTGTCGACAGAGCTCCGAAAGCTGTAGTACAATGCCAACAGGATGATGTTAGATTCGGCATCACGACATATAGTCATGAGTTCTTCACATCCTATCTAACATTCTGATAGACTGCTAGAGAAGCCCCCCGGTATAGCACTAAAGCATCAAACCACGATGATTTTCCAGCAATATCAATTTCTAGCACTCCACCAAAGACCTCCAAACGTCCCAACAACCCGTCCACACCGCTCAATCCTCTCGCCCGCTCAAACTCCTCCACCGCTCACACCAAAACTCCCCACCCTCCCCAACGCGCACCGTTCTCAAATAAAAGCCAAAAAACCAGTCCCCTCTTCCAAAATCCTCACCCCTCTCACACCTCCCTCACTCCCCTTAACATTCATCTCCATCCTCCCACCAAAACCCCCCCTCCTCCAACCGCCCCACCCTCAACGCATGCCGCTTCCTACTATTCCGATAGCGGTTCGCCCACGCCTTCCTCCGCCCCGCCCCGCGCCGGCACGGGCACTTCTTGCTATGCCGCGCGTGGCCGCTCTCGGCGCGGTGCTCGGTGCGGTCGTTCCTGTAGCGATGCAGCTCGGCGTCGACGACGGCCGTGTCCAGCGCGCCGGTGGTCGGGTCGTAGGGTTCGTCGTTGGCGGCCATTGCGGTGGTGGTGGTGCGAGAGGGTTTGGTTTGGTTTTGGGTAAGGCGGAGAGAGAGAGAGAGAGAGAGTGTGTGTGTGTGTGGTGTTGTGGGTTTGTTTTTGGGAGGGGAAGCGTGGCACTGTGTTGTGTCGTGGAGGCTTTTTAGCTTGGAGCGTTGGGGGTTTTTGGCGTGAAGTTGTGGAAGGCCTTTTGGGCGTGGAGTTTGTTGGGAGTTTTTTTTTTTGGCGTGGCAGTGTTGGAGCTTTTGGCTTGGAGTGTTGGAGTGTTTGGCGTGGAAAGAGTTGAGGCGTTTGGTCTGAAGTGTTGAGGCTGTTGGTTCGAAGTGCTGAGGCTGTTGGCTTGAAGTGCTGAGGCTGTTGGCTTGAAGTTGTGCGAGAACCTTCGCGCGCGTGTGTGTATGTATGTATGTATAAGTGTGTAAGTGAGTGGTCGGGGATGGAAGAGAGGGCGAAGGGAACGGGTTTTAGTATTTTGGGAATCGCCAGAGCGCATCAGAGGTCGAGACTTCATTCTTGGCAGAGAGGGGGAAGGGGCGATGTATGGCCAGGAAAATTATAGGTAAGTATGATAGCGATGCTGCTTGGCGGCACGAACCACAGTTGATGAGAACCTGAGAGGGCGAGAAGGGAAGAGGTCATATGACCACATCGGAACTTCGTTCTCTAGTTACATATAGGCCGCAAAAAGGGGGATAGACGCCATCCTTCTGCCTGCAATCGGCCCCGGAGTCCAATTCCTTTCCTTCTCATTTACCTTGACCCACGACGCATTTCGACCTACAACTTACCAGCAGTGTTGAAGTCGTCGAGCGCGATTATGATGCGCTTGGTCATGGTCTTCTCGCCCTCGCGGACCCACACACGGGGGTCGTAGTACTTCTTGTTGGGCTTGTCCTCGCCATCTGGGTTACCGACTTGAGTCTTGATGTATTCCTGCTTGTTAAGGACGTAGTCACTACACCTATCATTAGTATATGCGTTGTGGGAAGTATTAAGGAGGGGCTAGGTACCGGATGCCGGTGAGGTAGGCCCATTGGAGATCAGTATCCAAGTTGACCTTGACGACACCGTATGCTTTTAGGGTGTTAGCTAGCGGTTAGACTGACGTGGTACTAGGACTTACAGATAGCTTCCCTGAAGTCCTCGACCGTGGAGCCACTGCCACCGTGGAAGACCAGGAAGACCGGCTTCTCCTCCTTGGCACCAATCTTCTCCTTGACGTAAGCCTGGTGTTTCTTGAGCAGACCTGGCTGAAGCTTGACGTTTCCAGGCTTGTAGACACCGTGAACGTTTCCGAAACCGGCGGCGATGGAGAAGTATGGGCTCTAGGGAAAATGAGTCACTGCAGTAACCAAGGCGCTCGACTCAGACTTACGATAGGGGAGAGAGTCTTGTAGATCTCGTAGATGTCCTCTGACGTCAACCGTTAGCACATGTCCTCGAAAAAGTGAAGTAGAATGCAAGACATACCGGGCTGGGTGTAGAGTGAGTTGTTGTCGACGTCCTCGTTGTTCACACCATCTTCCTCGCCACCAGTGATGCCGATTTCCATCTCTAGCCACTGCTTCAATGGCGCCGCGCGCTTGAGGTATTCGGCAGTGGTTTTGATGTTCCAATCAACGGCCTCTTCACTGAGATCGATCATGTGGCTGCTGAATAGGGGTTCGCCATGAGTCTTGAAGTAAGCCTCATCTGCGCTCAGCATACCATCGAGCCACTACAACACACAGGTTTGTTAGTCCTGGCTTGGCTATGTTGGAGGAAGAATATAGACCCACAGGAAGCAGCTTCTTCGCGCAGTGGTCAGTGTGGAGAATAACGGGGATGCCGTAGGCTGGCGCCACACTCCTGATCTGTTTGCATGTTAGATCGTACCTTTGATATTTCAGAATTACGTAGGCCTTACGTAGTTGGCTCCGGCAACAGCTCCAGCGATGGAAGCCTCCTGGTTCTTGTTGTCGACGCCCTTGCCTGTCAAACTGTGGTGTCAGCCCACGTCCTTTCAGCATGCTTTACGAAAGCGCTTTTGTTTCATCCTGTATAGCACAGTTCCATCGTATACTGCTCGTCCGTTGTCATCCTTGCTTTTGTGTCCTTGATTTTGATTTTTGTCTGGATTCAACGTTATGACACCTAGCCAAAGCTGGTACTAAAACCAACGTTTGGCTTTCTGGAGGACTGAGTTTTCGCGTCCATGGTCCCCGCTTGTTCTCCGATATTTCCAAGGATCGTACATATATGGTTCGGCAGAAACGGATCAGACAGAGCCCTCGTCCAGTGTACGATGGAATTATGCTAATCCAGGAAAGGACGGGCTCATTGGCGATGAGGAGGAGGTTGGGAAGATTCTTCACAGAAAAGTGGAGATGGTTGACTGAACGTACCGGCAAAGTAGGCAGCACCACCTGGACGAAGTATTAGCGGACACTCCGAAATCTGGAAGCGAGGAATTGTGGTTGTGTACCCACCTTGTGACATCTGCAGAATGATGGGAGCTTTGGCATCCCTCGCAGCCTCAAGGGCCGCAACTACAGTGGAGCTGGAGGTGACATTCTACAAGGCTTAGCCATTGAAGCCAGATAGTCCAGGACTGGATGCTTACGATGGCGGGAATGGCGACTGCAGGCTGATTAGTACACCAATCTCACGGGAATTGGCCGGGAGCAGAGCACTCACAGTTCTTCTCTTGCGCATAGTTGAAGAGCTTGACGGGGCCTCATTAGTGACGTTTGGTGAAAGACGCGGGGTAGAATAGCACACCTTCAGGACATCGTCGCCGACAATGACGCCGGCCTTGCGGGAGAGGACAGCAGTGGCCATGGTGCAGATGAGAATTGACTGTTTTGGGTGTCAGCTGGGAGAATGCGGGATTTGGCGCGGTATATGAAGATGGAGTCGCGGTGAGGGATAATTGTTGGGGTGGGTCTTTCGGATGCCCCTCCAAGAACGCGCGATGCAGCGTGACAAGCTTATCTGGCTGCGGGCATGGAGAAAAGCAAAGACGCCAGCATTTTCTGTCGCAGCGGCGTGACACTTACTTTTGGGGGGTTGGGGGGCGAATCAAGCAGGGTGGCAGGGCAATTGAGGGTTTTGGCAGCGTGGGCGTGGGCGTGGGGCGTGAGGTTTATGTATGGATGACTTGCGGGCCAGACGCACAACTGAAGTGCTGTGGCGGGGAAGACTGGCGTCACGCTGGAAAGCCGAGCTCACACGGCCAAGTGCTTGCTGTCGTTCCGAGTGCTGTTGACCTCCGGGTCTCTCCGTAGCAGCGAGCCCGCACTCCAATTGCCGGATGCCTGAGGCCGTTGAGCGAGCATCGTCAGATGCTGGCCAATTGCACGGTCCCAAGACAGCCAGACGTCCCCCGAGCACTTCAACTGGACACAGCAACGTCACACGAGCTGCATCGAAGCTCCATTTACCCGCACATGGTTGTTTACACCACAGAATATATTTCACCACTCACTATGTACACAGGTCCCCGGGAAATGATCCGCGGCCGAGCGCTACAAGCCCGGTCGAGGTTCCGAACACGCCCTGCGGTAGCCGACGCTCTATCCCGCTGAAGACTCCTGTCCAGTGTGCTCAAGCAGCAGGCGGGCCCTTCTTATATGCAAGCCACTCTCCAGAGGAGCCCCACTCCTCCACGATTCGCGGCGAGGCTGTCACTTCTGGGGTAGAACGCGGACGGACCGTATGAGAGCTTGCTCCGCACCCTTGACCTGGATCTCCACCTTGAACTTGCCCAGGTGTTTGACGCGCGACGTTTCCCCGTCCACAAGGCCTTCAACGAACCGGATGTCGTTCTCGGCGAGAATGACCCGTGCAGCCTCGTCGTTGTTCGCCAGCGATTGCCGTATGCTCGTGGCAACATCTGCCGTCGTCACAGAACCGTATATCCCAACCATGCCTGACGCCTTCTTTTCTGCCTTCTCTGCAGCTGCAAGGATGTCTGCCGAGTCGGATGCGCCTAGGTAGGTATCCGAGGAGGAACTGTCGTCTTCAATTGGTTGCCGAGCGAAGTCGATCGTCGAGGGCGTAAATATTGTGATGAGTTCCATAGAGCGTGCGGGCTGTATGAAGTCAGTGGTGCGCAGAGGCAAAGGCCAACTGTAGAGGAGAGTCGCATACGCTCAAGAGCTCAATTTCAACCGGCCTCACGTAGTGCTGTGCCTCGAACTCCACCTCTTCCTCTGTCTTCTCAACCTTGGGCTGCTCCATCCCGAATTCAAAGTCTCGCTCTATGGTAACTTTCTGGCGTTTCAGCTCCTTCAATTGATCCGGTAGGACGTAGGCGGCCTTCCCCTGGGGGAACCAGTGATTTCGCATCATTGCGGGAGAGATGGGGATATAGGCCCCTGATCCTGAACATCAGCATTGAACGATAGAACACTAGTCATTGCTTACCCCTCCGCCCATACCCCTTGACATTCTTCAGCAACTTGACGGCAACAGAGTCAGATGGCTTGACCAGCTTCTGCTTGCCGCGCACCTGCTGCTGAAGCGAGCCCCAGCCGTCAAGACCGAGTCTCGTAAAGCGTCGCGTACATGACGCACATTGGGGTAGCAGTATTGAACGCGCAATGGAAGCCATTGCAGGTAGTGTGGTGGTGCGAACGAGGCGCGAAACAATTTGGAGAGGCTTGCGAGAATGTACGGTTGACTGTAACTCATGCCAGACAATATGCGAGTAGCCGGGGTGCTTGAGTAAGAAAAGACTCCCTTTGGGCGCCATTACGACTAGGTAGGGAAGGTGTCAGACAATAATGGCGGTTGGTCTTATTTCATCAATGATCTCTCCTTCATATACTCCCTTTATTTGCCCGTCGTGACCTCGCCTCTTGCCCCGCTGTATGTACAGTTGCGCCTCTATTGTAGACTCCCGCAGATCCGCGGATTGAAGAGCCGACACAACACACCGCTATGCCCGAAAAGCCTCTGACAATCGCAACATATGCTGCCGGAGCATCCCTCGCTGCCATAACTCTGGTCTATGTCTTTGGGCCAACCTTCTTCCTGGACGATGAATCCTCCAATTCCCGCAAGAAAGGCGTCGTCGGCCTTAGGAACTCCGCGAATGACTGCTTCATAAACTCAACATTGCAAGCGCTAGCAGGACTGGGGGACCTGAGGTTATATCTGATACGGGAGACACATCGGCGGAAGCTGGATGGGCCAGACGTATACCTAGTAGACCGGGAAAAGGTCTCGCAAGAGAAGGGCGCTGTAAAACCATGGAAGCTGGAGGGGCTACAAAAAGGCATTGTGACATTTGCGCTCAAGGACATATTGGATAGCCTCAATGAAAGGCCCATATACAGGAAGACAATATCTCCAGGGCCCTTTATAAGAGCCTTAGAGCTGGCCTTTCGAACGCGGATCAGCCGGCAGCAGCAAGATGCACAGGAATTCCTCCAGATTGTCACGGAGAGACTTTGCGAGGAATACCATGCTGGAAGAAAAGCGCGGCGGAACTCCCGGAGAATAGATGTCCCCCTAACGGACGCGCAGGCCGCGCTCGAGAAGCTCGAGATATCACAAAATGTTGACTCTGCGGAGATGGGGCTCGATGAAGCACTGGGCGAAAAGGAAGGAGCCACAGCAGCACCGGAAGAGCATGAAGAGGGAGATAGCAGTGAAGAGGGATTTCCTTTCGAAGGAAAGATTGATTCCCAAATTGAGTGTCTAACTTGCGGCTTCAAGCCCAAACCCACAGTATCGACGTTCGTCACGCTAACGTTGAACGTTCCTCAGAGGTCCTCAACATCTCTTAACACTTGTTTTGACGGGATGCTGAAGATCGAGCACATTGATGACTTCAAATGCGAGTATTGCCGGCTAGAGCATGCCCTCCGAAGCAAAGATCAAGAACTATCCCGTGCCAAAGACTCCGAATCAAAATCACGACTCGAGGCCGAGATGGCCAAAATTCGAACCGCTCTCCAAGAAGACCCAGAGAAGCCGCCCCCAGACGTCGAGCTCCCCGACGCCAAATTAGCCCCCAAACGCCGAATAGCCCGCCACATGTATATATCTTCCTTTCCGAAAATCCTCGCCATCCACTTATCTCGCTCCATGTTCTCCGCCTCTAACTACTCCACCAAAAATATGGCCAAGGTTGCTTTCCCGGAAACACTTCCCCTCGGCGGCATCCTGGACCAGAAGAAATATAGACTACTCGGTGTTGTGACGCACAAAGGCAGCCACAATAGCGGTCACTATGAGTCCTTCCGTCGCCAGGTCACCGCAGCTCCCTATTCAACGCCACACTCCTTTGGCGCAGAGGGTGCATACAGCGTGCAGGGTAGCCCGAACCCCTCTGCTGTTCAGAGTCCGCGCATATCTACCTTGAACCTGGGCAGCACGAGTGAGCGCCCCTCGATGAGCTCTACCCTTGCCTCACCCGCATCCACCTCCTCGCTATCCTCGAGGTCTTCTCTAGGCTCGACCCGCGGGCCCGCACCCACCTCCGCGCCGCGCGACGAGACACTGCAGCCAGTCGCCGAGTCTCCCGCATCATCCCGACCACGGACATCACGCTCCATCAAATCAATAGCCCCGTCGATGACGGACGTCAAGCGGTTCAAGCGCCGGCCGAGGCGGATGGACAACCGGTGGTGGCGGATCAGCGACGACAAGATCAAGGAGAGCCGGACGAGCGACGTGCTGGCTATGCAGAAAGAAGTGTACCTCTTGTTCTACGAGCTTGAACGCCCGCTGCCTGGGGAAGAAGATGTATAGGAGGTGGCCAATGAAAGACTTTATTTGTGTATATTTGACTCGGCATGGCGTCTAGGCGTTTCTCTATTCACTCTGAAAATAAGTCAAAGCACAGTGTAGACCACTAGCTAGGACTGTTGGCCGAATACGGGATGGCTGCTCTGAGAGCTTCTCGTGGTTTCGATTCTACTACATATCTTGAGGGCTATGGTGGTAGGTACATACTTGCTCAACCTCACTATCCACTGCTTAGAGTTTCCGCGATGAGATAGACTTTCGACACACGTCTTTGATACAACGGAGACCGCAGATAGATCAGCTAAGTTGTGAACAAATGAACGAGTTGTGTTTGGAATCCAAAGAGGATAACACCAGGAGAAACACGTGCCAGCCAAATCCTCGAGTCCAGAAGATGACTACATTTTTGAGCACACGTCCAGATCCGCGGCTAACTCTTCGTGCTTCGAAAACTGCTGCGTCCTGAAAATATCAAAACAGTTCCGACCAAGAGCCCAGAAACGTCAGTACTCGGCATCATAGTGTAAACCATCCGCAGGGTAAGATTCGGCTCTACTTTTCATTGCCGCTGGAGTTCTTGAAAGCGAGTTAGGAGTGGCTTCAGCTTGATGAAAATTCTGAAAAAAAGGCTATCGTAGAAACACGCTGATTGTGCCCACCCTTCTCAACCCTCACTCAGGTTTGGGGATAGGTATTCTGCGTTTAGAAGCTCACTCTGGCTCCCGCATGCACTTTTTGAGTCTATCTTTTTCTTTACTTTAATCTAGGGATTTACTAACATAGCATGCCAGAATCAATCTCAAGTCGCACGAGCCAGCTATCGTTTTACTTCTTATTGTATTGGACGGTAATACCCATTTCTATGACCCGCTTCGCAGCCCTGAGAATATGAGGTATAGAACAGGGGGAAGCTTCCGGGTCTTTTGGGGAGTGAGGGCGCAAGTAGGTAAAAATCCCGTCAACCATACCTCCCCAAACCAACACCCTCACGAGTACAACGCCGCCATCCGCATCTGCACATACCCCCACGCCGTCACAGGCTCAAACTTCTTCGGCCTATCCTCCCCCCAGCACCCCGGCAGCGCCTCAATCACCGTCTCCATATCCGCCGTCGCAAAGAACGGAATCGAATACCGCGGCCTACACATCTCCTCCTCTCCCCCTTCCCCACTTCCCGGGACTGCCGGCGGCGCACCCACCCGATGCACCGTACTCCGCCACCGCTCGTTACTCCACCGCTCCATCAAATCCCCCACATTCACCAGCACGGCGCCCTCAACCGGCGGCGCAGGCCTAAACGTCCCCGGCGCCGCGGGGTCCTGCACCTCCAGCCCCCCGACCGCGTCCTGGAACAGCAGCGTCAGCGTGCCGAAATCAGAGTGCGCCGCGATCCGGCTCTTGCGCTCCTCCTGCAGCAGCCGCTTCGGCAGCGCGGGATAGTGCAGCAGGCGCAGCTGGAACAGGCTCTCGCTGTGCGTGGGGCTCAGGCCCGGCGCGGGCACCGCGAGCGCCAGGCTCAGCGCGTCGAGCACGCGGTGCACCAGCCCCGCGCAGTCGGCGAAGAAGCTCTCCATGAAGGCGCGGAAGCCGGGCAGCGCGGGCTCGGGCAGCCAGATGTTGGGCTGGGCGGCGTCGGTTGGGTTGCCGGACTCGAAGCTTTCTTTGACGTCGGGCACGGCGCGGAGCGCGGCGAGCTCGGCGGGCGAGAAGACGTGCTGGGATACTTTTTCGAGGCCTAAGCCTGAGAAGCCGCGGTGGTGCGAGCCGCCTGGGGGGTGCGGGGCGAGGAGCTTGGTGGCGGTGGGGAGGGCGAAGAATTTGGAGGACTGAGGGGGGGTGGTTAGAGGGGGGGTTTGGGGGGGTTGGGAGTGTGGTTGATTGCTGATTGAGATGAGGGTTTGGGGAGTGGTAGATATTTGGTCTTCAGAGAAACGGAAGAGGAAGTAGAGATAGGAGTAGAGAAAGATATGTGAAAACTAGAGAATATGTACATACCCATTCAAAGCACTCATCTACCCTCTTCTTGTCAACGCCATGGTTCTTGAGATACACGAAGCCGACATCGCGAAAGGCGTCGTCGATTTCGGAAGCTACTGCTTTCCTCTCCTCCGCAGTGCCCGTGAGGAACTTTCCGAAGTCTACGATCGGAATTGGGGATGATGGCGATGCTGTTTCCGTCATGATGGAAGAGTGTGGTTGGAGCGAGGGCGGAAAGAGGTGCTCTTGGCGGGGGAATAATGCCGTGCCAATGAAACTAGAGACAGAATAATTGAAAGGCAAAGGCACGCTTCTAAAAGGTCGAAGGAACTGCAGAGAGGAAGCTTTGCTCTGTCGAAAGAGCAGTGCCCGGAAGTATATGTAGTGACAGGGTGCTCGGGATCTGCAAATGCTGCTTCCATATTCGTCCTGCTTATTGTTCGCCTTACACCGTCTAAATTCTGACGACGTCTCAAAGATCTTCGTCTGCATTTTTTGTCAGCACATGAATATCGAGAGCATACTTCGTACAACAGCCGCGTCAGCAGTAATTGTATGGATCCAAATTTCTAACAGTACGACGAAGCACCTCATACAGCGTCAGGCCAATGCGTACGCCTTGATTCTAGATGCTAGATCAAAGATTGTTTCAGAGACTTGCGCATTCTCCAGGTTTATTTTTCGCGACTACATTAACAGTAGACTACACGTTACACCACACCATTGCCCAACCCACCAACGCCCCAAAAAGCCCAGATATGACCGCCAAACCATGCCATTCCGAGATTTTCGCCATCAGTAGAGATACAGAGAACCATTCCAACTAAGACCGATAATCGCCAGCCCAGATGTGCGCCAGATGCGAATGGAGCCCCGAAAGCATGCCCACCCGCTATGCATTTTATAAACGCTGGAAGAGGAATCATAGATGCGCCATTGTAAGCCCGGCATTTTCACTCTCTCACCATTTTCCATTTCACGTGCTTCAGTCCTGGCCGAACATGTCCGCAATACCAGCAAGTCCGGGGGAGGTGCCGCGAACAATGGTGGGTGTCGGATCAACCGTCATGTATTCCTCCTTGATTGTCGACTTTCGGGGCTTTGGTCGCTCAATCCTGCCTTGCTCGTGGATGCTCACCCCGCGAACGCTGGAGAGGAGATCTAGCACGATTGAGCGCTGGAGCGCTGTGTTTTGGTTGGCTCCGCGAAGTTGGCTGAGTTTTCGGTCGACTCGATATGTCTTGTCGGGCATTCCTGGTAACGACATGATGATGGACCTTGGAATGTCTTCGTCAAGAAGAATTATGGCCGCGATGAGAAGGGCAAGCTCCTTTTGGCAGTCAACAAAGTATGGCTCGTGGAGAGAGGTGATCGCCGCTTGGAGAATGTCGATGCAGTAGAAATCTCTGATTTGAGACTTCTCTCTAAACCAGGGGATCAATGATCGTAGTACCCGTACCACCAAGGTGACGCAGCGAGTGTCACGGACACGAATGGTGTTCTTGCAGAACAAGAAAATCGGCTCCAGAACTTCGGGAGTAGCCATAATGAATTCCGACATGCTCTGGGATTTGGTTTTCTGGCCCTCTCTGGTGGGAGAATCTATGAACGTTAGTTGCGAATACATTATTAAATAGGGGACTTGACTTACCAGGTCGCTGAAAATTCATCAACGACGAGACCAATGTGACGGCCGAATATGTGAGCTGGCGGAGGATGCTTTCCGTCTTCATCTCATCACTGAGATTGTCGTTCTGGCCAGACTCACTGATCACTTTATTGATTGCATCCCATTCAGTAGTGACTTTGCGATCAAGCTCCCTGAAAAGACCGGCGACCATCGGTGGCAAGAAATGCGCCCTCAGATGGCCAGGACATCCTTCGATCAGCTGTGTCGATACGCTCAACAAAACGGACAAATGATGTGCTGATAGTGCATGAGCATTGCCAAATAGTGATTGGCTGAGGGGCGCGGGCAGATCTGGAATGCCGTAAAAGAAGTCGCGAAAGCGGGTGAGTGAGTAAAGGATGTAGTATGAGCTTTCTCGGATTTGGCGGACGGTGCCCCGAACGGTAGATGCAAAGCCTTCAAATGTGGACTTCGACCCACTTACCCGGGCAAAGAAATCATCTCTGCTCTCTGTGGAAATGCCCGCCTGCCAAAAGCGATCCGTAAGAACCTTTTTGATAACAAGCTGGAATTCTTCTGGTAAGTGTGACCAATTTTCGATGTTATTGAAGGCTTGAGCGTGGCTGAAAATCATGTGAGCGGAAATCTGGACAGTGGAGACAATATGTTTACCTAATGAGTTGGAGGAGGTTGGGCAAAATGGATGGTATGGCTTCAGACCACAAGACAAGTGCTGTCTCGTAATTTGGAGAACCATCTCTTAGTTTCTCGGTTGACGCAGCCAACAAGGTCTTCGTGAGGCGCAGAGGAAGGCGCTATCTTTAGTTAGTATTCTGTAATCTGCCCATGAATTGTGGGGATTACTTGAGATCGTTCGAGGATGCTGGCCTGCATCGTCTGACCTTCGCCATCGAGGGATTGGGCCGACCAATCCAGAACGCGTTGAAATTTGTGAGCTGAGAAAAAGTCCGGCAATCGACTCATTCCAAGCATTTCGCAGAATGAGCCAAAGGACGACAACGACTGTGTAAACTCGTCATTTTGCCAAGCGTCTTTGACTGTTCCTAGCATATGCCGTAAGCGAACCTCGCGTGTCTCCTGATCAATGATGGTAGAGCGATGTCTATCTGTGTCAGAGAAATACCAGAGCTCGGCTGAGAGGTTTACACTCACAATATGATGAATAAGAATCCAGAGAATGCCATCCGCTGTCGATCATCATCCGTCTGTGCGGACAGAATGCTGTTGATCTTACGCTCCAGTTCGTCGTACACACCCTATAAGTCTTAGTCACACAACGTTTCGAACGGGTGACAAGGATATCAACTCACCATGAACTCATTTGGAAACATCATAGCGAGCTTCGACATCTCTTGACTGCATGTTCGCTCAAGGTCTTTGACCGCATCTGAGTATGTAGGCGTGGCGGGATTATCTGGAAGGTGGGAATTGAGTATGTACTCTAACAGACTCAGAGCAAAGGCAGAACTCTCGGGGAGAGCTTTTGTAGAAAACGTGACCAGAAGCTGGATAACTTTTCTTGCAATTTCAGGATCCTACGCAACGTTAACCTATAGTCGTATAATGCAAGAAGACGGAAATACCTCGAATCTGCGGTTCATCAATTGCCTGCACCATTGCTCGATAGCGTCCTGCATGGCATTCCTGTCGTGATCCTTTCAAAGGGTTAGAGCCTGTGGCCAATAAGGAAGGAGATTGGCATACGTCTTTTTGTGGATCTGACCCTTGTGTGGATAGCCATTTGAGATATCCACGAAGGGCAGCGTTGATCACCGTTACTTGTGCGTCGACTCGGAGAACCGGGGTGGAATGCTTGTGAAAAGATTGGGCTGATACATGTTAGCTGCAGATGTCTTGGAGAGTAACGCAGCATTCTGCGAACCTTGAAAGGGCGGAATTCCGTTGTACAGATTTTGGAACAGGGTATCAGCCTGCCCGAAGATGTGTTGCATTGCTTCGATAGGCGTCCTCCGCACGGTGACCTCAACCACATCCTCGCAATATCGTCGATAATTACCCAGGAACGCGTGTCGCTCCGGGAAAGTGTCAATGTCTTCGTTAAGAAATAGCAAGGTAACGTCATCTGAGTCCTCTGGCAAGGCTTCGTAGCGAACCAGCCGTGAGCAGCAGGTCTCTAGAAGGCCGCCGATCATCTGGTTCACAACCTCAGACTCTCGGACTATGCGCGATCTCAAAAGTTTGGTCCAACAATGCAATACAGGAATGGAGACCACCAAGCTGGGATTGCGGAGCATATCAAAAAACAAATTGAGCGTCCCAGGAATATCACTGCCTTCGGGAATGAGCTGCGGTTTGTGTTCTATAAAGCTCCCTAGACTAGCAGCAAGCTTACTTGGTCAGTATCATCTTCATCCACATGTGTCGGAAATGAGTTACCTCAGCGAGTTTCTTGCAAAGCGAATATTTCTGCTCATTAATGTCATGAACATCCATGTCTACTAGCGTCCAACTGTAGACTTCTTGGAGGAGAGAAACGGTTCCGGGGGTGAACATGGGGCAGACAATGTCAACGAAAGCCTTGTCATCTTGAAGATGCGGTCTACAAGAGATGGCATACAGCACTTCGACTGCGGCCTATGTATCACGTTAGTGTCTGATGAGAGGGCTTCAGGTAGTGGGCTCGTCACCTGTTGAATGGTGACCACGGGCACCGCAAGTGCTTTGCACACGTGCTCGATGATTTGCGTCGTAGCAATGCCGGGCAACATAACCCATGCTACCGCTGCTTTGAGGGTGTTCAGCGTTTTGATCGCGCAGGTAGTGATGCGTTCGTTGTTCTGGAAGTCGTTGGCCAAACACCAACTCAGGAGATCACATAGTCTCTTCAGCCAGCCATCTTCACCAAATTTGAGATTTAGATTGGTGTCCCGGTCAGGCAAGTGCTGCGCGAGCACGGCAGCCGGAAGAAATATATCGACGCACGCCCTGCCCAGATCTTTTCCTCGCAGGACAGCGGTTGGGTCTTCACGGGTGAAGATTTCTTCCGACAGTGTTTCGAGCACGTAGAGCACCACCGCCTGGTGGTGGAGCGACGACTGCCACAGTCCCACAAGCCGCTCGTCCATGTCCATCCACTCGGCGCCCCAGGAGCGTTTCGCTACCTCTGTCCATAGCTGAGCGACTTTGTTCCGCAGATAGACCGGGTCCTCTTCAGAGATACCCTGCGCGAGTTGTATCACGTAGTCTCGCAACGCATCGCCCTGTTCAACGGTGTAGTCTTCCCAGCCATACTTTATCGAATATTCGAGCATAGACAGGCCATAGTGGCGGAGGGCGGCCGGTTGGGCCCTGTCGATTGCCAACGTGAAGCCGTGGGAGGGCGCCTCGGGAAGTTTCTTCGCCTGGTCAAGATAGGCAGTCGCTTCCTTACGGGTGTCGTTGGAGGAGCGAGAGTCGTAAATAGCCTCCAGTGCCTGCAACACCTGGGACAGATCATGCGGAGGCTCGACCTGGGCGGCGCCACCGCCGTTGGTGACGGGTTGCGGGGATGTCCTAGGACCACTGGAGTCCATCATGGCTGCGGTGCGGACAGCCAGAGGGTCTGAGTCTATTGAGGGCTGTCAGCTCGGGTTGCAGATGCAGGGTCCATAGGGTGCAGGTCAGCGCGGTACCTAAGGGTTAGATTTGGTGGTGAGGCTGCGTCCGGTGAGGACGTGAAGGTAGGAAGAAAACAGCGGGACGCATGTCCTTAACAAAGCACGGTGTGGCAGCGTGCACACGTGCATAGAGTCATCTCAAGTGCGGTGCAGAGGATTCACATCGACGTGGCCAGGCAGACGGAGGCAGGCAGAAGATGGGGTCCCAGCGGCGCGTTCCAGAGCTGGAATTTCTATTATAGCAGAACGCGCACGAGGCCCAGACGGCACGGTAGAAGCTTAACGTGAGGTTGGTTTGTATCTGCAGTGTTCTGATATGTCCTAGGATGAGGCTCCCCAGGAATCCTATATGCGCCAAGTCCATACACGGCCGCCAAACAAACGCGCAGACGCCGACAGCGTGACTATCGAACCACCAAAGGCCCCCATACCCCTGCACTGATTCACATCACACTACATCCCTTTAAGGTATTCAAGTAGTATCCCTCCTCTGCGCCTGCTGCGGTGCCTTGCTGCCGCGAGCCCTTGATTTTTATCGTCTGATCGCCCTCAGCATGCCACCACCGCAGTATTTGATGCAGCGCCCCATTCTCGTCCTCGGTGCTAATCGTCCATTTCCCCCCGCTAACCTCCACGCTCGTGTCGTTGGGCGGGAAGTGGAAGTCGGGGAGGAAGACCACCGTCGGCGCCTCTTCCCTGGTCGAGCTCGGTGCGAAGAGAGACATGGAGAACGTGCGGTTTCGGAGATCGAAGCCATATTGCGAGATATCCCCGTGCGCCGTAACCGGAGTGGGTCTCACATATGCCTCTGCGGCGCGGAAGCTCTGCGAATCAGCGTCACTGGATTGCTGCCGAGCGCCTTGCAAGGTCATGTCTTCCGCCGAGAGGGTTTGCTTGAGGTTTGCCGGGGATACGGTCAGGGTCTCGGAGGACTGTGCTTGCGAGTATGCGGGGGACGTGGTGTCGAACGACGCGCGGGAGTCGCTTGAAGGCTTTTGTATAGGAGGTAGTATGCGGTCGTTAGTGGAGAAAATCGAAAGGTCTTCGCCATTCCATAGATCTCCCCATTCGTGGCTGTTCTGTTTCGACTTAGCGAGTGGTACTCAATTGAGTCTGAAGCGAACTTGCCGTAGCTACGTATGTCCAGAGTGCGAATCCATTAGCTCTGCTCTCTTCGAGGGCGAAGTGGTTAGCATCCATAGCTGCAATCTGGCTACTGTAGTCGCCCGTTTTGTACGCGTACTTGTCATCCATATCGTAGGGGATGCCGATCTCGGTGAAGACACATGGATGGATTCCCATGTACTCGGTACCTTCTTCGCGAATCGCGGCAAGCTGGTGCGCAAGGCAGTTCCGGATCGCCGTCTCCCCAAATTTGATAGCAAAAGCCGGGGTCAGATATTTACCCCTCAGTACACCAAACACATCAACGTTCCAGACACGATTCCTGGGAAGTTAGTCATAATACAGAATATGTAGAGCTGATTGCACATACCATTTCTTTGTTAATAGCGTGATGCCGTCGTAATAATGTGGTGAAAATATCATGTTTGGATCGTCATCTTCCGTCCCCTTTATAGACGGTGGTATCTCTAGAACGGGCGGCTGGAAGAACATGAGAGAGTCAGGGAACACAGACTTGACCATCGTGCTATATTTCCGGTAGTGTTGCATGTAGTAATGATTTGTGAAGTACTCGTAGTCGATCTTGTCGCCATTTTGTGGGTTGTTGCCAAAATAATTCTTCCTTAGGATTGTATCCGTCGCTGGGTCCCAGACACCATGCTGAGCCCATATACACTCTCCAAGCTTCCATCCCGGGTCACGTTTCCAGCCATAGCGAGAGTCATCGTAGTCTGCGGGAAGCCACGCTGAACGTCCTTTGGGGTCGATTAAAAGGGAACCAGACTTGTAAGGCCCCATGCCGCCAAAGTCCCATGTGTTTATCTCGCAAGCTCTACCCGATCCGGTCAGAATTGCCTGCCAAGCCGTTGGCGATGTGCCTTTTTGCAGCTTCTGCTCGGTTGGAATGACAGTCACATCCTGATAGCTTATCAATCCTCTGTTGGGCTCGTTGAGACTCTCCCAGCCGACAATGGGGTCGTATTCTAGGTCACCAGCCTCGTGGATTCGTGTTGCAAGGTGCTTGCATGCCGCGATGTAGTGATCCGTCAGGTAGTCCTGGATGTTTTTCCCGTCGATGATTGCTTTTGGCGCAAAGTCTCGCCCCCCGAAGAACAGTGTGAACATGACCTGGCAAGCAAGCCGAGTGTAGTTGGTTGCCCAGATCATCTTGGGATACTCGGCTGGTTTAGGATAGGTATTGTGGACCAGAGCAGCCTCAGTGACATCGAACGCGCGCGGATCCAGCCCACACGCATACAACGTCCACATGGGCGCTCCTGATCCACCTGAAAATCTCGACCACTAGCAAATATCAGATCTGAAGGAATGTATTCCTCGAGCAGGCCTACGTACAACATCCTGATGAGGATCCATGAAGACAAAGAATCCATAGCGTTTTGCAACGCGAAGCACTGCAATTGTGTGCTGGATCCACTCTTCGTCATATCGACCCGGGCCTGCCGCCTCTATAGCCTCCCAGGTAAAGATGTATCGTATCGTGTTATATCCCCACCTTTTCAATCGCGCAAAGTGGACATTGGCCGAGTCAACCGTGAAAGGTCGGTCGATGAAGGAGACATTGTCGCCGTCGAAGAAGTCGTCAGGCACATGCGACGGGAGGTCGGGTTTCGAGGGTAGTTTGGCATCTGCTGCTGCATTGATACCATGCCTTCAAGGTGCAGTACATATGTTAGCGGATTTCACAAAGACAATCTAGGTCCGTACAGGATGACTTCGCGATTATCGGCATCACGGAACGTGCGGCCATCGATGCGTAGTCGGAGAGGCGCCATGAGCGAGTCTAGAGAGGAGGGCAGACGTGGATGGCGCCTCAAGGGGCAGTCTGTTTATATGGGGGACCAGCGGAACCGTGGAAGAGTATGCAAGTCGTCAGATAGCAACGGAACGAGGGCCGTCCATGCGCGTCATCCCCATAGTTTCGTTCACATGGGGGGTCCTAGTCAGGTCGACGCATCGGATCGCAATGTGGCCTAGATAACGTGGCTTGGTCAATTGGTTCAGCCTCATAAAGAGATGCCAGAGTGGCCATTCAGGGCTCCTGCGCTCTTGCATCCTTTCACTCTATATTTAATGTCGCCGGCAGAGGCCAGCTTTCCTCGCGCTCCTTAACCCATTTCTTCCTTTCGAGCTCGTTTTCTTTCTCTTCCTACCCGTCGCCGCCATGATCTTGCCGCTCACGTCGCTCGCCCTCGGAGCTATCCTGCTCTCCTCGCCCCTCGTCGCCGCCCTCTCGCCCTCAGACATCCCCGCCGACACTCCCGTGGCCCAACTCCTCAAGAGCGCGACCGCAAATCTTGCCGCCGGAAATGCTCAAGACGCGCTCGTCTACTTCGACCAGGCCGTCACGCGCGACCCGAGGAACTATCTCACTCTTTTCAAGCGCGGCGCTGCATATCTCTCCTTAGGGAAGAACCAACAAGCTCAACATGATTTCGACAAAGTGCTGGAGCTGCAGCCGGGCTTTGAAGGCGCCCTGGTGCAGCGCGCAAAGATAAAGAGTCGAAGTGGCAATTGGGCTGCTGCGAGAAAGGACTATGAAGCTGCTGGGAAGCTTGGAGGGGAGGAGATCGCGACTTTGGAGGAGGCACAAGCCGCTGCTCTGTTAGCTGTAGAGGCCGCAGAGCGTGGAGACTGGGAGGCATGTGTTGCACAGGCAGGTGTTGCCATTATAGTTGCCGGGACAGCATCCGATCTTCGACGACTGAGGTCAAGGTGTCGATTCGAGCGAGGGGAGGTCATGGAGGGCGTCAGCGACTTGCAGCACCTGCTACAAATCAACTCCGGGAGCACCGAGCCATACTTGAAGATCTCGACTATGACTTTCTACGCGTTAGGCGAAACTGAGAAGGGCCTACAAGAGATTCGGAAGTGTTTCCAGTCGGACCCCGACTCTAAGGCTTGCATGAAGGTCATGAAGCGCGAGAAGGCTATCGAGAAGCAATTGAAGAAACTGAAACAGTTCATGGAGAGACGACAATTCGTTAGCGCCACAAAATTACTAGTGCCGAGCGGAGAGGACATTGGACTCCTTGCAGATGTGAAGGAAGACATTAAATCCTACAAGGATCAAGACATAATTCACAAGAGCTCTCCGGACGGACTCTACACCACGCTGGTAGAAATGACGTGTGAAGCATACGTGGAGGTAAGTTGATGCGAGCCCTCTAAAAATTCCGTTGCTGATGGTTCTATTTAGTCGAACAACAACAAGAAAGCGCAGCCGTATTGCGCAGAGGCCTTGTCATTGAATCCAACGTCGTTATATGGGCTACTCTCTCAGGCGCGAAAGCAGCTCGATGCCGATGACTTCGAGGGTGCCATCCGTACACTGAACGAGGCAAAAGAACACCACCAATCGAACGGAAAGATCCAGGAGCAACTCCAAAAGGCTCACCTAGAACTAAAGAAGTCAAAGCAAAAGGACTACTACAAGGTTCTTGGCGTTCCACGAGATGCAGATGAACGAACCATCAAGCGTGCCTGGCGTGACCACACGAAGAAGTTTCACCCCGACAAGGCTCCAGCACACGGGATAGCCCCAGAAGAAGCGCAAACGAAGATGGCAGCCATTAACGAGGCCTATGAGATTCTGAGTGATCCTGAGCTCAAGGCCAGGTTTGATAACGGAGACGATCCCAACAATCCAGAGCAGCAGCAAGGTCACCCATTCCAAGGCTCGCCATTTGGCCAAGGACAAGGCGGACAGCAATTCATGTTCCGGCAAGGCGGCGGTGGATTCAAATTTCAGCAGGGCGGATTCAACTTCCCAGGAGGGTTCTGAAGCACGTTTCTATTCATTTCTGGCGTTAAAAGGGAGCATCAGCGGGAACTTGGAGGCACCCTGGCGTAATTATATCCGCATCAAATTACTTCCAGCGAACATGAGCACCGGTGTGTTGTCTGTAACTAGATTCAGATGCCTCCCCGGCAAGCAATTGATTTATCCAAGCATTCACTCTATATGTACAGCATGCAACAATGCATGGAACTGGTGTGATCTCCTATTAACTAACTTCGTGACCTCATGTGACTCTACCCCATGCGCGCTACTCGCTTGAAGATGTTGCGGCCTCGAAACTCCAAGGGCTCCATCATCCACCCCACCAGCTCCCAGCGCTGTTCAGTGCCCGGCGCAACCCCAGGAGGATGCAGCTGCTGTCTGTACGGCGACCTCAGCATGGCCTTTGAGGGCGTGTTGTACAACCTCGAGAATGAGCAGCAGTTCTGGGATGGTGCGTGCTGCTTCAACCCCGCGCATGCCTGTGCTAATCCTCCGCAGAGCTGGACGAGATTGTTTCCACGCGCTGCAGCGACCACGAGAGAATAGACGATGCCCTGCGCTCGTATCTCAGCTTCACTACCGAATTCAGAGGTACAATACTTCGCGAAACCCCGCCGGAATCGCGAACAATGTTGACCATGGGCAGCCGAGTACCTCTCTACTGAAGACGACATCACCAAGTGTAGTCGCCGTCTCATAGAAGGCGACCTCTTTGCGAACCACAAAGACTATGTCCGCCGGCAAATTGTGTATTGCATACTACAGGTCAGACCCTATGCCTTCTATGATCATTCGAGGCGAGGCTGATCATGGAGCAGGAGGACGATAACCCAACTCTCCATCTAGTCGCGACCTTTCTGCTGGTCGATGGCAGCAATCACGATGCCACCTTCGAGATGATGCAGGCCGAGGGCGCCTTCTCGCGCCTAGTCGAGCTCGTACAACGCCCGGAAGTTGAAGCGGATATGGACTTGCACCAGCTTCTCTTGAAGCTCTTGTATGAAATGTCACGAATACAGAAGTTGAGCTGGGACGATCTGGGTGAGTTACACGATAGACTCCTGATTATTCGGCATGGCTGCATACCGTTCGTACTAATAAAAGGAATAGTGGCTGTAGATGATGCTTTCGTTCTGCGTCTCTTTCAAATCATAGAGGGGGCTTCATACGACGTTGACGATCCTTACCACTACCCCGTAATTCGCGTTCTGGTACGTAAAATTTGTGTATTGATACATGTACAGCATTAACATCATCTCCAGCTGGTCCTGAACGAGCAATACATGATTGCATCCACATCTTCGGCCACCGTTTCTCCGCCACCAAGAGTAACCAACCGCGTAATAAAGGCCCTCTCCACCCACGGCTTAAGCTACAAGACCTTCGGAGAAAACATCATTCTCCTCTTGAACCGCGAGTCCGAGTTGTCCCTCCAACTGCTAATCCTCAAGCTCCTCTTTCTCATATTCCAGTCATCATCCACGGCCGAGTATTTTTATACCAACGATCTCCACGTGTTAATAGACGTCATTCTGCGCAACCTTTTAGACCTTCCCTACGACGAACCACGCGCAGAGTCTCTACGCCACACCTACCTCCGCGTTCTCCATCCGCTACTAGCAAATAGTCAAGTCAGCCGGCCGCCTCACTACAAACGTACCGACATCCTCCGCCTCCTTAACATGCTAGCGACAAGTGGCACCCATTTCGCTCCTATCGACGACACGACACTCCGCCTCGTCAAGCGCTGCACCACCGTTCCCTGGCTTCAAGAAGCCGGTAACCCCTCCCGCTCGAATTCTTACTCAGACGCCGAAGGCGGCGCGAGCGCCCCCTTGACCCCACTTTCCGGATCCCATGAAAACAATGCAATCGGCGAGGGCCAGAGGGAGCTTGCAAGGCGCATGCTAGGCATGAGTGTGAAGGCTGGAAACGAAAGCGCGACAAGTGTTGTCGCGGTGGCTGCACATACGGCGAGGCCTGGGATACAAACACCGAGCAAAGTGCGAGATGCGCAGGAGGACTAGGTTGAGATAGCAACGACTTGAAGAATTTTCCATGGTCAGCATTATCGGCAGGATCTTTAGGCATATTATGTTGAGCTGGATAGAGTGAATGCATCGTGGGCGGCGTTTATCGATCACGTGGAGCGTTATGGTATGCGAGGTTTTGGAATTCATCTTTTCTTCAGTGGGGAGTGGCGGGAGAAGTTCTCTTAATGGCGTATTGTAGATGAGGATTCAAGATATCCAGGGCGGAGTATATAGTAACCACACAAGCTTACCTCAACAGTATCCCCTTGGCATGTCCTTCGCATCTATACATACAAAAAGTTCTTCCGTGGTCAGATTCGTAAGAACTTGCAACTAAAGCGGCTAAAAGCCTTTACGGCGGTGCCTCACGATCTCTACTCTAGCTCACTATACTTCCGGTTGCTTGAGTCTCAAACGACCTTGGAAGTAGGGACTACGTGACTTACCCACCGGCGCCCTCCACCTCTACCGAAATATGAATCTCACGGTTAGATTCGTAACAATTTGCAATGGAAGCGGATAAAGCCTCTGTGGGGGTCATATGACTATGCTCCAAACGCAGACTACGTGTCCAGGCTTTTACTCGTGATCTGTGGATAAAAAGGGGGGCACGCGGCGTGTTCGCTGAGGGTCCCTCCGCGTCTTTCAAAGAATTTGTTTGTACGGTTAGGATCGTGAATTGTTGGGACTAACAAGTGTGAAATCCAGATAATTGTACCTTAGTAACTCGGAAACTTTGCTCTAAACGAAAACCTAATTTACGAGCGCTTGCTTGGAGGAAGAGAAGGGATTGCGCTGCGTCCGTATTGCAGTATCTCACCAAAGGTCTAGTCACGGTCGTTCGTCACTGCTTGGGGTGCCCTTGTGAGACTTTCAAAGGCTAACACACCATGCGAAGTTCGATGCCGTGGAAATTAAGCTACTACATGACTAGTCGGCTACTCCACAGCAGGGTGATTCCTAAACCGGCACTCCTTCGCCACTATTTGAGGTACCCCCCATATGCTTTCCAAAACCAAGCCAAGACGTCAAGTTCGATGCAGTGGAAATCAAGCGACCTCTCAAGGCTTCACATCCCACTCCGCAACAACATCCTCCAACGGCCTCTTCCCAGCCCCCGCACTCCCATCCCACGCGTACTCCTCCACCCGTTCGATGGGACCCTCCCACACACACGTCACCAGCAACCTTGTCTGCTCCAAGTTGACGCGCAAACGCTTCTTAGGTTGCTTAGACGCGTCCGATGGGTTCAGTTTCCGTGGCTGTTTCGTGAGCTTTGGAAGCTCCTTCAGCGGTGTCCATCCGCTGAAGGATTTTGCAATCACGGAATTGGATAGGTGGAGCGAGATGAGCTGGTCGATGTAAGACGTCAGGTCCGCAAGGATCGTGAATGTGAACGTGCGGGCCGTGACTACTTCGGAGTAGATGGCTGTGGCTACCGCTTGTGGGAGCGTGAGGGTGTATTCGGTGCCGAAGATGGGTTGAGTGACGAGGGTACGGATCGCGATGCTGAGGGATTCCTGGTGGGTGGCGCCTCTGAGAGAGGAGGGGAGGCGTATCGATGCGGTTGTTGTTTGCGGCCTGATGAGGGTGTTGACGAGCTTGTCTGTAGACGACTCTATCTCTGTGGGTGAGGTTTTGATGGTTGCGGAGAGGTTGGATAGTTTGGGGTCGAACGTGAGTTTTGTGGAGACGTTCAGTCCGGCGCTGGAGAGAATCGATTTTGTGTGCTGGAGATAGTCTCGGACAGATTGAATGGCCTGGGCATTATGGAAAAAGTTCAGTAAGGGACGTAGTATCGGAGGTGGTAGATTTGGTATCTTCTGTTCAGAAAGAGGTCTGGGTATTTGTGACCGGCGATGCAAGCGTTGTCTATGCTCGTAGCAGAGAAGCAGGCGGAGGGCTTCGGCTACGTTTTGAGCAATTGAGTCTGACGAATGGTCGTCTATCTGCGGCAATATCTCGTCCAGAAGCACAATATCGATCAGTACAATTCGCTTTGATCCATCTGTCGCAGGTGCTGGAAGATGGATCACCGAGTCCCGCATTTTGACATCGTGAGACAGTAATATTCGAGTCTCTAGAGACATCTCATGGTACAGTTCTTCCTCGAACAAGGAGTCTCGTGCCCGTCGTATCAAGTCTTCGATGGATGGCTGAGTTATGTCGTCTGTCGAAGGTAATTTCGAGGTGCCGGTGATCCTGCCATCCTCTTGAATCCGGACACGCACGGCCTTTGGTTTCTGGGTAAGCCCTGCGTCGAGTATGATGCTTCCTTTGTCGTCCATCCGCAAAGGTGAGAATCCACGATTCTTGAAATGGTCGCTCGCTTCCGCAAAGCCGAATTGAACACCCAAGATTGGTCTACGACCGTCTCTAGCTATCCGACGGACTGACCATCCCTTCTTTGCAATTGATAGCACTTCTTCCCAGTATTGTGTCTCTTTGCGAACCTCGCTCTCTAGTCGAGTCGCTGCTTTCAGAACACTGTCGGCAGCGTCCTCGAGCCCCTTCATCCTCCAACCCTTCGCGGCAAGCTCTTCCCTCCGCTTTTCTACGACATCTGGCTCTTTTAGAGGCCATTTGTCAACACCGAGAGTGCCTGGGAGTTTGAATTCTTTGACATATGGCGACAAGGTGGTATCGGCCAGCTTCGGAGCATCTCGAGAGACAAGGAGAGACAGGTAATCCTGCATGTATCGCGCTTCATTCAAGGCAGTCCTATTTAAAGCTCAGCTATGATCTTAAGAGTCTTGGTATCCGACAGTATACCCTATAAAGCCCACCATCTGTATTTTGGCTTTCATTATCTCCTCGTAACGTTCCTTCTCGTCCTGTGCCGGAGCCTCCTCGTCTTCTTCGACACCTTCCATCACATCGTCGGGTCCATCCTTTGCGGTGGCGATCTCCTCTTTGAGGCCTTCCTCGGTGATGTGTCGGAAGTGCCCTCGTTGCTGAAAGAGCCGCGCGAACTGCAGCTGGAGGTCGTCTGAGGACGAGTCTTGGGTAGGCCATGGGCGTAGCGAGACAGGAAGCGATTCGGATTCTATGTCAGCCATATTGGGCGTCCTAGTTGTGTGGTTTGCGCAGCTGCAGCGAAGTTGCTGGTGTTTTGTCAAGGGCTGGTTGAGCCATGCATAGCCGGCGGTACAAGCCGCTTGGCGGCGGGAACTTATCGATAAGGAGCTTAAATTGTGCAAGTGACCGTAGCGTCCCCGGTGACTGCTCAAGCTCTAAAGCTTCCTCTCCCCCACACCGCCCTGTCTTCATACAGAGACACCAGCCATGACGACCAGATACAGAGTAGAGTGTACGTATATCTCACTGCTGCGCACGAAAAGAACAGAATTCACCGCTAAACAATTCACACAGATGCTCTCAAAGTACGTGCTGTTAAGGTCCAATGTGTTTGTCTACGGATAGCTTGCTGATACCGCTGTTTCTAGACCCACCGTCGCGATCAATTGGTGCGTTCTCGACGAGCTACACTCAATTGATCTGCCAGTAGCTAACAGTGCTTGTCTGGCAACTAGATAGAATGGATCAAGGTATGCTATGCGACTAGTTTCCTCGAATATGTCCTCGGTTTGCATAGTCTATAGAAACACGTATTCTAATAAGACCTCAAGGCTCTTCTTGCAACACCATTTGTGTTGCATTCACAGCCAACTGCTGTGTTCGAGCCCCATAAAGATACCATGGATCACATGGCTACCAACGCTCAACGACGTTATGCCGAGATAATGCGGGATATTGAAGAGCTTATAAACGACCACAGTTTGTGTCCCCATATGCCAACCTTTCCAAGAGCAATTGGTTGATTGGGACTCTAGTTGCCCACCAGAAAGCTGGCACGCATGAACGCTCCAAGCTCAAGCTCCTTGTTCCCTCAGTAGCCACCTTCTTTACGCCGCTGCTGCTCCACGATGCATTTGTATGGCAGGATCAACGACGCTTTATCAGCTACCGTCGCTTTGTTGCACCTTCATTTAACGATGTCAGGCTCATCCTAAATACCGCCCAAGTCATGAGCTTGATCCGCGGAGGCCCCTTGGAGCTTGCAACATTTGACGGAGACGTCACTCTTTACGACGACGGAAAGTCGTTGACGGAAGACAACGTAGTTATTCCACGAATTCTTCGGCTCATCGAGAATGGCACTCGGATCGGCATAGTCACCGCTGCTGGGTACACAGAGGCTCGCCGATACTATGAGCGACTCCATGGCCTTCTGGACGCTCTGAACGTTTCTGATATCCCTACTGGCCTCAAACACAATCTGATTGTTATGGGAGGAGAAGCGAACTATTGCTTCCGGTTCGCGGAGAACAGTCCAGATTTATTGACGTTTGTGCCTCGGAAAGACTGGCTATTGGATGAGATGTTGCTATGGGAAGAGTCGGATATCACTGAACTGCTTGATGTCGCCGAGGCCGCTCTACGAGATTGTGTCAAAAACCTGCGTCTTCCAGCTCAAATCCTTCGAAAGGAAAGAGCCGTGGGAATAATTCCTCCAGAGGGTGTCAAGTTTCCTCGAGAATCGTTGGAGGAGACTGTCATGGTTACTCAGAAGATTCTTGTGAGTGTCGATGTCGAAACTGCAGAAGCAGAGCTAATCAACATCTAGGAAATGTCTCCGGTAGGACGTCGACTGCCCTTCTGTGCCTTCAACGGTGGCAATGATGTTTTTGTCGACATTGGCGACAAGTCTTGGGGAGTGCTTGCATGTCAGCGGTTCTTCGGCGGTCTTGAAGGTAGCAAGACCCTCCACGTGGGCGACCAGTTTCTTTCCGCTGGCGCGAACGATTTCAAAGCTCGCTTGGCTTGCACGACAGCATGGATCGCGAGCCCGGCCGAGACTGTCCAGCTGCTGGACGAGATTGCAGAGTTGGACGAGATGCAGCAGCGGAAGACCAGGTAAACGCACTCAGCATGGTATGCTTTCATTGGGTCAGAAAGAAGCGGAGCTTCAAACCTTCAGGCGTTCAGGTGGTCCAAAAGCACCACGTCCCTAGTATTACCCGCTAGTACGACTTCACACGAGTATCGAAGGATAGCATAGCTTACTTCAGTGTTTCAAATGGATTAATTATCACAAGCACATACTAGTTCGCTTTCGTTTCTCCCTCCTTCCCCCTCTCAGACCTCATCCATCCCCAATATCCTCCTCAACCGCTCCGGTACCTCGTAAACCCTCTCATCAGGAATCAACCCTCTCTCCACCAGCTCCACCTTCATCACGTCCTTCTCCTCTTCAACCACCTTCTTCAAAGCCCTCGCCCGCTGCGTCACATCCTCTATCTCTACAATCCCCTCCTCGACCCACTTCTCCACCAACGCCCTCGGAATCCCAATCTGGATACTCCGATGCTCCAACTTGCCGACCCGAAAACTCCGCTCGGGGTCCCACTGCACCACTACTCTCTCACTGCGCTTCCGTTTCTCTAGCTTGTCCTCCTCATCCCCGTCCTCCCCCTTCGTCGGCGCCAGCCCATGCGCCAGCACAGCCGTCTCAAGCAACGCCTCAAAGTCTGCACGCTGCATCTTCAGCGCGAGTATGTTCGTCTGGCGCACGTCCTTGTACGAGTAGCCGGCGCGGTACATCATCCAGCACCAACTCGGCTTTATCCACGTCATGCGCGTGAAAGAGAAGTCGGGGGAGGCGGAGAGTTTTTGGTGCGCGACTGCCGCGGACGCTATAGCTGCGGAATAGGCTTGGTATACGGTTATCGTTGTCGCGTCGTAAGTGGCGCGGATCTGGCGGTAGGGAGTGGGTGGTTTGGAGATAGTTGTGGGGGTGGTTGTGGGAGTGGTTGGGGAGGCCATGGTTGCGGGCTAGGGTTGCGGTTTTTGAGGCGAATCTACTAACTGGTTGCTGGGAAATGGGGATTGGGGAAGTAATGGAGGTGTTTTTATGTGTGAATCGGGGAGCTGAGGTGGGCGTGGAGTCATGATGAGGGTGTGTGGCGCGGAGGGGCTGCGCCACCACGGATGCAGCAACGTGGGAATGGAGTCATGCGAGGCGCACTTTTGGAAGCTGGATGGCACTGTTTGGAGGGGTCTGGCTGGGAAATGAAGGGCTGGGCAAGAGGGAGGCTGGTTTGCGCTGCGTTGAAATTGACATTGTGGGTTGGTTTCGGGACACCTCTAACGGCTGTGAAGGGGTGGCAGTTTAGGAATCTACCTGCCCTGAAGTATCTGGCCGGTTAACTGTAGCTGCTAGATGGTGGGCCGGGCAAGAGATAGGTTGATTTGCACGGCTTGGAAATTGACATCGTGTGTTGCGTTTTAAGAGTTCATGGGGGCACCTCAAACAGTCGCGAAGGAGTATTGATTTGTGAATCTACCTGCCCTGAAGTAGCTTATCGGTCAAGTGTAGCTTCAAGATGAGGGGTCGGTCAAGAGGTAGGCCGATTTGAACTGCTTCGAACTTGACATCGTGTCTTCGCTCATGGGGGCACCTCGAACAATTGCGAAGGAGTGTTAATTTACCAACCTACCAGCCCTGAAGTAGCCGACCGATCAAGAGCAGCTACTAGGTGGAAGGCCAGTTAAGAGGTAGCCTGACTCTCACTACTTTGAGCTTGACATCTTGTCTTCGTTTTGGAAAGCTCGTAGGGGCACCTCAAACGGTTGCGAGGGAGTGTCAATTTGAAAATCTACCTGCCCTTGAGTAGCTGGTCGGTCAAGCGATAGCTTGAATTGCATTACGTTGAATTTGACATCGTGTCTTCATTTTGGAAAGCTGGGGGCAACTCAAGCGTTGGCGACAGAGTGTGGATAGGCCTTTGGTAAGACACTAAGTTCCAGGCTATACAGATTTAGCACACGGATATCGTACTATGCAAGTTCTATCTTTAGAAGCTATACACCACTGTCAGGAGTCTCCCTGCTCTCAAGAGACCGGCTGGTCAAGAGTAGCTCATTTCTACTGCTTGGAACTTGACATCGTGTGTTGGATTTTCAAGACTCATGGGGGCACCTCAAGCGTTTGCGAACGAGCGTGAATAGGCCTTTGGTAAGACACTGAGTTCCAGGTCATACAATCTGACACAGGGATAATCCTACTGCATAGGTTCCATTTTTGGAAGCTAGACGCCACTGCAGGAGTCCTCCTGCTCCTAGTCAAAGGGTAGCTCAATTCCGACCCCGTTGAATTTGACCTAGTGTCTTTAATCTTGGAAAGCTCATGGGGGCGCCTCAAGCGCTGGGGAATAAGTGTCAATAGACCTTTGGTGAGAAACTGCGATACGGTTCAAGAGCAAAGAGGTAGAAGACCATCAATTCATGCTATCGTGACTAAAGGAAAATATAGAGAACCAGGCTGGCTTCGCCGAGCCAACATTGCTATCAAAACCTCGCCTACTATTAATTGATCTGGAGGGTATTGGATAACAAAAAAAAGAGCACCAAAAGTGACCACACCTCCTATACCGCTCAGAATCCAACTTCTGCCTCAAGCAACGCTTCGTGTGTGCCTGGAAACAACGGCGCATCCGTGATGATACGCTTCAAGTGGTTGAACTTACCCTCCTGGTGCCTATTGTTGTCAATTCGGACCCAAGGCTCGGTGCTCATGTCCTCCGAAAGGTAAATCTTTAGGTATGCGACGTCTGCGCCGGCGTCACCTTGATTGGAACCCTTCGTGACGTCTGCCACCCTCTCCAGTAACTGAGCCGCAGATTTGCACCCTTGGAGGGTAATGGAGCCATGCGGGGTGTGATTGCTGAACAAGTTGATTTTTGTTTGCTCGAAAACGTCGGCTCCGCCGGTCGGATAGACCTGCTTTTGCTTCCCTTTTGCCTGGCTGGCGTGCTCTTTCTGACCGGACGTGCGCTGGCGCTTTGGTGACAGGTGAGGTTCTTCCAATTCCGCTTCGTCATCGGGCACCGCCTCCTGTGGACGCTTCCTCTTGGATGAAGTAGCATTGTTGACAGGTTTGGCCTTCTTGACTCCTCTCGTGTCACCCGCGCCGCCTCGCAGTACAGCCTTGGTGATGTTTGGAGTAGATGGTGAGTGGTCTTCCTCTTGTTGGCGTTTGTTCTGAGCACTCGCGCCGCTCCGCAGTACGGACTTGTTGATGCTTGGAGTAGACTCCGATTCATCATCGTTCGCCCTGTCTCGCAGGGCTGATCGATTGATGTTGGCAGTGGCTGCGGTACCTCGACTCCTCTTCGCAAGCACCAGCTGACGGAGATGCTCCTTGATCCTGCAAAAGTTAGTACGTTGTAGTGTTTGTCAGTGGATGGAACATGACATACGTCGCTTTGTCGCGTGGATAGATGAGATGCTTCTTGTAGAGAGTCTCGGGGTCAGGGTCGCGGAGATGGGCTCTCTGAACATTGGCAGGCTTATTGGGCCAGATGGGAGGACCGAGTTTCTCTAGGATCTTGTCGAACTCTTTGTCGAAGAGCTTTGGGTCATCGCGGTCGACTGCTGAAGTGCTGAGCTTGGTGAAGAGATTCCCGATCTCCGTCTTGTAGAGATCGTTGAGCGGCTTGAAATTGAACTTCGGTCTCTTGACAACGCCCTCGTCTTTGCCAAAGTGTCGCCAGCCGAGCGCCTCGAACCACTCATTGACACGGGGGCGTGATCGTCCCATGGTTGCGCAGCAGGTCTGAAGCTCTCAATAGAGCTGACTAGTTAGCAGATGTTTACAGGATCTTCATAGCTCACGGCTGCCTGTCGCACACATTCTTCCCGAAATGAAAGCAGAAGGCCGTTCCAAAGCTGCCCTATCAAGCTGGACTACACTTACTGGAGGAACAAGTAGGGTTGGTCGGAGCTATCCGTACAAGGCGGCGACGACAGTGAAATTGTGCGCTGATGTTTTGTGGACAGAGAAGACAGAAAGATGGGTATAGCTGAGACACGAGAGGAAAGGAAATGAATGAGGCCGAACTGGAACGGTCAATTGCTTGTCGTCGCTGGTGTCGAGCAAATGCAGGTGGTTGGCGCAGAAGGTGGTGAGAGAGGACGGACAGCGCCCGATATATGTTCCAGGTTGGGGTGAAGCTCAGGAAGCCCGCTCTCTCTGTAGTTTAACCAGGTCGCCCGGCAACCTTGTTCCTCGCAGGCTGCGGCGACGGCCCATCTACAATTGCAGCCCCACGCTTGCTATTGTGTTCTATTCAACTATCCGACAAAGGTACACTGCAGGAGCGTCCTGATTGGACTATACGCCACAACCATTGTCGACCTTCACCTTCACCTGTTGTTCTTCTTGTCGCCGTCGACACTCCTATTGTCGACGCCGCACCACTTCTCAATTGTTCACCGCACCACTATTCTATTGTTCGTCACCGCTCCTTTCCTGCGTTTATCAGGGCCCGCCGCCCACCAGCTCGACTGCTGTCCTCAACACCTTCTTTCTCGCGCATCGAGCTGCGGTAGCGCTCGCAAGTCTTGCATCAATTCCAACCTTCATTGTCGCACCCGACTCAGCTCCATCACACTCTTGCCCGAACGACCTGCTCTGGTATCCGTGACAGCTTCGTTCCTGCCTTTCCAGCTGCTGCTGTGGCGGGTAACAACACTCTTGTCATTTCCTTCCTTCATTGTCGCCCGCCAATCAATTCATCACCATATTGACCGACCGACTTCCTCTCCCTATCCTGAATACCTTCTTTCCTGCGCTTTAAGCTGCTGCTGGAATGGTCACGACCCTCTCATCATTTCCAACTCTCATTGTTGCACCCGAGTCAACTGTTGCCCGATCAACCTTCGGAGTATTTCTTGCGCCCTGTGGACGACCTCTATTTGTCATCGAAATCGGCACATCATCGTCAACCTCGGATTCCAAGAGTTCCGGCCTGTCACTAGCTAGCATCCTTAACGTACAGTAGGTGTTTTGCTTCTTCGTCTGGAGTGATTCTCCTGCGCTTTCCAAATCCTTTGAAGACCGTGCTAAACATCCAGCTAGTCTGAATTGATTCCTTCTACGAACAGAAATGGCGCCTGCAATTGCGCAAGTTGAATGCTTCGGCGATGGCACCAAGGGCAGTCCGCACTACCGTTCTGCGCGAGACTTGCACAAACGTGGCATCTGGATCGGCTATCTGGATGATCACAAGAAAAAGTTCGAGGACATGCCATCTTTCCAAGAGCTCATCAAGCGTTACAAAGGCAGTGTGACGCCATTTCCAGAACCTACCGTGGGAGCGAGCGGCAACACGAGCTATGCCGTCTGCAATGGTTGTCACATTAATGGCGAAGACACACGCCTGATTAAGGTCCTGCACCTTCCTTTCACCAACAAGAAGAACGTAAGTGCCGCTCTCTGTATTGCTTGTTCGATCAGCTTCAGATCATTCTTCTAACACATCTGGTTCTGCAGAAGGTCTTGATCATGCCTCTCGAGGACGACAACAGCAACCGCTTGTTTTGCATCTTGCAAACCGAAACTTTCGAGCGGAAGTTCACGAAGTACACATTCTGGCAGGTTGAAGGAGGATGCTCAAGCTACATCTCTCTTCTCGGAACTACAGCATCCAACCAGAGAAAGGGCACACTCGACGAGATACGGGCCCTTCGTGTCAACAATAGCCAGCGAGAAGAAGTCGACCAAGCCGATGCTGCTCCAAAGACAAAAGCCCCAAACAAACCGTCAAACAAGCGCAGCCGTGAGGCGGCTCGCGAAGACACAGGCCCATCCAAGAGGAAGATTACAACACCTGCAAACGGGAGCTCTGACGGTCCTAGGTTAACTTCCAGCTCAACTCTACGCCAAGATGAAGCGGAGCTCGATCGGTTCGTTGCTGCTATTGGCAGTGCCAGCCAGGCTAAGCCAGCGGAGCCAGTCCGACGCGCGATTCGAAGCTCTGGACCTCTGCCTGCGATTGACGCCAGCACTACATCGTCTAAACCTCACACCCCAAATTGGTCTCATGCCGCAACGGTGGGTTATCAGGGTGAGGCTGACTCCGAGCCGTCAGATGGGCTCTCCAAAGCCCAAGCCCGACGAATCCGATTCTCGTGGACGTTCAATGCCGATGGCCGTGAAGGCCAAATCGTGCTCTGCTTAGCCGACTGCCCGAACTCGAAGCGATTCCTTGAGCTCCTTGAAGAAGAGGCGAATCAAGAGCAGGCGACTAAGGACATCCATGCCAAGGCGAAAAGCTGGTGGGTGGACCGGACGGAGGTTTTGGAAGGCGGAAAAAAGGAGACTAAGGGCCTACGAATTACGCCCTCAAATGAGGCATCGACCGATGTAGCCTTCAGATTGACTCTGGAGGAGATTGCAAAGTCCAGACACTGGGAATCTGGCAAGGGGGACTATACGGTGGTTCTGAACCCGATCATCTAATTCTGATATTAGGTAGCGAAATTCAGAGGCTAGTCCTTATTGTCCATAGCTTGATATCCTGAATTGAATGCATTTCTGAACACTTTTGACACCATGATATCACCATCTTAATCCTTCAACACATTATGGAAAGTTAGGACACAATGTAAACTTCCGTATAGGCTATATTATATCACTTTCTGATACCTTGCATCCGGACTTCAGCAGCACCGTGTAAAGCCCTTGACGTCGTAGTGTTACTGTCTGAAGTCTCCAGTGCACCATAAAAACTCGGGGTACTATGTAAAGTTCTTTAGGGGCTAAACAAGAGCAGCTATTGCTATATCATCGAGCCTTCGCGTCCTAAATTAGGTGTAGTGTATACGAGTTCTAACCCCCTGGTATCCCCGTCTGTGGTCCTTTAGCACACCAGAAAACCGCGGGATACGATGTAAAGTTCTCTACAGGCTACATTAGACTAGGTCTTTACTATACCTTTAATCGGAACTATAATGCATCTCATACGCCCTCGTATCCAAAATTAGAGGCATATTATAAGGTTCTTGCCACCCTAGTATCGCCGTCTGTGGTCCCTTAGCACAGCAGAAAAACTCGTGATATGATGTAAAGTTCTCCACAAGCTGGGTCAGACTAGGTCTTTACTAAACCCTTAGTCCGAACTCTAGCGCATCTCACACAAGCTCGTACCCCAAATCAGCTACATGCTGTAAGGTTCTTTCCACCCGGGTATCACCGTCTATGGTCCTTCAGTGCATCACGAAAACTCGAGACAAAACGATGCTCCTATGAGTGTGCGTGAGACACGGAACGAGGAATTACGCCTTTATCTCCCGAAATGCAGGTTGATTATCCCTACAGGGTATATGATTTGATCAACAACGCCGCCTTTCTGCAGTCATGCGGCGCGGGCGTCCGGGGGAGGCGCGGAAGCCAAAGTTTATCACACCATGGGCCATTTTTCCTGTTTTACGCACGCATGCATATGCGTACCTCACTAACGCTTTGGTATGCTGATTTTATTGGCTTGCAGTCGTCCGTGTCGTTGTGTGGTGGAGTTCACAATCTGCAGTTGACGCCAAAGGGTTTCAGCCTTGCGGACGCTCCGCAAGCGACAACTTATCAATAGACGCACACTCCAACAATAAAGCCACCTAGACAAGATCAAGTAACGAAAGAGTCGATCATGTATACATAGGTCTCCTAGGAGATACTGCCGATTCGTAGGTGATACCGCGAACTGACGCGGGAACCGACAGCTGAGTGGTATGTGCGCTGCTACCTGTTTGCGTGCATTGTATTCACGTCTCGTCCCGCCAATAGGCGATATGACCTGTCATTTTCCAGTAGGGGCGATCGAAGAGTACCGCATAAGGGGGCGGGAAACGCCGCCCATTTTAAAGACATTGGTGCAAAAAAAGTAACCAAGCGGTCCAACCCGGCGAGCCCTTCGCCTTTCATGTCGCCCAACACTCCTCAACTCCTATGATCAATCTCTTGTTTCTAGCGTCCACTTTTAGGCCGTTAAAGGCTGTTGGCATCCTATTAGTCTTGGTCTACTTATCCAAACGGTACAGAACTGGACTTCAAGTGCGTGCACACTTTTCACCACTACTCGCATCATCTCGTGGAGTGCCTAGTCAACTAGGACTCTGGAACGCACACCTAATATCAGAGTGCCAAAATTGCATCTTGTTCGTACTTCGAAAGGTGTTAAAGAGCCCCAAGTCATGGTGAAGACGTGTCCACTGACTTGTAGTTCACAGGTTCAGAAAAGATGTCTATTGGTGCGACCATCCCCAACTTCGAAAACTCTCGAACACATGCAGTTATTGAAGCCTTGGGCTTAAAAAACTGTAACTCCACAGGCAAAGCGAGACCAAGTTTCGACCACGAGATAGTCAAGATGCTGGACCGGTTTGTCACCACCTTAGCTCATTCTCTTCCGGACGAGAACGTGTTTATTCAGGAGCTCGCTAAGAATGAACACGCATTCTCCAAAGATACAGCACATCCACTCTTCGAGGCGCATATCGAAAGCTTTCTTGAAACATACGGCCTTGCTATTTGGGGACGTTCTGACCGTGGCCACCTCCTGCAAGTGCACCGCAACATGAGATACGAGCACTACATGAAAGACCTATATTATCCGCAGGATGAGTTGGAGTAAGCGTCATTTCACATTCCCTTTGGAGCTTGCTAAGTATTTCCCTTAGGATCAAGCGTCTTATTCGGCTATGGGCACTCCTACGAAGGGAATCACAGATCAATAATGGAAACGCAGTGGACGTCTTCCCCTTACCGCAAAAATGCCCAAAAATCTGGGACGAACAAGTCTACACAGCAGAGCAACAAGCGTTGTCTGACTCAGATGATGATGAAGAGCAGCCTATACCTATTGTTAAACTGCGGTTGCCCTGGTTGAAGGATAGGGTCAACCAGGTCAGAAGTACGGAAAAACAGAGTTAGCATTCTCGTATCTTACCTACCTTGACACTACCCTAACACTTCCAGTAACTCATATTCGACGTCGACTACAGAGAGGATTTAGATTCGACGGCGAACGATTACATCCTCCCGAAGAACATGAGATCTCCATCATGTCGAGTTACTTGAGGCTACTGGAGCAGTACCCCCGTCTAGAAATGGAGATCGTTAGGAAGACCAGGATTGACAATGCGCTGAAGCACATAGACCGATTGGATACTTTCCCGAGGAACGAGATGTTTCAGCTCAAGCAGCAAGCAAGAGACCTCCTCATCGGGTGGGGCGTCAACCCTTCTTCATCTCCCAGTACTCCTGATGGCGAACAGGACATATCATCCACGTCTTGCCTTGCGAACGAGCGTAAACGTACAGCCGTGGAAGAGAGTACGTTATCAAGGAAAATACGAAAAATTTCTGGTATATCATCGACGGATGAAAGCTCTAACGACAATGGTCAATATCACTCCACATATCCAGTCGCAACGAGCAGCGTCCATCAACGTCCGCCATACCGAGCTCCAATCGCACCCATGCTTCCAACGACATCGAGTCAACCCACTACGCGACTTGCTCAGCCTCACCAGCTACGAAAGGGTCTACAATCTATCGATGGTGTGCTTGGAACTCCCACGGAAATGCACTACGGTGCAACATCACCTGTACTTGGTGTCGAAGCTCAACAGACCTTGGCTGGGACAGACAATATATCGAGCACAGCACAACGAGCAGGGCCAACACCGACAAACCGTCCCGTCTTTTGCACTTCGCCTATTCTGCTACAAACTTCCTCCACCAGCGACGGCGAATCGTCAACTAGTACCAGCAGTAACTCAGTGTCAAAACCGGCCACCTCTAGCCCTGTCGAGCTTCTGGGTACTGGGATAGAAGTTGATATGTCTCCGCCAACCAGTGCTCCGAATTCGCCATTACCCGAGAGACAAGGCTCAGGAGATACTATTGGTATACGACCAATCTCTGCAACGTTCTTCGACGAGAGGACAGGAATGCTTCGTGGGAAAGAAAATACCGCAAAGGGTAAAGCATCAAGATCACCGTCAGCTCTATGCGTCTCCCAAGAGCGTCAGAGCTCATCACCTGAAGGGTCTCTTGTGATCGACACCCCGACAAATACTCGACGTGGACCAACTCCGAGAGAGAGAAGTCCTGCAACAATAAGCCTGCTATGCGAGAACAAGAGCAAAAGGGCAAAGCCGCGTTCTTTGGGGGCGAGCAGTCTTGCTAGTCAAAGAAATTGGATGCAAAAGAACAAGGACACAGTAGCAAAGCCATATTCCCCGGTACCGTCTCGCGGCGGAGTGCTACTCCCTCTTTCAGGCCGAGCGACCGAGTCTACTTCGGTCTCTAGAGACGCATCTCTCCCCCGCGAAAGGGCTTCGACCTCTACTCAGTCATCAACTAGGCAATCTTCGATCAATGTTGCTCCGACAGGCAGTCGACATTGCTTGTCTCGTCTTGAAGACGCTTCGGCGATCGGCCGGTCATCTCTTGAACGATCTCGTGCGAACAATACTCCGACAAGCCCTCGAGGTGATCGACCTTCTCCCAGAGAGGCTTCGCCAGCCGTTCGATCATCGACTGAACATTCTCCAATCGACCATGCTTCGACTGACATTCAACGTGCGCATCTTATTAAAGAAGCCCCAACTGTCAGCCAGCCATCAGCTCTCCACACGGGCACCAGCGTAAGCAGTTCCATCCCAATTCAACTTAACGCTTCATCTACGTCTGGAGCTAGCGATGCTCATCAGGAAGGCGGGAGCACACAAGCCGAAAGCAGTACTGGACAAACATCGGAGCCTATCCAAGACAAACGCACCCGCCAGGAAGACGGAAATGTACAAGCTGTAGGCAATGTTAGTCAGACATCGGAGCGTACCCGAGACGACAGCAGCAGCGCTCACCAGAGACACGGAAGTGCGCAGGCTGAAATGAATGCTAGTCAGACGTCGGGTCCTCCTGAGAATGACAGCAACAACACTCCTCGGAGAGGCGGAGGCATCCAACCTGAAGGGAGCGCTGGGTCGACATCGAAGTCCATCCAAAACAACCGTACCTACCAGGGAGATGGAAATGCACAGGCTAGAGACAACGCTCGACAAGAACGAAAGCTTATCCAAGCCGACGACGCCTTGAACGATGCACTTTTCGGACTTGACGACTCGGATGACATGGATGACGAGGACGACGAGAACGAGGAAGACGAGAACAAGCTGAGACGTAGCTTCGGGATGTTGATCGAACCCGAGTTCATCAGGATAGAAGAACTCGTTGAGCGACAACTACTATACCAAGACCGTGCAGAGCTCCAGGACGATTGTCGAAGGCAGGTCCGACTCGACAAACTGCTGGAGAAGTTCTGGAACCTGGCTGCAAAGTCGAGGGGCGAGCTCCAGAGCTCGTTGATTGATCGTCAGACGCGCGCTTTGAAGTATTTCATTTCGATGAGGACGATGGAGCGTGCGGTGTCGATTGCCGACACTGGAAATACTGCTTCTGTGAAGGACTTTGAGGGTCGGAAACGCGCCGCACAGATTAACTGTGCTCGACGTAAGCTGATACGACGGTGGGAAAAGGTTGGTGAGGGACTTGATGGTGGTTCTGTGAAGTTGCTGGTGGATGTTATTGCTGCGGTCCGCACGATGGTGATGTCGCCGGCGTATCTGGAGATCTTTGAGAAGTACTGTGAGGCCTTATTTAGAGAGCCAGAGCCATTGATCTTCTGATCATGCTACTCAGCAAGGGAAACACGGTCCTTCTAACGCCTTTCCATCTACTCACATTTTTTTTATTAGTATTTCGGTCACAAGACTTTTGTCGGAGGATATATAAATCAAATATTTAATGCGTGAAGAACATCTCGGAGGTACATATAGGTATCGATATTAGTAGCTAGACAAAAGTCCTTTCACACTGCTTAGGGTTTGAATGGCATATGGATGTTTAAAGCCCTTAAAGTGACCAGACTCTAGCAACTTACAATTGACCTACCATGCGACGGCTAACAGTGGCGCTTGGTCTTTATTTCAAACGCGTTGACGAGATTTGAAATGCTTCGCATCTCGAATTAGACGGATATTAAGTGAGTTGCTACTTAGCACTACTTAAAATGTTTAAGCACATCAAGAAAAAGTCTAGGTAAGTGGTACATATCTAGAAGGTAGCGAGTTGGCCTTGGTTTTGAGTGCTTACATGCTATATTTTCAGCTGCTGTGAAGCCTAGGTCCAATTTTGAACCTCTCAATGTAAGACTAGCTTCTCGATGCTTATTACGAAGTAGTAGTAGCCTTAACCCACAGATAAAGGGCACTTTCAGTGTCTACTTAAACTATAAGGCAACTAGTCCAACGCCAGTAATGATTTGAACTTCATTCATGCGGGATGTACTTCGTAGAAGATCGACAGGGTTGAGTCGATCCCGAGGTCTCACCAAAACCCTCTCGACCACGATCTCGAAATGAAGGAGATGCGCATGCTTACCCACCTTAAACGCGAAGGCGTATATGGAATAGGCTAACCAATACATTCTATATACCATAACGATACGACATTTACATGCTAGAACCTTGCTTGCAATCGTGAAAATGACGCGGCCTCCACAGCTCACTACAATTCTCGTAGAGCGTATATCCGATGGCGCAGCTTTGTTCTACTACAATCAGCCTAAGATCTCTAATGCCTTTACTGTGAAGCAGTATCTCGAGTTCCGGGAAGCGTTGGTATGGGCAAGAGATGAACCTGCGATTAAAGTACTGGTGTTGTAAGTCAATCCTCCCCTCACCCAAGGAGGCCTACTAAGATCCAGTAGAATCGGGAAGGTAAGCACTACTGCGCCGGCAAAGCTATAGCTGCCCCAGGCAAAGGCGAGGCCATCGAGCAAGAAGTTGAAGCGGTTAGGCAGCTCCTAGATGTGTATACTTCCTTCGACCTCGTCTACGCGCATCCCGCCGCCTTCTTCCAAACCCCCTTCATGCCGATCGGCTTTGTCCCCGAGGGTGGCCCTTCTCACACTTTCCCCAAAGTTAGGGGGCAACAGCATGCCAATGCGCTGCTCCTCGCCGGTGACCGGCTGTTGGCGCAGGACATGTATGTGTCAGGGCTTGTGACGGCCGTGGTGCCGGCGGAGTCGACCGAGGAGTTCTTGGGTAAAGTGTGTGAGAAGGCGAGGAGGATTGCGGGGTTTGGTGGAGAGAGTTTAGGGATGGCGAAGGCGCTGGTGAGGGAGGCAGAGGGGGTCGAGAGCAGGAGGAGGCGTCGAGGAGGGAGGGGAGGGATTTGGTGGTTAGGTTGAGTAGTGAGGATGCGAAGGCCAGTATGCGGGCGTTTGCGGAGAAGGTGGGGCCGTCGAAGCAGTGAGATTTAATGGGACTATTATTAAAGGATCTTTAGTGTAGAAGGTCTAATTGATGCTGAGGCTATGTTGAGTTAATGGCTAAATCGTTTACATTCACGATGCTTCTGAGAGCAATCCATGGGCACGTGATGGGTCATTTGCGAACTCCTGGAGTTCGCAAAGTGCACGGAGCGTTATCGATAAGGAAGGTGCCTCGGGCCTCACGAAGTAGTCACGTTCCTCTTTCAACTTTTCCCTTGCTTCAATTTCACAGCGTTAGGCTAGTAACTCCTTCGAATAGAATACCGAGATAAGCACTCAACTAGCATCATACCTTACTGTTTCATTCTGAAGGCTTTGGATCATCCAACATCACGTCGGCCGCGGATCGGACTAGACACCCTTCGACCCGAGCTCATCAAGTCGTATTACCACGAGACCATTTGCTGACGGCAAGCAAGCTACTTTAAGACTCACCATTCTAGAAGGAAGACTTGTAATATTATCTTCAATCTTTCATAATGGCCACCATAGAAGGCGCCCCGGCGCATGGAGCTGTTGCCCATCTACTTCCCCAAACGTACAAGCGACTGGTATCAGAGTGGCTAGAGGAAGACACACCAAGCTTCGACTATGGAGGATTTGTGGTCGGTGATGAAATCTCAGAAGCGAAGTTGCTGGGCAAGAGTGCGGTTAGTCGACCTCCATTTATCAACTCTCAATGAACCAATGACTCGTACTGCGCTGTCTACAAGCTCAAACGAACTCTGTATGTGTCTTATTTCTAACACTGAGTGCAGGGCATAGTCGCAGGTGTTCCTTTCTTCGACGAGGTGTTCAAGCAACTAGATTGCACGTGAGTCATTCTACCTTTATTGACTATGTCTAAACATGTTACATTTCTAACTATTGCTACTTTTAGCGTCCAATGGCATGTTAAGGAGGGAGAAGCACTCAAGCCGATTATGCATTGTGCTACAGTACGAGGGCCCGTTAGGAAGCTACTTCTCGGAGAGCGGGTGGCGTTGAACACTCTAGCTCGGTGCTCAGGCGTCGCTTCAAAGTGTGTATTGAATCTCTTGACCTCTAGAAAAGGCCTGAGTAACCAGTGAATCCGTAGGTCAGCCAGGCTGCTTTCCCTCCTCCGGAAAGCAGGATATACCAATATCCTAGCCGGCACGCGAAAGACAACCCCTGGATTCCGCCTCGTAGAGAAGTACGGCATGCTCGTGGGCGGATGCGATCCCCATCGCCACGATCTTTCTGCCATGACTATGCTCAAAGACAATCACATTGTCGCGGCTGGCAGCATCACTTCCGCGGTACGGGCTGCTAAATCAGCCGGTGGCTTTGCGATTAAGGTCGAACTCGAGTGCCAGAGTTTCGAAGAAGCAGATGAAGCAATTGCGGCTGGTGCGGACGTCGTGATGCTAGACAACTTCACTGGTGAAGGAGTGAAGATTGCTGCTTCACGACTGAAAGACAAGTGGGGAAGGGGCACCGCCGACAGGAAGGCATTCTTGGTTGAGGTCAGCGGAGGACTGACAGAAGAGAACGTGGAGGCCTACGTCTGCTCGGATGTTGACGTTATCTCTACGAGCAGTATACATCAAGGCGTCAAGCACGTGGACTTCTCGTTGAAGATTGTGCCGAAGGGCAAATGATGAGAACGGGGGTGGAGGCATTGGAAAAGCCACATAAGTCTTGATTAGGTCTCTGGGTAACAGGCAAGTTACCACTCGCGAGTGTAGTTTCTGCTTCTAGTTTTCCGTCTTCTAAATACTGCGTGGCGAGAACGCTAAGAGGGAATACAAAAGGTCCTTTTAAGGAACCAAACGAGAGTTCAAGTCGGCAACCCCGATAGTCCCAGCCCATGAGCCGTATGGTGCGAGGAGTGCACATTCCCCCTCGTTTGAGTTGTATTAGCACGGTACACCCTCCTCGCGTCCCCCATCTCTCCTGCAAATCCAGCGAACCGGTCTTCACCCTTCACAACTTCCGGTGCTCGTCGACTCCCCACCACATCCATATAAGCTGGCGGCGGATCTTTCTCTCCTTTTTCTCCCGAGCTTGGAAAGGTTTGGGCTCTCCTGGTCCGCACTTTAACCTCAGACTGCTGCATAGAAGTCCTCAATTCAGTTTCCCACATGGCCTCCCGTAGGTTGAGTTGGAGTTGCAATTTGATAGCGCCGAGCTGCGCATCAGCTTGCTGCTGCGCCTGAGAGGTGGCGGCCTTCTTGTCCCTGTGCTTTTCGTGCATTCGCTTGCCAGCTACGACGGCGCCGGTGATGATTGACAAGGCCATATTCTTGACGGCACTAGAGCTCTGACGTTGAGGTACAGCAGCCGGTGACCAGGGCGACGGCTCGTGCCTCATTGCGATGCTGAGGAGCTCTCGGGGCAAGACACTATAGTCCTTGAAGCTGGGCGAAACCCGTCGGACTTTGGGCGGTTGGCGGGCTGCTTATGTGACAGTTTGGAGGTGCTCTTGTACTCGAGGCGTTCGGTGCCAAAGACGTATGTGACGTGGTGATAGCTGGATTTTCTTTTCCCGAGGGGTTTGGGCGTTTTGAAACACATCCGAGTTATGGATTCGTACAGGGAAGCCATGTTTTTGATGCTTCGAGGAAAACATGATTGATCGGTGGCCGACGGACGTCGGACTTGGTGCAGGGTCGTGGTGTTGAAGTCCGTCATCACGTCCAGCCAATCATGCTGCCTATGCTTTAGTTCATGACTTAGATGCTCATGCTCAAACGAATGTCCTGTGTTTGACATGTTCGTCTGCACCGTCCGTGCCTGGCCAGGATGTGAAAGCTCTCAGCCTTCAGCCTTGCAAGAGGGCTGGAAGCATTTATTCCGCATACGGTCAAGCGTGTATCGGTGCAAGGCGATGCCCTGAGCGGCGTTCCAGGCAGCGAGCCTCCGATCTGCTGAAACCCACACTTTCTTTCATCACGACTCCAGATGTTGTCCTGGCCCATTGATGCCCCCGAGCGTTGTCGACGATGAGTACTCCTCCGAGCTCGAGTGCGAAGCCGATCGATAGAGTCAACCTTGCGTGTATCCAGTGCAGGGCGCGCCATGTGAAGTGCGACGCGACTACACCAACTTGCAATCGGTGTAGGCGAGATGGCAAGGATTGTGAGTACGCAAAGTCCCGGAGAGGAGGACTCGACAAAGCTGCCCTTGCACGGAGGAGACTGGCGCAGCAGCAGCAGCAGCAGCATGAGCAGTCCGCGACATCCAATCAGACCCCCAAGTCCTGCACATCGTCGTCGAGCGGGGATAGAAGCGATCAGTTGGAGCATTCCGGCGCCCCGTCCCTGGGGTTGTACGATTCGATATCTATCGACTCAACCGAGCTCACCTTTGCCGTCAGCTCCGACAGACTAGTCCAACTGTACTTTGAGTATTTTCATGCGGGTCATCCTTTTCTATTGCCTCAACGCTTCTTTACTCAAAGACTTCAATCCGGAGCGCAGGACATGAAAGTCCTAGAAACGGTTGTACAATATATCGGATCTCGATATGCACCATGGACAACTTCGGAACTGTATAGAGAGAAGGCCGAAAAGGCACTGGCGGCCAGTGAGCATGACAAGACGCCGTTTCGTGTCCAGGCACTTCTCCTCTTCACGATCTCCAATCATTACTGCAGTCAATGGGCCGAGGCCTCAACTGATCTCGAAACCGCAATCCGCTTAGCTTTAGCTTTGGGTATGAATACTCGCGAATTTGCAAGCCAGTATGGAGAAGGAAGTCCCGTTCTCGAGGAAAGCTGGAGAAGGACTTTCTGGACTTTGTACGTCACAGACCAGCACTACGCGATCGTCAAAAGAATCGTATCTTTCACTCTCAGAGACCTTCCCGCGGTTTCTGTTGCTCTCCCTTGCGAAGAGATCGAATACGAATCTGGGGTACGTATAGGTCCTGCCTTTCATTGGCCGTGATTGCTAAGCCTAATAAGGTGATTCCTCCGCCAAAGACTCTCGCGGAATACGATATGAGAGAGTTAGATGAGGTTGAAGTCGTCTTCTCGTCATTTACATATCTTATAGATGGTATCCGCATTGTTTCTGAGCTCTTGAGAAATTTCGGAGACTTTCAAGCTTCGTGGGAAGAGATAACAGTGCATACCGATGCCAGACTCTCTGCGTGGAGCTCATTACTTCCGGCCTGCAAGAGAGAACCAGTCCTTCCTGACGGCAGCGTTGATGAGGTTATGTTCTTTGCTCACCTCACGATTCTCATACTTGTTGTGCAAATCCACCGACCTGCATCGTCTATTGCGTGGAGCAACGAGGAATGGCAAACTGCCTTCCTACCCCGTCCTCCAATTGGGATGGTCCAGACAAAACCAGAGAGACGTAACGTTAACACTGCGAAAGTACTTAGGGCCTTGGAGAAACAAACGCAGCTTCTGACTCTCCCGTCTCCGTTGGTACTTCACGCGCCTTTCACAATGTGCATTGTCGCTGGATGTGCTGCCGCACACGTTGCATCCTGCGCTCTATTCCCCGACGACAGACGCCTAGCAGTGGGAAGAGACCGACTGCGTCTCAGCATCGGTGCGATCCGAGCATGCGCTGATATTTGGCCACTAAATCGGCATATGGTGCGAGACACACAGAACATCGCAAAAGGAACGCTATCTCCACCAACGATCCTGTCACACCAAACGATGAGAGAGTCTTTGGCATTCGAGGTCCCAGAAGTCCCTAAGCAAATGAACGAGTTCGATTTGGCTTTCAGCATTGGCCCCATGTCCGAAGTGGACATATTCAGCGCATTGGAAGTGCCTAGCATGCCTGAAGACTGGAGCGCTCTACTCGATGCTTCAAGCCTTCCGACTATGTGAGATACCGTAGCTTGCCACTGCCAGGCCTTCTAGGCCTTCCTGGCTTTGCTCTATCCACTCTACGACTCTCCACTTCTCTGCTCTCTGCCTCGACTGCTGGCGCCATCCACGACAGTGGGCATGGAAACATTCCAGTGCCAGTCTGAAAGGAACATCTTACGGCGAATGACTGGAGGTGCTGCGACCGGGTGTCCTAGCTCTACGATGATTCAAGGCCTTCATCATCGACCCCGAGTGTGTGAAAAGTCGAGATATCATGACGCTAGAAAGTCACGAGACTTCTGGCTATTAATCGCATTGGTTATTATGATCGTGGCCACCCCGTTTCTTGTCAGTTCTTCCAAGCAACACCTCCGGGATAATTGGGCCCAAGAATGGGGTATATCTGCCAAGGGCCAAGGGATATTATACAACTTGAAGCAACTAAGAGATTCAATGTCATGCTCTCTACTCTCTGTACTAGTACTATGTTAGATATTTTAACCCGGACATTCGATGGTGTATCTAGCGGTAGCGCCGCCCTAACACCGGCTCCACAAAGTCTTCAGATACATATCCAGATATGGTGCGTGCCTACTTTCTAACAAAAGTGTCTCACTCCACACATTTACTTGCCAAACAGCATCCCACTCTATGTCTTGAGCATCAGCAATGCAGGCTGTTATCTAGTTCGCTTATCGAACCAAGCCATTTTCGTCATCGCCAAGGCATCGTGAAACGAACATAGAGACGATCGTCAACATGGGTGTTAAACGGCTGTCATACTCGCCAGTCAACAATTGAGATACCCCACCTCTGGGATTTGCGTGCAACGAAGCTGCGTGACATTAAGTCATAATGTGCAATCTTCTCGTCGACATATTTTGCAGTTTGCCCTTCTGCGTTTTCAGCATTGCCCAGGCGTAGACGCACCCATCTGTGGCTTTTCGATAGCCTTCGGATAATTATTGTTGGATATTTCTGAAGCCAATCAGGTTTGTCATAAGAATGTCTGATCTCGAGAAGACTACTTCGCCGCTCGAGTCGGGGGATGTGACGACGGCGGTAGATGTGGAGATTGATCATGTTGCGGAGAGGAAGCTGGTGCGGAAACTGGATCTTTATCTGATCCCGACTGTTATGCTGCTATACTTGCTCAGCTTCTTAGATCGGTAAGTCAATAAGTCTACTTTAGACCGATTCATAGGCTCTTCTTTTTCCCACCATGGACTTGTCATGTGACTGAATCCATTCTGCGCCCTCACCAGACATGACCATGGGTTACGTAACAAGATCTTCTCTTAATTCACAGTAGTCCTTTCATCAAATTGAAGAGTGTCGAGACGTCTTTCATGTCCGTTTTCACAAGGGTGCGAAACTAATGCTTCTCAGTGTCAATATCGGCAATGCAAGATTATATGGCTTAGAAAAGGATCTAGGCCTCCACGGCAACCAGTTCCAAGTCGCCGTCTCGATTCTCTTCGTTACATATATTCTCTCTGAGCTACCTTCGAATCTGGTCCTGAAGAAATTAAGACCGTCGAGGTGGATAGCTTTCATTGCCACGGCATGGGGAATCATTGCTACTCTTACGGGAGTAACGCAGAGCTATGGCGGACTGATAGCTTGCCGGATATTCCTAGGCGCCGTGGAGGGAGGTTTATTCCCCGGAATGGCAGTGTACTTGACGTTCTTCTACGTCAAACGAGAGCTTGCGCTTCGTATTGGATATCTCTTCGTCAGTGCTGCTCTTGCTGGAGCTTGTGGCGGATTACTGGCGTAAGTACCCTTATAACAAAGCCACAACATGTGCTAATGCCGAACAGCTACGGAATCGGGCACATGGACGGTCTATCCGGTCAATCTGGTTGGAGATGGATCATGATCTTGGAGGGCATCCCTACCTTCATTCTCGGGATTGCAACATGGTGGATTCTACCCGATTCTCCTGAAACCGCCTACTTCCTCACTCCTGCAGAGAAGGAGCTCATGAAACTGCGGTTTCTCCGTCAGAAGGGATATACGACGTCCGCCGCAAAGTTCCACTGGAAAGACGTGAAAGCAGGGCTCAAGGATTGGAAGATATGGGCATTTTGCTTTGCGCAGTTCGGAGCTGATACCATGCTTTACGGGTACGTGAACGTTAAAAAGAAAAATCTTCCAGACGAAGTAGGTTCACTAACAAACACTCAAGCTTCTCCACCTTCCTCCCCACCATCATCAAAGGCATCAACCCGAAGTGGTCAACCGCCATAGTCCAAGTCCTGACCATTCCGTGCTACGCTCTCGGCGCTATATCCTACCTCCTCGCCGCCCGGCTCTCCGACCACCAGCAAAAACGAGGCCTGTACTCCGTCCTCTTCGGACTCATCTCAATCATCGGCTACGCAATGTTGCTGGCCGATACCACCAGCGGCGTCCACTATGCCGGATGCTTCTTAGTGGCCATGGGCCTCTACGTCGTAGTCGGCTTGCCATTAGCTTGGTTGCCTACGAATAACCCACGATACGGGAAGCGGACTACAGCGACTGGCTTGCAGTTGACGATAGGAAGTACGAAATCCCCTGTGCCCCGTTCAACTCGGAAGAGTACCCGGCTAATTACAAAGCACCAGATACCGCCGGCATAATGTCCTCGTTCATTTACCCTGCGGGAGAAGGGCCTAGGTACATTCGTGGCCACGCTATCACGCTGGCTATGGTCGCGTGGGCTTCTCTTGTGTATGGCTTTATGTGGTTCTATTTTACGCGCGCAAACGCGCGGAGAGCGCGAGGTGAGGAGGATGAGAAGATTGCGGGTATGACTGACGAGGAGGTCAATGAGCTGGGTGATGAGAGTCCGAGGTTTGTGTTTACGATCTAGGAGCAGTCCTTGCGGAGATCATTGGGGTATTCTGGAGCATCGAGATTCCACATACTATTTTGTTTTGAAGCGAACAGAGATTGTTTTCAAAGGAGATCTGCTCGGTTCAGATTTAAGTTCAATTTAGGACATGAAATTTAAGCTAGGATATGCGCCCGTTCTCTCACCGTAACCTATGCCTGGCACTTATCGCTGCAAAGGCATATGTCGTCGCCATTTCTCGCTTTCTGGGTCATACACAGTCTGAAGGTTCCATGTCCCATCTTCGTTCCTACTACTCGGATGCCATTGAACCTTCAGACCCTCTCGCACAGCAACCTCCTCCTTCAGCCTTACTACCATATCCGGTGGGCCCCGACCAAGCGAGATATGCTCCCTATCTTTAAGATCATAGCTAACCTCTACCTCATCGTCTCCCGCAATGATAAAAGCGGGCGGGATATAACTATGATCAGTTTCAAAATCAGCACCCAGAGTAAATGCTTCAAGCTGTTCGGCATGCGGGTCGTAGGGATATTCTAGGCCTGTAGACTCCATCGCTTCCAGAATGTTGGAGTTCCCGATATCGAGATTGACGTGCTCAAGCGGCACATCAGCGACCTTAATCCACATCCTCAGAAGCGGTGTCTCGCCCTCATATTGTTTGAAGCTCTCCTCGCCATTTTCGGCTTCGGCTTCGGCCGCTTCGGTACTGGTGATGTACCACACGGCGTCCTGCTCTTCTGTGAGCTCTTCAAGCAGCAGGAAAGGCCCGGTCTGACCCTCCGCGTCGAGGGTGTCGCGGATCTTATGGTGAGGCTTGTTGTGGAAGTCGGGCCGGTCGTGGATGAATAGGTCGACGGTGGGATGGAAGCGTGCGAAGGCGCCAATGGCGAAGGACTTGTGGACGGTATCGAGGACGTCGAGAGAGAGGGGGCAGGTTGTATAAGCGGGGAGGATCTCGGCTTTATGGGTCCTGAAGACCACCATTGCTGTTGTAAGATAGTTATGTTTGGGAGAGGTGAGGGTTAGAGTAGAGATGTCGAAGGTAATGCGAACAAGATTATATATTTGCCATGCAAGAGGTACAGCTCTTGTAGCTCAAAAAGTGCTGCCTAGTAGGGTTCGGTCGGATTAGCAACAAGGCCGATGTGTCCATGAAGGATTGAGGGGATGCTTGTTCATCGCGTTTATGCTGTCCATTGGGGTCGCAAAGAGAGCCGTAAGATTAAGAAGATTTACATGGAGCGAGGCTTTGCGAGCCCATAGACAACGTCTTGGCAGCTTCTTTAGAACTAAGGTTGCCCGAAGCGACATCACCTTGACCACAACACCTCTCATCACGAAGGCAATTCGTGTCTATATCGGGTGCGCGACTCAAGCTAACAATAAGTTCTCAAACGTCAGAATAATCGACATGGTCTCGCTTTGTTTCTATAGCAACACGTTTAGAGCTCAGATGTGATTGCGCGCTTCTTCGCACAGAACATCTAGGGCGACGACGCGTTGCTATGAGCGACTAGCGGTTACATGGAAAATAAATGGTTCGGTATCGTCTTTTCCAATTGAGTCTACGCGTAAATCAGTACTGAAATCACGCTCTACTCCTCAGATTCAGCTTCATTCTTACAAGTCGCTCATTACCCAAATTCCACTATCCTAACATTGAAACTGAGCTGCCAAAAAGGTCAGATTACACTCAAAGCCAGAAACTCTCCACAAGATCTCATAGGTTGATGTCCACCGACCGCCTTCCATATCCAACTCTTCTCAATCCACTGCAGTCCATGCAGAAAACGGCCTATTGACAAGATCGACAATGCATCCAATCAAGCCCTACCTTGAACGGACCATGGCTCAGCCGACGCGCAAGGTTGATGACACTACGAGCCAGATATACTATGAAAAATCCGTCAAAGCTCGCTCCATGCTGCCGAATTGGATGTGGAAGAGGAGAGGAAGACAAACCGATCCCCGCGAACGTAAGAACAACGGCACTGGCGCTGCATCATTGATGGATATGGCGTTGCGCTCTATGGCCTGGAATATCACTCGGTTCGATCACGAGGCTGTGGAATATATACCTAACCATATTGCAACGAAGCTGGCCGATCTTATCACTTCCTCGTAAGTCCTCTCCTTTCCCTTACCTGTTGCTTGGTCAATAATGAGTCGGAGTCAAAGCGGAAATTTTCTAGCGAGAGTTGCTAACACTGGTGTTTCAGCGAGACTTGGAGCTTGGAGACATGGGAGACATTCGTTGCAGCGCACCCGGAGACTGTCCCTGACTTGTGCTATAAACTCGACATACCTGATGCCCGAGGCACAAACCTTTGCGAGCTGCCCTCGCTCAGTAAACATCTCTCAAGTCTATCTTTCAACCATGTCACCCGTCTTATCATCCGAGAGCTGGCATTTACTACGGAAGACCTCTTTGAAATTGCGAAAATCCCGAAACTGGAGGTACTGAACCTGCAAGGTCAAGACAACCGTTCTTCCGGGGGCAACCGGGACGATCCGGTGTACAACGATTATTTCATCTCAAGATGGTGCCGTATGGTCCTGGCAAATGGCTACCTATCAACTCTCAGAGTTCTCATATTCCGACAATTTGAAGTGACTTCTGTCATCCTCAAAGACCTAACGCCCTTCCCTGCTTTAGCGCTATGCAACCTTGAGAGCAATTTCCTCATGCGCCAATCCAATTCGCGCAATACATCCCACAATAGATGGGAGCCTGTCGGGTAAGTTTACATCTCACATGTACCCAAGTTTGATTCGACGAGATTTGAGCTCTTTTGGGCTGGTTCGGAATGTGCATTTGGGTGCGATACACTCAAGGTTGCCGGTCTTCTCTGTTACATCGAAGATTACTTTAAAATTTCAGGTTAGACCTCACATTGCCGAGTTGCTAACAGTCGTCTAGTGAGGAGAATGCGGAGACACTAGACACAATATGGCGACAGAAACACAACATCCGTGGTACCCACGGCATCCTGCTGTATTCTCGCCAGATCCCTAAGGATGAGTTACCATCGAGCAGTGGTGGAGAGAACGCTCTTAGCAGAGTGCCATGTATCAGCATCAACTATGGGCCCCTAAGCCCCCAAAAGAGTGCATCTAAAGCGTCCAAAGATTCCCAATCTACATGGTACCGCAAAGTTCCTCACAGGGAGAGAATTGAGAAAGATTTGGTTGCTGAAGGCCATGTTCGGAAGAAGGTCAAAACATGCGGAGGCAAGCGATTAGCAGTTGGAGAACTCTTGGGATCTTTCATTTGATGGTGTGCTTATCCGAGAAGAAAGTAGTTACCTGTGGAGCTGTTCGGAGCGCCGCGTGCTATAGAAGACCTGTCGCCTGACCGGACCCATGAAACTCATTAGCCGTTGGGCGATGCCGCCTTCGGTCCCGCTATTGATCCTTCGTGCTCTGTACGCTCCTTTCGTCTCTGAGCAACGTCCCAATTGTATACTCTCGCCGTGGCAACCTCCAACGTCTATTATAGATGTTAGTATCTAACTGTGAACTGATAATCTGTATTGCACCTACCGTAATCTGCTCTCTCAGGAAATCCTGATCCTCGTCACAGTTCTCTAAGCTCAATTTCGCCGCGGAAAGTTTAGACTTGAGAAGCTCTTCTGCTTCGGGGATGGGATAGGCAAGCATGACATTTGCCTGAATGTGAATGGTCAGCACCAGCATCTAGTGGAAGGTAGGAGGACATCATTACGTACCCCAAGCCATAGATACACCTCCTCTGTCGGCGGGACGAGCGCCTTTGCGAACAACGTATCGTTCAACTCGAAAGTGGTCTCGAGGGGATCCGAGTCCGCCTGCAGCCAACCGTCAGCAAGGCCCTCGACTATATGGTCCCATAGCACTGCACCTTTCGTGTCTTCAAGAACCGGACCGTATCAAGCGTCTTCGAGATATCTGGGATTTTGTCCTTGAGCCCCGCAGCGCGCCTCTGGGTGTTGACCTCCATGAACTGGTATTTCCTACACCGCAGCCAATGAGCGTTTAGCCAGCAAACGTTCTAGCTTTGGACTACGCACGAGATCATCTCTTGGAAGCTCTTGAGGGTGCTCTCGACTTCCTCGCGTGAGGCAACATAGTCCTCGACCTTGTCGACGAACGGTGCATATGGGATGCCTCGAGGGTTGGTCGGCGCATCTTTGCTACTGAGAGGATGTTAGCTCCTATAAGTACACTTAGGTCGCAGTCTTGCCTCTGTGCTTTGGCGGGAGTAGCCATTGAGGAGCGATGCACACATTCAACAGCCCACCAGGCCGCAAATCAACGCGATGTCATATTTAGTTTGCACTGTTTGCATTGCGTTCGGAAAATCTAATCGGAAAATCTTATCGCCGGCCACAGTTTGACTAAGTAGCGGAATTCTAGGAAGCAGTCCGCTCCGCCGCCCTCCTCACGCCAAGGAATCGGCTAGTTCGCAACGGCGTCAACTCTTAATTAACCTCAGGGGACAGCTGCAGCCTCGTCTCGTCATCGATCCGGAATCCTGCCAACACTTCAAAACCAACAACCTGCAATCGGACCAATTCTCCTCCGCTCACGAATAATGCACACCAGGGTCACACTCACCGGTGGCCGCGTCGTCCTTCAAGGGGCAGCGACATCAGCGCCGCAGATACGAAGGAGATGCTCGGACGAGCCTTGTTCCGCGCCTGCTGCCTTCCGCAAAGCCGCCAACGTAGTTTTCCCCCTTGTTCCCTTCCACCCGCTCCTTTTCCCTATTCCCGCTTAACGCGTTTCGTGTCCGCCTTGCCCTGTCGTGTGTGTCAAGCGCCGAGAAACAAGCTGATCGGCGCCCGCCGCCAGGAGGCCAACCCAGTCAGCGCTAGAAATATAGTTAGCATGAGTGGAAAGCTAGCAAGGAGCGCAGCGTTAGGGTAAGCGCGGCGCCGGACACCTCCACTTTTCTTCGGGAGAGCGGGTGGCTGGGAGCAAGACTTGTTGACGATGATGACATGGAAATTGAACTGCAAATGCCCATGCTTCCTTGCTTGTCTGTAGTGCTGGGCGGAAGAATCAAGCAATTATCCCAGACGATCGTGCATTCTGATCCGCCTTACAGCTGCAGAGTTCCAATATTGCGCGGTTATCGATATTTGTTGCAGACCTCGAAGATGCGCGCTAGCATATCTCCCGAAAACCTTGCTGATCCACGTTTTAAGCAAGCGCCTGTAGGTAATCAGGTGGTAATCAATCACTGACGCAAGCCTTGCACTAAACCTTACCTGCTTCCGTTTGTGGAATCTCCTGAGTGGCCGTACTGCATTGGCGCAGCATGCACCTTTCCGCTAGAACAATCCTCAAACGGTAAAGGACGGTGTGGCACATGCACCCCAGCTGCGAATCCTCTGTTAGCGGTTCGCACCGATGACGCCAGTTAAAATTAGAAGGTATTGATTTTGGCGAAAGGACTAAGCTCCTGGCTCTAGCATCCATGACGACAGTGGCCCAAATGGATGTGGAGGATGCAACGTTGCGACGCCGGTGCAGTTCTTAGTAGATAGACTGATATGTGCAGCAAGCGACCTACTTGAGGGATGGGTTAGCGGGAATTCTCGGCATCATTCTTGTACATATGAGAGCCTTGCAAACCGTTGGAGGAACAAGGCATGGTGGCACCGGTGGCGGGTACCACACAGCCACAATGCCAGTGTCCTTGGGCATGAGGTTCTCTGCTACGGGTGTAGCAGTTGTCAAACATCAGCATGTGCATCTGACAGTAGTGGTGAAACGAAGTAAGTTTTTGAAATAATGGATCCGACCGCCAGTATATACATTACGTGAGGTGCTATTAATCTCTTCGAGGAAGCAAAAGGAAAATGTCATGAGTGACAATCTTGGATAAATCAAACGCGCGCAGACATGAAACGACCAGACATGAAAAGTATACCATCTAAGATCCTTAGATCCGTCAATATGAAACGCCAAGTTCCCCAAGGCTGAAGAACAACATGAGAAATGATGAGACGCCCCAAAACCATGACCAATGTGAAATCTTTAATGCATCATCAGCCAAATTCACAACGCCTGTCCGCCTGTCCCCAAGAGACCAGCAATGATATAACAAGGAACTTTAAGAAACGCAATCTCAATCGAACTCTCAATTTATAGATGAAGGCCTTGCTTGATTAACTTGCCAAGAGTAACACCCTATGAACTGTTAGTCTTTGCACGATGTTACAACGTAGAGGGGTGTAACTTACATGAGCATCTTTCATCATAGTGAAGTGGTTGCCACCCATGACGGCAAACTCGAAGTTCTCCTTAGGCAGCAGCTGTGCCCAGCCATTGTCCGAGAAGTCAGTTCGGTTGTTAAGAAGCCACTTCATGGGAGCAGGATCTTCTTCCTCGGCCGGAGGAGGGCGAGGGTCATCCGGGTTCGGGCATACACCGTCTGTGCACCAAATGGCGAAGACTTTGGGAGCCTTTGAGTTGAGCATTGGTTCGGGCTCATACTCCTTCAGGGCATTGATAGAAGCCGTGAAGTGAGGAAGAAGCCAGCTAGGAGTTCCACCCGGCTTGCCAGTACCGAGAAGACCGATCTGATCGAAGAAGACATGGAGACGGGCCGGTAGAGGATCGAGTCTAACGGGACAGGGTGAATCGATCAAGACGAGGCTCTCCACCTTCTCACCCGACTCGATAAGCTGCAAAGTGACTTCGTAGGCCATCACACCTCCAGCACTCCATCCACCAATGATGTAAGGACCCTGAGGCTGTCGACGCTTGATCTCGTTGAGATAGAGGCGGGAGACACCTCGAACACCGCACGTAAAGTCGGTGGGGTTCTTCATGAACGGACAGTTTAATCCATAGACTGCCATATCCGGGGAAATGTTGGGGATAGAGATGTATGAAGTCGCGCTACCAGATCCGTCTGGAATTAAGAAAAATTTCTTGCTAGCAATCTTAGCATTGCCCTGGAGAAGAACAGAGGTCGCTGGGGGAAGCTTAGAGAGATCTTGAGATTTCTCTAGCTTGCGGTTGACTTCAGCGAGCTGTGGGGGTTTCGGCTTTGGGGTAGGCTTGGCTTGAACCTTGGTCTCGACCTCAACCTTAGCGACTGGCTTGGGGCGCATGCCAAGTTCGTTTTCAACATCTTCGATGCACGCGTTCGTGACCAGGAAAGTAGAGGGTAAGTCAATGCCGGTCTGCTCCCGAAGAGAGCTAAGAATGGTCAGACTCATGAGCGAATCCATTCCCATTTCAGAAAGGTCAGCCTGGTCCGTGATCTCAGAAATGTCGACGCCCATCTCTTCTGCCACAATCCGTCTTGCCAGGCTGGGGGCGCCGGTGGGTTCGCTTATGTTAATCTGCACAGAGGTCTCTTTACCGGAGATGCTTGGGGCGGAGCTTGGAGCAGAGCTAGGTGGGGTGCTTGCCGATGCTTCCTCGAAAGGCGTTACGAGGTCTGATGGCTCGTCTGAGGAATCAGAATCTTCGTCCTCGACGAGGGGAGCTCCTCCGTCGTACTGAGAGAAAAACTTCTTCATTTCGCCAATGGTTGGATAATCCGTAAAGAGGGTAGAGCTAATCTCCAGGTCGAGATCCTCGCGGAACTTGGCAGAGATGGTCAAAGACAGAAGAGAATCAACACCTAAATTCTCGAACGCGGCTTCATCAACGAGCTCCGACATGGCCATATCGGTCTCCTCTGCTATGATCTTCATGACGCGAAAAGTGATAGAGTCACCAGCAGGCTTCGTAGCGCGAGCCTTCGCAACCTTAGCAGACTTCGTAGCCTTCACAGGCTTAGAAGCTTTAATAGGAGCGGCGAGCAAAGGCTTTGAGGCAGGAGCAGCCTTGGGCTGGATCGCCTTGGCTGGAGCAGCTCCCTTAGCAGCGTTCTTAGCGCCGACCGGAGGCATCATGATGTTAAGGACACGGCGGGGGATTTCCTGGAACTTCAGACCTATGCAGACACCAATGACCTCCTCGCCCTCTAGGAAGTAGACGTCGCCGACCATGAGGTTTCCAGGTTGAGGCTGCATTCGCACGTAGGAGCGATAGTTGCTTTCCGCAGAGAGCTGCTTGGAGATTTTCAAGTTACCCCAGCCGTGGGAAATGTAGACCGAGGTGTCGGAATCAACCATGTCCGAAGCGTTGACAATGAATCCAGAGATATGGCAGAGGGAGTCAATCCAGTGGGGGGAACAGTAGAAGTCACCGTCGGCTGGAGTGCTTTGGAATTTGATAGATGCTGTCGCTTCGGTTTGTTTGCCGTCCAGGATGACTTCTTCCATGCCGCGGAACTTATCATCATACGTGACCAACGCCTTGAACAGCTTGTAGGCCATGCCGCGAAGGACCTTGTGTGCAGCTCCCGACTGGAGCTTGCCCTTCAAAAGGTCGATCTGGGTCTGAACCATGTACTGAGTGCGATTCCATTCCTCTTTCCACACTTCGACATCCTCGTACTTGACAGTGCCGAAAGCATGCTCGACAGTGACTTTACCAGCAGGAGTAACACTTCGGAACTTGAGGTCCACAGTACCGAGTTCGAGGTCAGCGGTTGCCTCAAGCTGAATGTGCTGTCCTTCTGGAGGTGGCGGCATGATAGCGATGAGTGTCTTCGGCACTTCAACCTTGCAAACGTTGAGACCCGGGGTGGGAACGTTAGGTCGCAATTGCCTCCAGAGATAGTCGGCGGCAGTCAAGGCCATATCCGCATACAAGGTCGACGGGCAAAGAGGCGCACCGTTAACCATGTGCCCAGTCACGACTTTGTAAAGCTTGGGCTCCGTGAGGTCAGTCTGGATGACGATAGTGCCAGAGTTCGCCTGGAGATCCTCGCGCACAATTTTCTGGCACGATGTAGTGGAGAGCTTGGAGACAACTTCGACTACAGGCTCAGGCTCCATGATAGCTGCGACCTTTGGTGCCTCGCCCTTTGTGAGGGTCCAGTTGTTGGTGTAGTCGAGCCAGTATCTCTTGCTGTCGAAGGAGTAAGTTGGGAGCGTGAGCAACTCGTGTGCTTTGTTGAACTCGCGGTGGTACTCATTGAAGTCGATAGCAACGCCTGCAAGGAACAAGCTGCAAAGGCTGGAGGCGATGGTCTTCCATGGGTCTTCGCTACGGCGGAGGGAAGGAGCCGTGACAGGAGCACCCCCAAGAGATGCCTTTACCATTCCGCTACAAACAGGGTGAGCGCCAATCTCCAGCCAAGCAGTCTTCTCATCAAAGACCTTCTCGTCCTTGCCCGTGGACAGAGCAGTCCAGAAGTTGACCGTCTCGCGTGCATGGCGTGCAAGGTAATCAGGTCCAATGATGCCAGCTTCACGAATGACCTGGCCAGTGAGAGGCGAGAGCACTGGAACAGTCGGCTTGTTGAACGTAACCGAAGACGCAACGGCCTTGAAAGACTCCAGGATAGGGTCAACCTGCGCAGAGTGGAAGGCGAAAGGCACATTGAGCTTGGTGGCCTTGAATCCCTTAGAGGCTAGGGCGTTGCTCGTCGAATCCATGAGATCGCTGGTGCCGCAGAGAACAGTTTCCTCGGGGCCGTTCACGCAAGCAATCTCGGTCATATTCGATCCGAGAGCGGCGGAGACTGCTTCTACACCTCCCTTAACAGCCAGCATGCCATGGGTGTAGGCGGTGCAGTCTGCCTCCAATAGCTCGGCCCGACGTCCAACCAGAAGAATCATGTCGCTAGCGGAAATGACACCAGCAACATGGAGTGCGGCATATTCTCCCAGGCTGTGGCCAATGACGGCGACAGGCTTCAGTCCCCATGCGGACCACATACGAGCAAGGGCAACCTGAATGCAGGCCATGCCGAGTTGCACGACGACAGGAGATAGTGTCGTCACATCGGTCCCATCGAGAAGAGGGATAAATGACGGGAAGCCCTGCATGCGAGCAATGTTGTCCAGTTGCTCGATATCAGTCTTGAAAGAGCTCAGTTGCTCATACAGCTTCTGGCCCAACGCGGTGTACTGAGAGCCTTGTCCAGTGAAGGTGAAAGCAGTTTTAGTGGGAACCATAGCAATAGGGCTGTAGGAATCTTTCAGCTGGGCCTGGAGAGCATCCTTCACCTTGGTGATTTCCGAGATAGGGAAAGCAACGCGGTAGTTATGCTGAATGCGCCGAGCGGTGGTGGTGTATGACAAGCTGGGAAGCGTGGTGTCCGGGTTCTCGTGGAGATAGGCGATGAGGTTCTGGATGTTCGCCTTCAAGGAAGCGATGGACCTCGCTGAAACAGTCACGATGTGCGCCGATCTAGGGTCTGCGGCGGCAGGAACCTCGCGGATGGGGCCATCCTCGAGGATGATCGCTGTGTTACCACCAGCGGCGCTGAAGTTGTTGAGGAATATCCTGCGCTTCTCAGCACCCTTGCGAGGGAACGCAACCTGAGACGTCGAGATGTGCACATTCCGCTGTCCCAGGTCCTTGGGGAACGTTTTGTTCATGACGCCCTTGATACCGACATTGGCAGGGATGGCGTTCTTCTTCATCATCATCATGACCTTGATAAGTGAATTGATACCGGAAGCAGCTTCGCCGTGACCGATGTTCGCCTTGATAGCGCCTAGGTGAAGAGTTTCCTCAGGGCGACGTTGGCGATGGCGAGGAGCGAAGACGTTGGTGACCGAAGTCATTTCGATACCATCGCCAGCCTGCGTACCAGTGCCGTGCATCTCGACGTAACCGATACTGTGAGCGTCCACACCGGCGTTGGCAAGAACGCGCTTGTAGAGGAACTCTTGGGCGCCAGCGTGAGGGTGGGTTATTGAGACCGCTTCAGCGGAATGGTTAGTGGCGGCACCCAAGATGCATCCCAGAATGTTGTCGTTGTCGGCGATGGCATCCTCATATCGCTTAAGGATGACCGTACCACATCCGTCACCTCGGCAGTAACCATCGGCGTCGTTGTCGTATGTCTTGCAGCCACCAGTCTTGGACAAAAACTGGCCTTTGCTGAGACCAGCGAAAATGTCCGGGTTGGTGAGCACGTTCAAGCCACCGGCGCAGGCAGTGTCGCAATCGCCAGCCCACAGGGAAGTGCAGGCAAGCTGGATAGCGGCGAGAGACGACGAACAGGCGGTGTCAATGCTGTACGAGGGGCCAGAGAACTTAAAGTAATAATTGATGCGTCCTGGGGCGAACGCACGCACACCTCCAGTAATGAAGTATGTGTCGACATTTTGGGCCGCATTAATTTCACGCCAATCGTCGGAGGTTTGGCCGTAGAAAGTACCAATTCGGTGTAGCTTCGTCGATGGGGTGCGGTTTGGAACGTAGCCAGACATTTCGAGCGCCTCGTAAGCAGTCGTCAGTGCCAATCGACCCATGGGATCTGTCTGCGCAGCCTCGCGGGGAGACATGTTGAAGAATCGGGGGTCGAAAAGGCCAGGCTCATCGATGAAGCACCCATAAGGCGTGTGGCTTTTGTTCTTTCCTTTGCCCGACGGGTCACAATGGGCTTTCGCGTCGAATCGGTCGGCCGGAACCTCTCTGTGCACATCTAGGCCCTGCTCGAGGAGCTCCCAGAGCTTCTCGTGACTAGCAGCACCGGGGAAGCGGCCAGACATACCAACGATGGCAATCTTGTCATTTTGGGTTCGGCCTGCGGCATCTTCTGCCTTCAATGCCCACGACGTATGATCACGAACAGAGATGTTGGACTGCCCGCCAGCCTTGAGTGCTGAGACCAAGCTGTTGGCAATGTTGGTAACGCCGATTGCGGAAACTGAGCATTCGGCGTTGCTGACCGAGGTGATCTGCGATACAGTCTCCTCCAGAAGGCTGTCCCACCTTACTGGCTGCATCAGCATCTCCTTCAGCGCGAGCTCGACAAGCTCGAGGGTGCTGGTGGCGGTATGGCATTTCCCCGAAGACGCGGAGTGGACTAAGCTATATGGGCGGTACTCCTTGAGGAATTCTCGTGTCTTCGAGTCTATGATCCGTGCGATGTCGGAGTCGTTGTAAAGGTGCTGCGCGTGATAGGGAGCGTAGACAGGGATTGGAACACGGTGATTCTTGCTAAACGATTCGGATTCCTTGAAAAGCCGCTTTGTCGTGGAGGGAGGTCCGCTGATCGTGAGGGCCATCACGCTCACAGCGCTGACGTAGGCCTGATTGGACAGCGGAATGCCAGTCGTCTGATGGAACTCGGCAAGAGCTACTCTAGCCGATTGTTCGGAAATGTTTGTGACAATGGTGGACCATGGCTCGGGCGAGGTAGCGTCTAGGGCATCCTTGGCTACTCCAACGCATGTCCCCGCTCGGAAAGCAACTCGAACGACCTCGACTGCGAGTGGTAATAAATCCGCAGGGCTCTTTGATGAAGCCACTGCGGCACCCGCGAGAAGACCGGTGCACAATCCAAGAATCCGCGCGTTCGAGGGTGCTGGTATTTCGGTTGGGTTCTCGCCGTAGTACCTAAACAATTAGCCGAGCTCTCGACCATTCATGTGGCATACGTACCCGATGTAGTGCGCAAGCTGTGCTAGTGTCACCATGCAGCTCTCCAGTTGTGGGATTCTGAGCCCCTTCGCAAAGTAGGCTTCGACGAGATCCGACACTCGGAGGAAATCCGGAATCTCTGCTCGTTGGACTCTGGGAAGTTTCTCGATTTCATCCCGGAGGACTACACTAACGCGCTCCAAAAAAGTGGCGAGAAGTGCATTGTCCTTCCGTAGAGAGACCTTCCGCAAAAGCGGGTACTGGTCGGCCGTCTGATCTCCAAAGATGAGGGCGTTCATCTTGTCGTAGCTAATCGTCACAAAACTGAAAAATGGGTATTATCGGATATTAAGGGGACGAGAGAGGACAGTCTTGACCACGTGGGCAAGGACCGGCGGCTGGGGTGAGGCCCCTACTGTAGGGGTGCGGGTATGTGAGGATTCAACGATCGTGAATGGCAGTCTGCTCTGGGAGCGTGTGGACTGGACCTCTACTAGAATATTAAAGAGGGGGGATGGGGAAGATGGGTCGAGTCAGGGACGATGGATATGGACTGGGAAAGAGAGTTGGGGATTTGTGCATTCTATATTTGTAGGCCGCGCAGAGCTTTGACTCCACTGCGCCTTCTCCTCCTGGGCTTCACCTACTGGACCTCACCTACTGGGCTGGGATCGCGCGATGACAGGCCCACTCGGTCCCGGATCTCTCAGGAGCACAGATACGGGGATGTTCGCTGCCGAAACGATGTACAGGAGCAACATATTGACGTGAGCAAGTGAGTGGAGCTCCGCAGAACCCTATTCTGGTTGGTCCATTCTGTCTCCCGAAAGCTAATGGCGTGCAGAAAGGCAGCGGTTTCTCCGAGTAAGCGTCTATGGCTATTGTTAGCTTGGGCGGGCCAGGCAGTGTAGTTCAGCCGCTGAGGTAGCCAGCCAATTGCCCAGGATGATAACAGAGATGAGACGTATGGGTAGTGGTGACCGTCAAGGCGCTGTCTCGAATATCGGGTCCCAACTCGGATCCCCATAAGCCGGGGGGTGAGGGCACGGCCGTGTTTGCTACCAGTTATGTCAGCCAGATGCACATCCCAGTCTTGAAACAGCATAGAGAATTCCTGATCAAGCTTACTGGGCCGATGTAGAGTGCTTCAGCGCACTGCTGGAGCGCCCTGCTGGAGCGCCTTGCTGGCGAGCTATCCGGCTCACATCCGCACCAGGATGCATGGAGCACGACGCCACGACGAGAACGGCGCGACAGAGCAGTCTGGCATCGATAATGCTGTTACACGTGCTTGCCCGTGGTGACGCTCGACAACGTCGATATTCGAGTAGCCCTGCATCAGTGAGGGCGGCGTACCAGAGTTGTTCCAGCCATCTCGAACCCAGTAGGCGGGCGGTCAGGCATGGCGGGCCTGGGGCTCTGCTTGCAAGGACCAAGGGCGGTACTGCCACGGCATCGCTGATGCAGTGCCACGGAGCAGAGAGGAAGCTTGGAGAGCCGCCGGTCACTAACTGTTGTGGGATGTCGTCGAGGTACGGGTAGCGAGCCACGGAACGAGGACCACACCAGGGCACGCTGGACGAATCACGAGCGTCTGGCTCTGATTTGAGGCCTCCAGGAACACCGCAAACGGCGGGCTTCTCGGCAAGCCAGATACGAGAACGGTATGGCTGCCAGCATTAGGAAGCGTTTGGAGTGGCGCCAGCGTCGCAAGACTCGCAAGACTTTCTTTCTAGCGCCGCGCTGGATCACGACGGGCGACGGCACATATTGGCCATGACGGAAAGCTCCCGGGGGCAGAGGCAGCCCTGAGGCGGCAGACGTTTCTCACGACTCAAACAGCACGCCGCTGGATATCTGCAGGCCTGTCAATCATGTCGATCATGATTAGCCCCTGGCCCTACGCTTCCCCACACGGATACCTGAGCTCAGCCGGCCCACGCCAACAAGCTTATAAACGCAGCACACGCTGGGCAAGCCTGGCGGTGCGTTCATGGCTGAACCGTGGGAGATGCGGCATCGCAAGACGCTTCTGCGCGGTGTTGTGTCGATCTGCTACGACGGGTTGCAGGGCGCGGGCCTTGGCATTGGAGTCCTGATATTGCCGGGAGCCTGTATCAGGGGCGTCAGCAACGCCGTGGCTGAGTTCCCAACGCAGCCGATGCCGCTCACTGTGGAGCGGAGTCCTTCGTACCGCATACGCCAGCCGGGCGCGCAGCCAGAGCGGAGCGGAGCCTGGGAACGCCTCCAGCATGCACGCATCCATTTGCACGAATTGCACGCATTCCTGCCGCCACTCCGCTCCTGCGGCCCTGGCGCCGTGGACCTCGGTGATGCCGCGCAGGATGGAGGCAGCGGTCGATGGCCAGATCCTGCGTGGGCTTACGGTGCTCTGGTGGGGACATACGGTGGTGAACAGCGAGGGCTCGGTTGGAGGTGCTGAGGATCATGAGCATGGCGCGGTGTGCTCCGGACATGCGGAGTGCCGTCAATGATCGCCACCGGGGGTCCCTGGCGCCCAGCCTTACCCTTGGACCTCACATCATCAAGATTCAGTCAACACCATGCCATCGCGTTCAGGCCTTCCCCCCACCAACGGCAGTGTGCCGCAGTTGCTGCGCCAGTCCTGGACGCCTATCGTCTGCTTCCCCTGTGCCCCTCAGGCACGCCTTCTACGCCGCCGCTGCGCTGTCAGGTCCCTCGCTGCCTCCCCCTGGGCCCTCCCGCACGTCGACCAGCGTGGCGGCCTCACTAACCGCCTAGCAATCCCTTGCAGCTTCATCGTCGATTGCAGCTCGAAGAGGTCTACATGTACGTCGGAACTGCTCCGTCGCTGTCATCGAGATTCCACCGCGCTGTTCGGGTGCGCCAATCTAGACGTAGTTCCAGCCAGGTTAATACGATGTGTGCTAGTCGAGATCTGATGCAGAACTAACATGGACTGGTAGCAGCTCGATTTCCTGAGAGCAAAACAATTCGTCCATCACTACTCGTTAGGATTGTTACTGCGTCAAATCTGCCCATGCATAGCTGACGGGGTATTCCCCCATGAAAATGGTCCACTCGATATGGACAATATGCTTTCTACGTCGATGGCTACATCACTTCCATTCCTCTTCTCAGTTCATCTGACCATTGCTTCACTCCCCACAGTGTCTCCGGGCAGCATGTCCTGCAGACCAGCGCTCCTCTAATCTCATTTTACCCCACTGTCCCACTCTGACGCTCCTGTGATCGCATGATACTCAAGAAGGCCATCATCAAGCTGCTTCGGCTTTTACGAATTGCAATGTTTCTCTCCTTCGATCTGGAGCTCGAATTCTGCAGGGATGGATGTCTCGAGATTACTCCGCATCAAGGAACACCCCACGAGTTGAACAACTCACCGCGTAGATTAGTCGAAGATAATGCATAGCATTTGCAACAATATCAGCAGTCCGAAAAGCAGCGTCCCACAAACACGGCGTATAACTTTCGAGTGGGGGCTGCTCGTCGCTCACATGGTTCCGCCGAAGATGTTTAATCCATGCTTATCGTGACAGTTGAAGTCACTCATGAGTAGGACCCTGCCAGCATTGCATATGCAGGGACATCATAGCGTTGCAAGAATCAATCGACATCAAGCTCGGCTTACCGTCTGGTCAGCTCGTCATCTTGGTCGAACGATATGTGCTTAAGCTTCGGCATCGGAGTTCTCGCTCGAAGAAACACTACACGCATATTCAATATCGAGATAAATACCGCAACTGGGTGGGCCTGGCCGGGCTCGCATATGGAACCTGAGCCAGATTCAAGCTTCTGTAGCCGGTGCTGTGCTTGGGCTTGCAGGTGCAGGCGATAGCCAAAGCCGGGGGCAGCTTCCAAACAGCCCGAGCTTTTCGGGCCGCAGACGCCAGAACTCCCAGATATTCGACGTCGGGAACGGAGCCGGAGAGACCCTACTTTCTTGTGGCTGCATACCCCTCAGCACCTCATCTTTCCCCTCCACTGATGTGGCGTGTACTAGTTGAATCCGCTCGGAGCTCAAGAGGAGCTACTGGAGCTAACCGTCGTGTCATGTCTATCTTCGTTCGTCGTCATGCATTTCTGCAAGATAGGCGTAATGCAAACGCGTGGATACCTACCAGCGGTCCTCAATCCTCTTCACATGCAACAACGAATCATCCGAGTCTCCCGAGCTCCCCGTTGGACAGAAGCATCTCTCTGAGTGGATATGTCCCATTAGGTCCAAGTAGCATAGCTGTCGTTGAGCTCAACGGTCTGCGGATGAGGTATTTGTACGCGTCCTGTGAGTTCGGATTGAGTAAGGTTTTCTTTGGACAAGCGGTGTCATACTCAGGTTGGAATTGATGTGAACTCTGTTGTATTGTAGATGCCGTAAAGGCGGACTATATAGAGGAACGAGATGAACTATCCCTTAGGGCGCTCCCTTGGTCGTTCTCTTGGCAGCAAGGAAGACGCCAAGGAAGGCGCCAAGGAAAGGCACTCCCTTTCCTTGCTGTCAAGACAGCAAGGAAGCACCACAACTCCGTAAGGAAGATAGAGGGAGAGTAAGGGATACCTAGTGAACCGTATGAGTTGCTGATCCTAGGTTGCTGCAACCCGAGTGTCATCAAGCCTCCGCCAAAACGTATTCCATCGTCAGCTGTGCTTCAACGCCCAAGAGATCCAATTGGAGTGTCAAAGAGGGCCAATTGGGTCCTTCCTATGTTGATTTAGCGTTGAGTCATTCGCGTTTGGACCGTCACATACCGTTGTCTGGACTACTTCGCTTGCATTTCAAGATCTGGAAGATATGTAAGAAGGGGCTTGTAAGAGGCCGTCGGTATGTAAATGGCATGTAGGTAACGAGTACTCCCGAGCGCAGACCATGCCCCAGTGCACTGTTGAAATTTGGACAAGATACAAGTTTCGTCTGAATGATTTCTATCTCGCTAGGCCAGTCCATAAGGCTTCGCCTCTATACCAGCGGAAGGGACGCCACTGGCTTGCAGATTCAAAAAATCTATTGAATACTCATACGCGATGACAGAGAGGTGTCAAAAGATAAACTATCACACTGCACTTACTCTCATTGGAACTTTTGAGGCAGATGTCGTCTGCCCTAACATTCGTGTCAATTTCATCATCAGCATTTACGTTCAAGCTATTTTATATGGGTAACATACATGACTACTTATCAGTTTCGGCAAGGAAGTAACAGTTCAGCATGGTCTTCACGTTTAAAGCGACTACCCCAGGTCTACGTCGCGTGCACTACACGTATATCGAACCGCTCTCTAAGCGCTTTATTCACTACACAGTGAGACATCTTCGAGGAATCTCTTCATCAACTCTTTCCTAAGCCATTGATTTTCGAACCGCGCGCCCTCCTCAAGTAAACAGACTATGCCTTGTCGATTTCGCGTGCACCAAAACAAAGTTTGCATGGTAGTATCCGTAGTGATTTCCACGTTCATTGTCATAGTGATTTCAACCCATTCTCTCTTCCTTGACCTCCATATTCTCCTTTTATTCTCATAGAAAGAGGCCATCTCCGGCAGGCTCTCCAACAGGTTTGTGAAATTCCCAAAATACATGCTCTCCAACTCTTCGATCTGGATCGATCTGCATTAGTCACTAATGCAACCGCATTGTATCTACCTTCTCGGCAAGCGATAAACCAAGTCGCCAGTGGTGGATAGACATAAGTAGTGAATAGTTGTAAGTGGCAAATACCTTACACCCCCTGGCAAAATGGATGGGCCCGACGAAAGCTACCTCAATATCTTCCTTCACCTTTTGAAGCCAGTTTCATATTTGAACCTTGACTTTATTCGGGAAATTGGACAAAATCGGATGCACCCCGTATGCTCTCCGTGATCCACAAAACTGTTTCACTGACCCCCTAGACAAGATTAAGTACATTGTGGTAAGGTGATCTTGCTCTGTGGATTGTCTGCTGAATCAGATACGCTACTGTAAGTAAACGCCCTCACATTTTAACCAGTTGCAGGCGGATTAGAATCAACACCGGGGCGTTTAAAATTGTATTACTACTAATACATCACTCAGCTCCTGGTGAGTATATATCACCCGATACATTTCGATCATCGTTGCCGTTTCAGAAGATTGAGGAAACCTATATACGAACATCTTCATCATCTGGTTCTCAACATGTATGCAATGAATATGGCCAATACTTCAACCATCACTGAGACTCTCAATGGGCTCTCCCTGATTTCTTTCGCCCAATTGCCTATTTTCAACACTCATGCTATTTTTGTGGATTCATGCGTGTTTACAGGAGAAAATCACACCATCCTAGATTAAGATCTATCCTTGCCCTCTAGTCATCCCCTCATACTCTCATTTCCATCGCAGTCCAAAGTTCAGTTCATATATAGCTCTCTTGGGTACGAAATCACGTCCGATGCTTTCGGATTTTTTGTCAACGTCTCATCTGGAAAGGGATTTCTGCAAGACTATTCAATGTCCTCCGATATTTGGATATCCATTATAACCATATTATCATTCTGCCAAACATTGATCATCTGCCCTTCGCGGATCGCTCGATTAGCTTTCGTCCGCAACAAACTCACAATTCACGTATTAGTCCTTACGGAAAAGCTCTCTACATCGACTCATTTGGAGCAGAGTGCATGTTTAACGCATTTTTCATTTCAGAGATCATGGGAAGTAGCTAGTCGAATGTGCCACGGAATGAAGCTACTTGAACGGTCGACTTTCTAGCCCAGGCTCTTACTGCTGGGAGTTTGACCTGTCTTGCAGTTCGTGTTGCTCGCCTTTCGGTTGGATAAGAGACATCCTATCACACTTCCCACATCTCCGCTTCCTATTAACTTAGAGTGCGTAGTTCTAGTCAAGAGGGTTCGTCTTCTAAACTTCAGATGGTCAGTACACACCACATTTCAACGTAGTGATCCATAATAAATCTCATATATGATACCTACTAGTCTATCTACGTTCTTTCAGGTTCTTTCTTCATAATACTGGTGATGAGCGCACCAGATCGTGTCGGATTCTAACACCCAAGCCACATTGCTGCAAGCATATCGGAGCTTCTTCGACCGCAACAAACGGCGAGAGTACGCAGAACATGCCCTGCGAGCGAAATCTCTGTTCTCGAAAAAAGAAACGCTAACAATATTTTCTAGGTCAGAACTACTTGAGAATTCTGAAGACAATTCAATCAACCCGACTTTGAAGGATGGTTTCCTTAGGTTCCATAAGATGTGGCGGTGACTTGAGATTCCCGCACATCGACTCGTGGTATCCTCATATTCAATACTGAGCGTGAACTCTCACTCAAACATCAACTCGATGACTATCATAACTGATCTCCGTGGGCTATGACTGCATTCAAGCACACCACGAAGCAGGACACCGACACTCAAACCTCAACTCGACCACAGTCACAGCTGATTTTCGTGGACTACGACT